ATCTATCATAAGCCTACAAAGGGCAGGTGGGAGTCTTACGACGCTAATGTGAAACCACTACCAATGTAATGCTGTGACAAGAGAGGATCGCAACTATGATCCGGTTTCCGAAGGTGAATAATAAATTTTTGGGTTCAATTTTTTCTTGCAATGGTTGGAATTTTTAGCGCCGAGAATTCCGATACGAGAGTTTCTCCAAGATACAAAATAATTTGGAAACGTGAAATGCAACGAACCTGTTTGTGTTCAATCTCTTTTGCTTGATGAGGGAAATGCAAGTAATACAACAGACGGGCCGGTATTAAAAATAATTCTTAAAGAAGGAGCTTACAACATATGCTTTGTGACATGAGGAAGTAACATCCATGAGTGTTGAGAGAATATCAGGTCCAAGTCATATCATGATGACGAAACAAGAAAGAAAGATCAAGAAAGAATCCAGCAGTCCTTTCATTTATCACCAAAAAATGAGCAAATTCGAATGGTAGGTAAAAGTGCTTGATCCTTTCAAAAGATTTTTTCGAGTGCAAAACTCCGTCCATCCACATTCATGAAAATACTCATGGATGATCATGATGACGAATATTAATGAATCAAACAATACAATAGGAAGCCTAAAATCCGTAATTACAAAACGGAAGAAATTGATATCAATAATAATTATGCGAATGGGCTTGTAAAATTGGGAAATATTCAAACAGCGGACCATCCTCTCTCGAACAAGAAAAAGAACAATGCTGTAAAAGTGGTGATGGCATCATCGGACCCTCTTTCATCTTCTTCTGGATTGGATCCTTTGAGAGCAGGGTCTCCATTACCATATGTTGATCCTTTATCAGCAAGATTGGATCATCAACCATCTCTGATTATAACTGGCCAGCTAAATAGACAAATTGGGTCTAGACAGAAAGCTGGATATCTTAACTGGGCCTATAAGAAGCAAAAGTATCTGAAAAAGTACACCACAGATAAGAACATTCCGATTATTTCTGTATGTTTGTTATATTGGCATTTTGTGTTTCTTTAACCAATAATTAATTTTTCAAACACCACAATTACGTAATTTACTATTATCTTATATTATTTTCCAATTAGAATATTATGGAAGAGGAGGAAGGAAAAGTTATCAAACTCGAGGACCGATTGAAAATGAGATTGGATGAATTAGATAGGGAAGAAAAAGAACAAGATACACAATATATGGCACAAAAAGACTATCTTCGCCATTTAGAAAAGCTCAACGAAGAGCTAAAGGATGCTTGGAACAATCAAAATGATCGTGTGAAATCTCTCAAAATCGTAATTAAGTGCTCAAAAATTTTGGGAAGAAACACTGTTCCTCAATTCTATCCAAGCATGTTTGTGCTTGTTAGCGAGGTTTTGGATACTTTCGGCAAACTGATCTATAAAAGAATTGCAGAGAAAAACTCAAAGACAGATCCAATCACTGGTAAAGTAATTTCAAAGTTACCCAAGAATTTTACAGTTCACGATGTCACCGAGGATGCTAAAGAAGTTTGTAGAAATTGGCACTACAAAGTTGCATCTATTCGTGAATTGCTTGGAAGAGTATATCTTGAAATGACCATCCTTTCTAGCTACAAATTCTTATATGAAGGCGACAAGCGACTCAAGAAAGATTTGGTTAGACTTGCTAAAGAAATAAGAGGTATTGGTGATCCTCTAATTGCTAATTATGCTCGCTGTTATTTAGCAAGAAAAGGCTTCGAATTACTTCCAGATGAGAAAGATTATTTAATGATTTTGTTTGACGACTTTGTTTTTACCCAACAACAATTTGAAGAAGATCATTTCCAAAAATTCCTCAACAAAACTGGAATTAATAGAGGACAGTATATGGATCTTTTAGCTCCTCCTTTGGATTGGATTCTTGAGGTCTTGGGAAAGGATGCTGGTGAACCATTATTCCACAAAGTTCTAGATAGATATCAAAAAGAAGGAAAATCTAGCGCTATTTTCTTGAACAGTATCATCAGCTCGTTTGAGGCCCACTTAGTATCTCATGCAGCCTCAATATTAATATATGAAATTAAGCAATGTGATGATTCATTACCAAAGCATCAACTTTTTAAATCTCTTGGAGAACAATTTTGTGTTTGTCCACCTGACGATAGCCACAAATTGGAGCTTTTGAACGAGATATGGAAATATGTGACGGCCATGAAAGACATCAAAGATTACATTTCAGTTGTAGAAGTTTTCATAGAATTTGTTTGCAAATCTTTCACTTTGAAAGAAGTGAACATTTTGATGAAAGACTTGTTGAACCATCTCAAATCAAGCGGACTTACAACATTTGAAACAGTAGAAGAAGAGATTCAAAATATTCTTCTTACTGTTTTAGAAAACACTGACGATTTTATTAAGGTATTCAACCTTCAACAGTTTTTACCTCTCTTTGATATGCTCTCTACAACTAGAAAAGTTCAAGTCAGCAAGGGAATGCTCAAGGCATTTGCTAAAAGAAAGAGCGCAACCGCAGCAGATCCAGTTGTTATCAGCTCACTGTTCGATCTTGCCATTACAGTTCATGACTCTGTAAATGCTCTTTCCGAAGAATTTGAGAAGGAAGAAGTTTGTGAAGCATTGGTTGGATTTGTTAATGGTATAGATTTTGGTATGGCTCTCGAGAAACAACTCAACTTTTTCACCGATTGCAGACGATCGTTCTGCATGTTTGACAGAATTAATGAAGCTCTGGTCATCAAAACGTTGAATATGATTGCAAAGACCTACAAGTTCGTTAAAGCTCAACACACGACAAAAACCAGCTCTTTTGTCAAGGCATGTGTGTCCTTCTGCCACATTACCATTCCATCACTTTCAAACTTATTCAAGAGAACCAAACTTTTTGTCCTTACTGGTCAATATGCGGTAATGAATAACTTGCTGCCACAAGCTAATGCTCTCTTCAAGATTGCAATCGAAACAATGAATAGCATTCCAAGAATTGAAACTCTTCCCGATAACACAGTTGTAGATAACACGGAAGAATTAGTCTCCATGATTTGTTGGATTTCAAGCTGTTTTGTTTCTGTACCAGGACACCCAGAACAAGGTCCATTCTACCTTATGAGAGGACTGTTAAATCTTATTCAAGAATATGATTGGGGCACCGGATCTGATGCAAAGATAAGACTATTTATTTACACTCTATCTACGTTGAGCGCGCTCTCACAACAAACTCTTCCATATCGATACACTGGTGTCAGTAGCAATGACGAATTGTTTATGGAAGATGATGACTACAAAGAACAATTGATTGCAATTGGAAATACCATCATTGAAAAAGCTGTTGAAGAAATAATTGCTCTGGGCAAAGATGAAGATTTCTCATCCAAGAAAAAAGCAAGCTCTTTGTGCTGCTGAGCTGCTAAACAGCATTGTATTTCTATCTTCTCTGAACAACAAACTATTGGACCTCATTGGAAAGTTATATGCGCTAGCAAAGGGTGACGATAAGGCATTCAAGATCTTTACTCATGTGAAAAATGCTGTCAACACACTGGCTAATGCCGAACGCACTCAAGTCATTGGTTACTCCTCCAAAGATCCAATCATGAAAAAACAATTCAAACAAGATAAGCAGCAGTTTGCTGTTGTCTGCCAAGTATTTGGTCAATAGTCTTTCTCCAGTAATGCTTCATGAGAGAAGAATAAAAATTTTGTCGTAAGTGGTCATTCATAAAATTCAATTCTCTCACATCTGAAAGATCAAATTGCACCACTCTCCGCTATGGTCCGGTCCCCACCAATGAGAGCCTTTCCTGGTCGGATTGTAAACGCACCAAACTCCAACAGCGCCTGTTTTGTCTCTCTGCCAACTGTCAAACTGCTTTACGCTCAAAAAAATGAAATCAATCATTTGCGTTGCTCTTTTATTGATCGCAGCTGTATGCTTTGTCAGTGCTGACCAACATTGTCTTGACAAGCAATTCACTGCTTCCATAATGTTGATGGATCCAAAGAAGGTATGTTTTTGAATACATCCATGATGATGATCATATCAATAATGATTTCACACTCATTCTCTTTTTTCTTGAATCATCATCATCGGCATCACCACAACATTCACACCAATCATTTAAATACCTGGTCTCTTTCCGTGATTTGACTTGAAATCTCACCATCATCCACCACTACCACTGAAATGTTCCACTTGACCACACCACCACATCCATTCACACTCGAAATGATGAACTGAACATCTACAACAACAAATCCAACTTCAACAACAGCACTACGATGACTTCCACAAAGTCTACTATGACGCTGCTCTCCAACAACAAAGAATTGACATTCACGAACTTGATCCTCAAGACAAGCACGTTCAAATCTACTTGAAGCACAATATTGGTAAAATGTATGTCTATGATGAAAGCACCAGAACATGTACCTCTCATCCTCTCCAGGGTAAATTGCCAGCTTTCTGTTTGGCCAACAATGCTACCAAAGTTGATCAAATTACTATTGGTGGATCCTTGAAGGCTGACGTGTGGGAAGAAAAGGTCTTTGGATGGAACACTCGTTTGATTTTGGCTGCTAATACTTATATTCCAATCAATGTCTTGACCAAGGGTGGACATTTGGATAATGCGATCTTTGAAGAATGGGTTGATTTCACTAACAATGTTCCAAACCCAGCAGTTTTCAACTTGCCAACTCCATGCTTGAATATGCAAGATAACAAGAGAGGATTCGATGAAGTCAATGGTAATTTGATTGAACAAGTCAATAGACTCAATGCTCCTTTCTCCAAGAATCTTTAAATAAAGTTTTGAGAATTTTGTGTGATGTCCAAATTGAGAGGGAATTTCGCAATTCCTATTGTTGCCATCCACATAAGACGATCAATCACTGAACTGTTGATGATGGATATTGATACAACAATCAAACAAGAGGAATGTTTATTGATCAAAACATTTGACCAGATCACGCCACCCAAAAGAGTTGCAAAAAAGGCTACAGCACTGCAGGTTCCCAAGTTGTCTCCAACCTCAGTACTGATGCAGCTCGACGATGCTTAACTTCTCAAATCGGACGGGATGAGGTGCATTCATCGTGATATGGCCGTAGCCATTCTTAAAGTTAAAGTGCTTCTTTTGATTAATATTATACTTCGTTAGATTGTTCAAGCTGCTTTGAGGTATTAACTTGATGGTTTTTCTCTTTGTTGGATATGGACGGGATGCCTGCCAGGAATATGGCGACTTTGGTTGTATGAACTGTGAGATACAAGAAGTCTTTCGATTCTTGTTGGTGATATTGTTATTATCAACAGATTGGTGAAGATTTAAACTGGTGTCTTGATCTCGTTGTTTAATACCTTTCAAATAAGCTTCGAATGATCATGTTTAATGTGGTTTGATGAAAGATGGAGTTTTTATGTGAGCAGAAGTTCAATTTGGAAAAATAAAGTTCATCAAAGGTAAATTTTTTAGGATAGAATAAAGACCAGCACTTAAACATGAATCACATTGTATTTACCAATTAAACTTTGGCTGAGACGACGAAAAAGAAGACTCACTCTCGTTCAAACGCATGGTTGAATTCAGCTGCTTCAATTCAGCATGCCTATAATAAGAACGTTGTTGATCTTTGTTTTCATGAGAGCTCTTCTTCAACTTATTAGAACTTTGGTTCATTCTCACCACCTGATACATGTCTGGCCAAAACAACCATTTAAATCCATACAATGCAAGATCAATGGTCAATGGTGTAATGACACACAAAATATGAGTTAACCAAAAAGCAAGAGAAACTATTCCAACATTCCACACTTTGAACATGTTAATGTCAGTAATCACAAAACTTCTATTGAGAGTATTCGCTTGAATGGCATTGAATCCATACTACAAGATGAACGAAATAGCCATGGCCAAATGATGCAAAATGGTAAAACTCTCCATCTCATAATAACATTTGAAATTCACCACACAATACACACATGAACAAACCAAAATGGATCTCAACCACAATCCATCTTCCATTCCTTTCGAAGCCAAACCATAAGGATGTGCAGCATAGGTAATAAAGAAGAAAATAATAGCACTGTGAAGTATGGCACTTCCAATCCATTTGATGAATGTGTAGACATTGAAAATATTTTCCGTTTTCAAACTAAAGTTTAGGTCCAGTCTCAGGGTCTTCCAAATGTTTTTCATGAATGTCCTTATCGAACAATCCAAAAACAAATGGATTCAAAATTGTGAAAATCAAATTGTACCATGACAAGATACTACTGTCTACAAGCGTTTGACCTGAATACATGGTGTAAAAAGTGAAATATATATGAATGAATGTGAGAGTAATATTCTTGTAGAAGGAGTATTGAATGCGTTTTGCTACATTTAAGATTATTTATGGTGAATATTAATAAGATATGAAGATACATCCGAGTGTTGTTTCAGTAATGGAGTGACCACATGAAACATCTTCCACTCGAGTTTTTTAAAACATACCTGATCTCTTGTAAGAATATCTTCCATGAACAGTCAACAATCGTTTCAGCATGTAAAATCTTGGAATGGAATAATCCGAAGCTAACTTGGCTTGTGTTCCTTCTTTGCCCATAATACCAATTCCAACTTTTGCTTTTAAGATCATTGGAACTGTAAAGACAAGTTTTCATTCCCACATGATGTTCATCTCAAACAACTTACCATCGTTGGCACCATCTCCAATGGCCAAACTTGTTTTTCCAAGTCTGTTCATTGTAATATCGACGAGTTGAGCTTTTTGCTTTGGAGTTGCCCTACAACAAATGACTGTCTTGCATTTCTTAATCAATTCCACAAATAATTTAGTACTACTTTCATGTTCCATACATTGTGAAAATGCATGTCCATCAATTACTAAAGCTTGAGAGGTGCCACAATTGGATGGATCATTCTTTGATGCCAGTAAATCCTCAATGGCCTTATTCATACTTTCAGGAGACCTCTCAATGGAACCATCTTCTCCATTTAAAGAAATAATTTGAGTATTTTCATCTAAAAAGTTTTCCAAAAAAGCGGCATTGAGAGCTGTCTCTCGCTTATCACCAGTAAGCATCCAAAGTTGTAGACCTGCATCGAGGAAGAATTTGATAGTTTCTGGTACTTGTGGTTGAAGCATATCTTCAATAGCAGTTGCACCAACAATTTGTAAATTCGTTTCCATCTCTTTCTCGAGTGCTTCCAAAGTGAATTCAGTGTTATGATCCAGATGTGTCATGGATTTGATTGAATGGTATTTCATGACCCAGTCTTGAGCATGAGTGGTATCCACAAATTTAAAGGCCAATAACAAGGTTCGGAGTCCTTGTTTTGCAAAATTGAGAATTTGTTCATCCAATCTTGCTTTGTGTTGCTTGGAATGAAGTGACTCCATGCATGGAAAAAGGAAACTATCTGCACCCTTAGTAAAACAAACAAGAACTTTTGAATTCACATCGGAGGCACGATCAATACCATTTAGGGTCGATGTAAGGCTTCTACTACTGCTTGTCACTGATCGCAAATTGTACATCTTTCTGTACACGGGATAGTCGCATAGAAAAGATTCTGGAATTTCAAAAAGTACACTCATTCGTTTTCGTTCTGGAGTGAACGGAATTTCACACACTTTCTCAAAGATGTTATCTCTACCCAGAATACACACGATGATTTTCTTATCAGAGCAAAACTTGACTTGAAATCCATTATTAAAAGCACCTTGAACGAGAGCAATTTCATCGACACTTGCTCCTTCAAACAAGACGGATGAGCTTTCGGTGTTAAGAGTTTGAGAGGAGGAGGATTCGTTGTTCTCTCTTGGACTTACGTCATGACACAATGAGAGTAGGAGGAGAGTATTCAAGGTGTTAAACCATTGCTCTTCTTCAGGAGTGATTTCCACCGAATGGAGAGATCTATCTTTCAAGAGATCTTTCATTCTTGTCAATTCATTTCCTAGTGCACCTTTATGAAGCAGGTCATCATGAACGTAGGAACTACCGACACAACACTTGTTGAAGAACATGGAACTTTCAGTCAGAGTTCCTGTCTTGTCTGAAAAGATAATGTCAATTTTGGCTAAATCTGCATTCAAATCACTCGAAAGTGCTGTCGATCTCACCAGAATATTTCTCTCAGGATTGTGAGGATCTGCTCCATACACAGCTAATTGGTTATCTCTTGTGATGAACCATGCTTGAATAATTTTCACAAACTCAAACGTGACAAACAATGAAATTGGGATCAACAAGTTGAACAAGATATAAAAGGTAAGGAAAGAAAGAATCACACTTGCTGCATCATTCACTTTCAATTTTGGTAGACCAGTGTAGGTGTATTTTCGAGGAAAAGTGAACTCGTGGTAGGAGGAGAGCCCTGCAAAAAGTAAACACAAAGCGACCAACAGAATGGCCACCATTGCAATAAAAATGTTCAACATGTAATTCACAGAACTGAATTTGACACGACCCTTATTCATGTTTCTAATAATTTTAGTGTCTTTTCCAGTGTAAACGGCAATACCAATGGCGTATTCGGTGGATTTGAGAATGGATCCTTTCAACAGTAAATTAAGGTGAGAAAGTGGTAGTTCATGAACGGAATGACCTTCAAGGGAGAGCGAACCTTTGAATGTGTGAATATCCTGATTTGGTAATTCACATGAGATTTTCCCCTTCATTGAAGATAACTTTTCAATCGTATCGAAAGAGAATGGAACGTTGGGTGTGTAGCGAGTTTTAAGATTGGTTTCACCATCCAGGTTTGCAGTCTCTATTTTACAACTCGAATCTTCAACACTTGATGCAATGAGAAGTAAATCTGCTGGAAACGATTGATCCTTTTCAACCTTAACAATGTCTCCAACATGAATTTCACATGCTTTCACTTTGATCATTTCACCATTTCTAAGGGCTTGAGTGGGCATGTGGTTCACTTTTCTGTCATTCAAGTATCTAAAGAAATCCTCACCTGTTCAATAATTCAAAATATAATCGAATGGTTGTTGTTGTTATGTGCCACCTTGATCCAAGTTGTAAAAAGAACATTTAAAAGTACTTACCACTCTCATCACCAACTATTTCCTTCACGTTTGAAGAATTGAAACAGAGAACATTGATGATTGCACAAGTACTCACCATGAAAGGACTCAAACAAGGAGACAAGTGTTTCATTTGTCTTCCAAAGAGTGAGGAATATTTGCAAGGTTATCTCACCTGCATGGAAACAGGAATTATTTTGGTGGCAGTTCCAAAGACTGCAGACCATGAATATTTAAAGAAAATGATTGAAATTGTGACACCCAATGCATTGCTGTATGATCATGGACAGTGCGAACATGTTGTGAATGCACTCAAAGAATTGGTTCCTCAAGTGAAACATTTTCACTTTGATCAATTGGAGAATATTTTCACCACAGAGTTGAAACAATCAAAAGATACTCTCGAATATTGCGCCAATACGATTGAACCTACAGATTTGGCATCAATTGGCTTTACGAGTGGAACCACAGGCCAACCCAAAGCACTTTCTGCAACTCATGGTATCTTTTTAACAAGTTTAACACTCACTGTGAAAAATGTGGAATTGGGACCAAAATTGGGTCAAGAAGTTTCATTAGTTGGAATTCCAATTCAAGGAGCTGGAAGTGGAATGATCATGCCAACACTCTTGAGTGGTGCCGCATTACTCATTCCCAAAGAATTCACAGCTGATGAATTTTTAAGGCTGATTCCACTTCATCAAGTGACTTGAATGTTCACAACTCCAAGTCTATTGATAGACTTGTTGGATCATCCAAACTAAAAGAAACAGATTTGACACGTTTGAGAAATATCATATTTATGGAACTGAATTAATGCCAACTCCAAAATTAGAAGAAGCCCTTAAACATTTTGGATCTATTCTCCAGCAAGGTATGTGTCACTGTGATTCTCTGAAGGCCCAACAAATTAGCACTCTGATGATTTCATCACTCTCCCAATATGTGCAAACAATTCGAACAACATGTGGTCCGTTGGGATTGGTACAATAGGTTACAGCTCAGCAGAGGTGTTGCCACCAGTGAGTATGCTCTCCACAAAACATCACGTCTTGGAGGATGGAATGACTCTTGCTCCTCGTTCAGTACTCTCCTCCGTGGGTCGCATGCCTGAAGATTTGCCAGGTGAGATTTGTCTCATGAATGAATTGCCGAGAAGTGCATTGGCTAAGGTACCTCCGAGGGAAGTGAGACATTACTTGTTGGAGGCGTATGAGCAATAAGAAGAGACAAAGAACAAAGCCTCATCGTCCTATGACACGATTTACGATATAATAAGAAAAATTAGAAACCATTTAATAAACACAAACACACGAGAGAGTGAGTGACTCATTCATTTCAATTGGAGTTGTACATTGTCATCATTAGGAAAGAACAAACTGTAACCACAAGCGTCCAAAATATGACTGTATGGTGAGAGTAGGGACGAATGATTGAGGAGGAATTTGTTTTTGGGTTTGTGCTCGTAATGGGTTTTGGTGATGGTTGTGGAGCCGTTCCAGCAATATATGGACTCTGACCATTATAATTTCCTGCAGGAAAATAATCACACACCACTGTGATGATTCCATATATGACCAAATATATTATGAATATTTGAATAACAGCATACACTTACCAATAGTGGCACCATTAAAATTTGGATAGTTGGGAACAGTACTGCATGTTTTCTTTGCACATCCAACCTTAACACTGTTGGCCCAAATCAATTGAGTGTAATGGCCACATACTTTTCCCTAGTTAGGAAAATGAAAGAAATTCATGAATGAAATATCGTGTCCACATGTTGTTTTGTTCATATGTTCATATATATATATATAAACGAGTGAAACAAGGAATGACAATCTCAATAACCATGATCCATTGAAATGATCCATCACTTACTGTTTGACATGTGGTTGGATATGTAAAGTATTGTTTCTCACTCGCCCAAGAATCAACACTGGAGTTGCCAATATTCACAGACGATCCAGTGGCCATGTAAATATTCTCTCCCAATGCTCCACCTGAGTAAATAGTACCCAAATTTGGATTGTGCTCAAATAGACAATTATCGACATAGTTTGCGGCTATCTGAGCCAATTGATCATCCCAACTGATTGACTTCATATTCGCAGCAGGTGGAGAAAGTGAAGGACTAAATCTCACCAAATTATGTCGTTCCACAATTTTAGTTTTGTCTGTAGAAGAGAAAGCATTCAATGTTTGAGCAGAGACTGAAAACAAAGGTAACTTGTGGGAGAGAGTGAACACGGAGAGTAAAAGAGTGAAGAGGAGGAAAATGGTTGTGTTGGCCACGGTCATCGGTGGTGTGGTTGTGTGGATGTTGTCGCAACGCACGTGTGGGGTGTGTTTGTTTTTATGAGATAGATGAGAGGAAAGTGCCACCGAAAAGGTAAATCGGTTTCGAAGATGTTGATTGGCGACATCCGAGATGTGAGATTGGTCTTCTCTCACAAAAATTACAATCACACACACTAACACAGTTGATTATATATTGTCATTATTGAATCAAACCTTCCTTTTGGGAAATGGTGCATTTACAGTTCACACACACTATCTCTCCAATCATTCGTTAGCAATATTTTCATAGAGGAGTTGGCGTTTCTGGGTAGTGTCTTTTATTCAATCATGATGATGAAGGAGATGATATAAATATTTTATTATTTTATTTATTTTAAAATAATAAAATATTTAAATTTAAATTTATTTACAGTTAAAAAAATGTTAAACAACAACGACAATCTATCGGAAGAAGAAAATGCCTCTTCAACCTTCCATTCCGTTCATTCCCGATATTTAAAATTTGATACCAGCGTTGGATCCTTCATCATAGAGCTCTACACTTCCCATGCTCCGATCACTTGCCAACATTTTCAAGAACTTGCTCTCAATGGATATTACAATGATACTCTTATTCATACGATACAACCGAATCATGTTTTCATTGGAGGTGATCCAACCAACACGGGAAAAGGAGGAACACCTTTTGATGGATATTTAAGTGAACTTGTTACAAGCAGACTCAAACATACAGGAGCTGGAATAATCGGCATGTGTGAAAATTCACAATTTTATGTTACATTAGCACCAACTCCATGGAATGATGGAAAATATGGTGTATTTGGTCGTGTTAAAAAAGGTATGAATGTGATTAAAGCTATCAGTAAAATTCCAACTGGAAGCAAGCAACATACGATGGGAGGAAACGTCGAAGAAGAAGGTACCACTCCTTTGGAAGATATTATGATTCATAGCATTGTGGAAGTGAATGAAGAAGAAATTAATTGATGAATATTTAAAAATTTAAGAATGATTATTCCATTCAACCAGATATTTGTCACCTAATAATGAAAACAATTTTAAGGGTTCTCAAGAGAACCAAAGTAATTCCAAATTCAATTTTGAGATATCCAACACGTAATCACAACCAAATCACTTTTTACAAATAAATAATTTGTTTAATAATTTTACATGTTATCTCTTATAGGTTTGAGCAGCATTTGTTAAAATTTGATAACAATTGTCACAAACTCTAACTGGTTCATCAAAACCAAAACGAAGTAATGTGATTCTCTTTGTGGTACAATTTCCACAGAAAATACCTCCACAGTATCTGCAGTGATGTCTTCTTCTAAGGAAGGTGAATTTAGCTTTGCAACTTTCATTCATACAATTGGTAGCATCCTTGTCTGGAACCCATTGGTGAGCACACACAGCTGCGCTTTGAGAACCTCCTGCACCAAGCGTACGAACACTCTTGTCATCGAAGAATGTTATTCGAACAGGAACTCGTTGATCGCCTTCACTATTGATACCAAGTCGACCATAAGTACCAGCACCCCAAGCATACACTGATCCATCTTCCATCAATGTCATGGCGTGGTTGACACCACAAACAAGTTGCTTAGCCTTAAGTTTGCCAAACTTGACTCTCATAGGACTCAATGCATGAGTATTTGAATTGTTTCCAATTTGACCATAAATACCATTACCCCACATATATACAGCTCCATCTCCTTCTGTTATACATCCACTGTGAGCACTACCAGCAGCAATTTGCTTAACAGGCATATTTCTAAACGTCTCCACAAATGCTGGTAATAAATACTCGTCAGTATTATTGTGTCCGCATTGACCATAGGTATTATTTCCCCATGTGAAAAGATATCCTTCTTCAGTAAGGGCCATGGTATGCCATAGTCCACAAGCAACATCTACAATCTTATAGTCATCTAAAACTCCTTTGACTCTGGTTGGAGTAGCTCTATTACTTTTATCTCCAAATCCAAGTTGTCCATCTTCTCCTCTTCCAAAAGTTAATAATTGACCATCATTGGAAACAATAGCTGAATGCCAATGCCCACAAGCAATCGTAGTAACCTTGAAACCATTCGTACAAATGGGTAGAGGAGTTGGTGTTGAAGTAAAACCATCCACTTTTTCAAGACCACTGTTTGGGAAAGTGATGAAAAAATAAAATTGAAAAATCGTAAAGGTTAATCACAACTACTATTAAAATGAAATTACTTACCATTGTCCATATTGATAATCACCAAAAGCAAACACAGTACCAGTGTCATCAAGACACAACGTATGTAAATTACCCATACAGACATGTTTGATGTTCCTTCCTTGCAATGCTTTCACATAGGTAGGTTTAATTCTATCATTGGTGTCACTATGACCCAATCTACCTTTCTCACCCTTTCCCCACGTGAATAACTCTCCAGTAAACATGACACCAGCACCTGCCGAGTTTTCGCATGCAACCAAAGATACATCCAAATACAAAAAGTCTTTCATGACAAGAGGTTCTTTCTTGTCTTCTTGATTTCCATGCCCAAGACCGCCACAAGCACCTTGACCCCATGTATAGGCATCTCCAATTCTTTCGAATTGTTCCTTGAATTTTTGTTTTTCATTCTCCATGTCATGTACAAGGGCAGGTGGCGCAAATTTTGGTTCGTTAGAAGCAGTGGGTGGCGCAATTCGTTTCTGATTGAGAATGTCTTCCATGTGTGAGAGTAAGTATGTTACACCCTGAACCCAGGTATGATATTCTTGCTTATCCTTACATACGATATCCAAAGTTCTATCTCTATAGAGAAGTGAGAATGAAAGACCTTCTAGATCAGGATTCTTATACTTTTGGAAAATGGCTGTGTTTTGTCCATAACAAATCTTCTTCACATCTGTTAATGAAACAATGGACTCATTCGATTGCTTGTTTGGAGATCCCCACATTAATTCTGTTCCGTCATTACTGAGAACGAATCTTCTAAAGTGAGGTTTGGCATTTCTACAATACTTGAGCATGGTGGATCCTTCTTTCATTCTTCGAACACATTCCTCAGGAGGAATAGTAATTTCATCATTATCGCTCATAGCAAGAGCAAACGTTGTTGAAGAATCGTCGGCAATAGTATGTTCATCTACATTAAGTGTCTTGTTTCGCTTTGAGTTTTTACATTCCTTGATAAGATTGTGTAAGGTGATGGCCCAGTTATCTTTATCAGATTTGGAGGCTGCTTTCAGAATAATTGCTTTGCTTGGAGACTGTACTTTGAAAATTAAATCATCAATTTGATCATCTTGATTAACATAATTAAATATAACCAAGTCATTGAGTGGAAATTGAACTTTGAGTGTAAATTTTCCTCCTTTCTGAGAGAATAGTACAATGTCATTAAATAAATGAATATAGGTATCTCTTGTTTTTGTAAAATCTGAAGAAATAATTTCTTGAAGCGCTCCTTCCTTTAAAAATCTTCTATGAGGCTCTACAAGGTTAATATCACCATAGAATTGAGATTGAATCTTAATAATGTCATTGGTAGCTTCAATGATTTTCATTGTGTTGTTAAGATGGTCAGCAACTTCACAAATCTTATCAAGAGCGTTTTTCAATCCCTTGTAATCAGGATGATCAGGACCAGAGTGTTTGATCAAATCTTGTAAAAGAAGTCTATATCTTGGAATACGTTGGATAGGTAAGATAAGATAACTTTGAAGACCTAACTTGGATGTTCTGCTATCCTTGTCCATCTTGACAACCACCTCTTTGAAATCTTCTCGTTTTTTACATTCTTTCAAAACCTCGTTGGCCTTATCAAAGTTGTTACAGTATCGTGAGTATGTCTTGAAGAATGGAGCAATAGTAAGGAAAATGTCACTAATCTGGACATTGTGTTCATAGGTTTTAAGTCTTTCCTCTAAATCATTCAAAAAGGTTGTATTGACGTTCAAAATAACATCAATGTCAGAAAAAATAGCTTGAACTTCTTCTTTGCTGATGATTGGTTTTTCTTTGGCAGCCATTGCTTTGAATGGTTTTAAGTATACTTCTTGAAGAATGTTGAGAGATTCCACATAACTCTTCTCGGTAGAAAGAATTTCTTTGGCACAATTTTCTCGATTCACTCTGGCTTTTTGAATCTTTTTATACGTCTTTCTGGCTTCCCATCTTCTAATGTATTTCTGTAAAACTATGGCTGCATCTTGTTGCTGTTTTGTAGGATGTTTGTAAATGGCAGCAAATTGTTGAGTTTCAGAATCTAAATCGATGGAACTGATGCTCATACTTGTTCGACTGATCGTGTGAGCATGTACACCAGCACTTCCAGTGGTAACACTCATGACAGCCTCAACTTCTGCTGGAATATAGGGAATAAACTTTCCTTGTGGACCCTTGTCACCAGGTAGTGAAGACAATCCAGAAGCATAAACCATTCCACTATTACCTGCTCTCATTGAAATTCTTGATGCTGATGCAGAATCAGAGTACGAAATAGCTGAGTTTGGATCTAAATTGGTTACGAGATTGCCACCGGTCAAATTGTTGCCAGAAAGATTATTCGTGGTACTTTCAGAGAGAGGTGATCCTGTTGCTCCACCAATATTAATACGACTACTTCCAAAGTCAACAGATGCTTGAGCACGTCGTGGTTGAGGAAGACTTGGAGGTAATTTTGGATTTGGTTTGGGTCTAAATTGAGCTGAGCTAGTGCCACTAGAACTTGCTACGGTACCTCCTCCATTGTTTCTAAATCTATTTGGTACAGCAGGTTTGTTTTTTGGTAATTGATGAAGGTCCGTAGAATGTACTTTTTGTTGTGATAAAGTTGTTGTGTTTTGTTGTTGTGGGTGTTGTTGTTGATTGTTATCAGAAATGGATTCAGGCTCTTCTTCACCACCGTTTCCTCCGTTCATGGATCCATTGTTGTTGTTATTTATGATATCTTCATCTTCGTTGGAGGATGTAGAATCATCTTGATCATTTTGCTCAGATTTTCCATTCTGTGGAGGTGATGACTCCATTGGTGTGATTGGGTGATGTGAATTGCTACTACTATTATTGGGTTGTTGTGGTGGTGGTGGTGGTGATGTCATGATCGTTGCTGATCGGGGAGTAGTGTTCGGTGGAGGAGGTGGATTTATGTTTCTTGAAAGTCCAATATTGAGAGAGCTCCTATCCGTTGGTGTTGGTGGAAGTTGTTTTCCTACGATAAGATAAAATCATGAATTTAAGTTATTATTATTATTATTGATAAACAAGAGGGTAAAGGATTGGATAATTCCGATAGTAGTGATAAGGACATACCGTTTGAGTGATGTGATGACATAGGAGTCTTTGCCGATATTGTTGGTGTTGTGGTGTGGTGATGATTAATATTCGTTGCAACAGATGGAGTTGAGGGAGAAGGAGTACCATGGCCTACTGCGGACGGAGGAACATTCAATCCACCACTGCTATTCGTTTGTGGTGGTTGTTGGTGTTGGGAGGAATGAATCACCTGCTCTTTATGATGATGAGGAGGAGGCTGGGACGCCATCAGACTGCGGTTCTCAAAGGCAGCGATTTTCTCCTTGAGATTTGACATTTTTTCAACGAGTGAAAGGATGAAATGATTGTGAGAAAAATCGAATTTGTTTGCCATGATGCGACAGAATTATTAGTATTGAGGATTGGTTAAAATGGAGTGTAGAGTTCAAGGGTTACTCTATGGTGTATTCATTGGTGTCAGTTGTGCTTGTCTACTTACTTCAATCTTATCAACGTGTTAGCAATTCCTTTTCGAAGAGGGACGAATGGAAGATTTTTTTTTTAAGATAATGTTGCTTTTGAGCATTAATGAGACTGATTCTCATTTCATCGAAAGGATTAGAGGATTAGCGATCACTTCTTGCATGATGAGGGACGAATCCAATATGACGTTTCAACACCAAACATTTTGGACCATGAAAGGACAACCACCCACGATTTTGTTTCGTACGTTGAGATTTTTTACACACAAAAAAATGTTCGAAAAGAGTCTTCAGGATATGGTGAAAGGCATCCGTGCCAACAAGAACAACGAAGATGCCTACATTCGTTCATGTATTGCTGAGATAAAAGAAGAACTCAGATCGAACGATATCAAGAAAAAAGCCGTCGGTGTACAGAAGATTACTTATGTATGTAATTTTTATTGTTGCATAACCGAAATCCCGTCTACAAACAATTTGATGACAATTTTAATCATCATCAACAACATTCAACCACATATCATGAAACCTTTCGTTGATATTAAATCCTTGAACAAACATCCAAATCATAGCTTCACATGTTAGGCTATGACATGAATTGGGCTGCGTTTCATATTTTGGAGGTGATGAGTAGTCCAATCTTCACCTATAAGAGAATTGGATATTTAGCTGCTTCTCTTGGCTTCACTCCTCAAACGGATGTTATTCTCTTGACTCACCAATTATTCAGAAAAGAGTTGAAGAGTTTGAATCAATACGATACTGGATTGGCCGTTAGTGCAATCGCAAACATTGCCACTCCAGATCTAGCAAAGGACTTGGCTTCCGAAATTCTTGCTCTTCTCAACTCTTCAAGACAATACATTAGAAAGAAGGCTGTTTTGTGCATGTACAAAATTTTCATTCAATATCCTGACGCTTTGAGACCATCATTCCCAAGGCTCAAGGAAAAACTTAGTGATTCCCATCCTTGTAAGTAGTAATTGGAGATCCGATCAGTAATGATGAGATTAATTGGGTTCTATTGATACTATTCAGCTGTCGTTTCTGCTGCTGTCAATGTTATTTGCGAGTTGGCTAGAAGAAATCCACACAACTATCTCGGAATGGCTCCAATCTTTTACAAGTTATTGACAAATGTAAATAACAATTGGACATTAATCAAAATCGTCAAATTGATGGGAGCTTTGGCACCTCATGAGCCTAGATTGGCAAAAAAGCTCGTCGAACCTATTGCCAACATGATCAGCACCACACCAGCCAAGAGTTTACTCTATGAATGTTTAGTCACTGTTACTGTCGGAATGAAAGAACACATGACTGTTGTAAAGTTGGCTGTTGACAAATTGAAACAATTTGTCGAGGACAAAGATCAAAATCTCAAATATTTGGGTCTCGCTGGTTTGAACAACTTGTTATCTAAATATCCAAAAGTTATCTCTGACATGAAAGATACAATCATGGAATGTCTTGAGGACCAAGATATTACTATTCGATTCAGAGCATTAGACCTACTTTGTGGCGTTGTTAATCAAAAGAACATCAAGGGTATCATGTCTAGATTGATGAAGCAATTGGAGAAGGCTGAAGGAGATTACAGAGATTTCCTTATTGAAAGAATTATTACATCTTGCTCGAAGGATAATTATAGCAGTATTGCAAATTTCAAGTGGTATTTGGATATTTTGATTCACTTGACAAATGTTAAATCTGCCCAACATGGTAAATTGATTGCTCAACATATTATGGACGTATTGATCAGAGTTAAGAGTTTGAGACAACATGGAGTTAATGAAATGATCAATCTATTGACCTCTCCACATCTACTTACTGAAAGTTCTGAGACATCAAGCGTTTTCGACGTATTGTATGCTGCCTCTTGGACCATTGGTGAATTCATTACACAGGCAGATGTTGATTACAAACAAGTTTTGGAAAAGCTTCTCCAACCACAAACTGCATCATTACCAGATAGAATCAAAGCATGTTATGTCCAAGCAATTACCAAGATTTATGCTGCAGCAGCTGCTAAGGGTCAAACAAAACCTACTGAACAACAGGTTCAAGATCTTCTTGGCTTTGATAGTTCAACTTTAGAATCACAACACCAGGAAGGAGAAAATGAACAATTGGACAATCTTCCAAAGCAAAATAATACTAAGGTTGATTCAGAATTGCTCTCTCAATTACGTACCATCATTAGAGATGGTTTCAACAAGTATTTTACTTCTCCTGACGTTGAAATTCAAGAAAGATGTTCAACTTGTTTGGCATTGTTAGACATTCATGAACAATTGTCAAAGGAAGGTGTAGATGTTGGTCCTGAAATTGAATCCATCTTTGAAGATCCTTTGAATCCTGTGCTTCCTGGTTCACAAGAGAAAGTTCCAATCCCAGAAGGATTAGACTTGGACAACTGGATTGGTAAATCATGGGAGCTTCTTGTTGATGAGTCAATCTTCAACCAAGTGCCTGGACTTCCATCCTCTGAGTTTGCTTCTTCAAACCCATTTGAATCTGAAAATGCTCATGAAGGCCATGAAATTTCTGATCCAAACGCTCCAATCAGTAATTATCAACAATACAAGGATGTATTCACCATTAAATCCTCAAAGAAGAAGGTTCAACCAACTACTCCTGAAGCAGTTCCAAAGAAGAAGACTGTAAAGAAGGTAACTAAAAAGAAAGTTAAAAAACCACAAGAAGAGGAAGATGAAGTACCAATGCAAGTTAGTACAGAGTTTGAACAGATTGAAGGATACATTCCAACTAAATCTACCAAACCTGTTGAGGTTGAGGATGCCCTAAGTAAGATTGATCTTACCCAACCAATTGGTGCTGACGAGCAGTTGCCTACTATTAAAGCCTATCCAATTGGTAGCTCTCCAATCATTCCAAAGAAGAAGGAGGAACCAGCAAAGAAAAAGGCTACTAAAGAATCAAAGGCTGAAGCAACTACAACCAAAACCAAGAAAAAGGCAACTACCAAAGAAGCTGCAGCATCATCTACAAAGAAAAAACCCAAGACTGTGAAACAAGATTCAGGAAAACAACTTTTGGATCTGTTGGATGAACCAACTCAACCTGCTACTGAGGAAAAGAAAGTTACAAAGAAGAAGGCAACAACAGCAACAAAGAAAGCACCTGAAAAGAAGCCTTCAACTGGAAAGAAGGGGTTGAAGCTTTTGTGTCGTGATGATCACCTCAAAGTTTACTACAACACCAAAGCATTCCCACTTGATGCAAACAGTTTGTCTATTCCTATTTCACTTGAGAACATCTCTGATGAGGATGTTAATGCTATTGCATACAATATTGACAGTACCATGAATCTCAAGTTTGTTAGACCTGGTATCCAACAAACAGGAGTTGTTAGATGTGGATTTTCTCTCTCTCCAGAATCTACTAATACTTTGAATCCATCATTCACTTGCCAATCATTTGTCAGACAACAACAAATTACTGGATATATTGAATATGTTCTTGGAACCGAAGATAAGCACAGATTGGATTTCACCATGAAGATTCCTTCATCCATGTTCTTTATCCAAAAACGTATTGTAGTTGATGAATTCGCAAACTTGATGAAGACCAATCAATTACCATATCTTTCATCTACGAATTGTACCCTTAATGAAAAGATTGGTGATGTAAATACAGCAGCCAAAGAGATTGCAAGACAGCTCCGCTTGACAGTTGTCGACTCTGTTCCTGATCAGGTCTATCAAATGTATGGCTGTTCTTGTCAAGGACATCATTTGGCTGTTCTTGTTAAAGCCAAATCAGCAACCACAGTATCAGTCGAACTCAAGACTACCGATGATACATTAAGTACTTCACTCATTCAAGAGGTTGCTTTGTTGTTCAAGGAAAAGTAAACAGTACTACAATTACATCAACATGTCCATTCCTTACGAAGGAGTAGCGTTATTTCTGGAAAGCCATCATCTCCTTTTGTACGTGTTGATTGGCGATGAGAGGCACAAACAACAGTTAAAAAATATTAAAGTCCATTGATTTGCTGTTTGTTGTTGCTCGCAGCTTGGGAGTTATTAGTGTTATGGACCATAGCATTGAGGAAAGGAGCCTCCTCGTTCATTTTGATCGCTCATCACTCCAACAAGAATTGCATCTATTTCTCGACTTTTGTTGATCGCCTTACGTAATCACAACAACATCACTCTCACCGATGAGCAGGAGTGCAAGCAGTTTTATTCGTAAAGAGCTCGGCCATAACCAATCGGGTTCTACCCTTCAAAGTACTTCCAACTTTGAAAGAGCTTCATCACCAATATTACAATATGATGAAGGTGGAGCAAGAAAATTTCAGCGCCCTCAATCAACCAGTGGCATTAGAAACCGCTCTAGAATTGAGGCTCCACTACCGCCACCATCTATGGAAGAGCTACGTGCAGCTTCTCCTATTGCCAACAGATCATCATCACCCATAGCTAATCGATCTTCCTCTCCTATTCAATATAGAGCACCTTCGCCAGTAAACAGAAGTGATGTCCCAAAACAACCAAGAGATAACTTCAATGAATCAACTCTCTCTTCAAGCAACAGAGTGGACAGGAATCAAGCAGCTAAAAGACCCTCTAGCGTTACCGGAAGTAGCAGAAGCTCATCGCCAAATACTATAGACAAGAAACTAAATACGATTAGTAGCAGAATTGATTTTGACAGTCCAACAGCAATACGGGAATATTCTCATACGTCCTTTGATGCTCCCAGAAATCTAAAAAGACCTTCCTCAGTGGCTGGGTATTCAAAGAAGAACTCAACTACATCAAGCACCATTTCTGGTATTCCGCCACGAGAATCTGACTGTTTCCATAACACCACATATAACACTCATTTCGTTGTCAACACCAATCCAAATCGATCTGTATCTCCAACAAGCTACTCAAGCACTTCATTGCAAAGTAAGAGCTCCCTTGATAGAGAGTTGATAAATAGCTACTTTTCCAAACATAATTCGGTGAATCAAAGCCATGCTGAAAATGAAAAACATGTACCTGTTCATTTAAGGAATGTAGACTATTCTCAAACCAATGACGTCTTAGAGGTGGTCAAAAACAAAATTCATAGTCTTTCTCCAAATTTATCAGAGGCCTTCAGGCGAATCAAGCAAGCCACTGGATACACAGGTAATAAGGTTCGTGCAGAAGACTTCAAAAGAGCTCTTGTAAAGGATTTCCACTTGTTGGAAGACATTTCTGATGATACTCCTAATTTTAAGGCTGTAAAGCAATTTCAAACTGAGCAAATCAAAAAGTTAGATGAGTTTATCAAAATGGCAGACCCAAAAGGAGAAGGAGCATTTGGATATTCTGATTTTATTCGTGCAATGGAAGAACTAGATAGAAAATTAGGAACTAACTCAACAACTGCTCAGAGAGAGACAAGATATTGTGGATCTATGATAGATGAGGCTATGAAAAGAAGAAGAGAAAAAACAGAGCAATATATCGAGAAAATAATGGATCCAAAAAAAGACAGGGCGCCTTATGGTGTTGCTGAAGATCTTGTTAAAAACACAGATGTTTCAAAATCAGTTTATTATACTAGAATGGAATTATTAAGGAACACCTTTGGAGTTGAAAATGACAAAATACCAATACCTTTATTTAGGGATGCCTTAAAAAGATTTGACAGATATATTTTGGATGTGGATGTAGATCAAATAATTGAAAATATGGGAGCTAAAAAGAAGGGATATATTTCCTTAAATGAATTTATGAATAATTACGGCTTCGAGACAATTAAAAGCAAATCGTTTAGGAGTTCGTATGAGAATGTGAAAGGCATACAATGGCCTCAAACATTGGAATACAACCCAACCAAAGAAGAGATAATGAGTAGTATGAGAGAGAACAAGAACAAAAAGAAAGTTAGAGGAAGGATAAACAATACTAGGACGAATATTTTGAGAGGAGAAGAAATACGTCGAAACACTCCCTCTTCATTGTCTGGTAGACTCTCTGTTTCAAGCGACAGATCTTCCTCATCCATGGGACGAAGTGTTTTAAGTGAAAACAGTAGTGTTGGAAGATCGTCATCACCTGTTAGTTTTTTGAAAACTCCCGATTACCTTACTGCTCCAGGGGGTGCTAGGTCCATTCGTTTGTCAGAGTAAACTCTGATCATTGCAGACTTTTGAGCACTCAACAATGTACATTTTGGCAAGTCAACTGAACGTAATAAAAGAATGACACACAAGTCTTGTATTGGAAAAAATCGTTATTATTCAAAAACTATTTAGAAAATCGCTGCAACACAAACTCCATCAATTGCATTTTCTTGAGCTATTTCACAACATTTCATTTGTGATTGTTTCAGGTCATAAGTGTACAAATGTTTGGCATGATTGGAGCCAAGATATACCTTGTCTTTAGAGAGAGACATTGAAGTAAACCCATATTTTTCATCCTTCAAAGATCTTTCGTTCAAATCAAATAAGAATTTAACACACGTGGATGTATTTCGAACATCCCACAATCTAAGAGTGCCATCCAACGAGCAAGAAATGACATCGTAATCACCTCTGGTTGCAATATCTTTCACCCAATCGGTATGACCTTTTAGATCTCCCGCAAGCATCTGATCACCACTCGCTCTAACATCCCACATCTTGATCGTACTATCTTGTGAAGCGCTTAAAAGAGTTGAATTTAAATGTGGCGACGACGCCATCTTATAAACAGTGCACTCATGTCCGCTTAATTTCTGTACAATGATTTGTTTTTCTAAATTCCACATATAAATTTCAGATTCCTTCACTGAGGTACTTCTCTGTGAAGAGAATATACATGAATCTACAAAGGTTAACTCTTCACTACCTCCACCATAAACAGATTGAATCCAACTAGTGTGTCCTTCTAATCTTGCCAGCAAGGTGGAACAAGTCAATTGTTCTTGATCACTGTTCGATTGAATTTTTCTCAAACGAATCATTTTGTCTCTCGAACCAGACAATAGAAAATGATTCTTGTAATGTGAAAGACATTCTACTGTATTCTTTTCATCTTGAAAGGTATGTATTAATTTAAATGGCTGTTCTTTGCATGTCTTTTGATATTCATATTGTAAAATCGTGTTATCATGTGAACCCGTGAATACATAACACATGTTCTTCTGTTGAACACTTAATACACAACTCAAATCATCACCATGATCATCCAAGTGAAATGCTTGTTGTAGAGATGGAATGGTGACATCCAAAGAGCCATGATAAGGAACCATTTTCTTCAACTCGTCTTCATTATAGACACTCAAAGTATTGGAATTTGCATTAAATAGGAATAAAAATTCAATATATTGAAAAAAAGGTGTTGTTGATGTTGTTGTACTAGTTGTTGTGTGTTCATTGAGTGGTCGTTGATGTTGTTCATTCAAGATCTTGTCTTCAACAACAACATCACACAAATCATTCAATGACATGCTCAATTCATGTGTTGTTTTCTTTTCATTCTCTTCTTGAGTGAGAGTTTTCTTTGAAAGATCAGATTTTGAAGAAACAGTTTGATAGGAAGTGGTGCCATTGGAGTGATTATTCTTTTTGAATCGATCAAAGAAAGAAGTACTTCTTTTTAAGTGCTGTTGTTGTTGATCTCCACCATGATGGCTTTTGTGAAATAATTTAAAGAAGAATAATTTAAATTTGTTTCCGGAAGTTGATGGAGGGGGAGTGACTTGGATGGTTGTCATGTTGGGATTGAAAGATGTCAATGATGAAGAAGGGTGTTGTGGTTGTGATGAGGAGGAAAGGGAGTGTGTGGATGTGTCTGTTGTTGAAGGTGTGGCCTCTTTGAGGAGCGCAGAGTCGGTGTCAGATGTCATTTTGTTTTTTTTGATGAAAGTTTGATACCATCAATCTTCCTGAATAGGAAAATGCATATCACCAATAAGCTTTTCACTTTTTGAATATTTGGTGATTCATTTCAATTTTCCTTGACTATTTCAAATGAGAAATTATCGAAGAATAGAAAACAAGTTCTCCCGCCAATCAGTGCTTTCCATAACTACAAATCCAAAAATCAAAAAAATGTCTCGAGTGCTCTCTCAGCAGGTTGGGAGCAGTCTCTCCACTTCAAAAATGAATAGCTTGATGACTTCAACTTGCAATTCAAACAAAACCCAGAGAGGGTTCGGAGTTGAGGTAACAAGTGATCTCGTATGGAAACATTGGTAGGTTTGAATAGTAGTTTGTAAATAAGGAATATGTTTCAAACAGCAAACTTCTAAAGGGATGTCGGTGGAGATTATGCAAAAAAAATTATTGTAAAAAATGTGAGCACAGAGGTAGTGGAGGTCAAATATGAGTTACCGAAATCAAAAAACTTCTTTATGGGATTTCCAGAGCCATCAAAAATAAGTCCTGGTGTGTCTGTGGCCTTTGAGATTCGATTCCGACCTACGGAACGAGTACGTGTCATGTTTGTTCATTATTATTTTAATCATATTTCGAAATATTAATATTTTAGAAAAATTACAATGACACAGTGAAATTAACCGTTCTGAAAAAAGGAGATTTGACTGTGAATATTTCAGCATTACTACCAAAAGCACTTTTGGATGTTCCTAATAACATTGATTTGGGTTTTTGCCCTACAATGGAAACAACACGAAAAGAATTTGAGATGGTAAATATTGGGGAGACATCATTTGAATTCAGTTGGTCACTCAAGCCTCCTTTTGCTTTTAAGCCCTCTTATGGAAGGTTAAATGTTGGAGAAGCATTAACCGTGCATGTATTCTTTTCTCCTAAGGATGCTTCTTCATATGTGTCGACAGCAATATGTAAACTTTCTTCTGGAGATGCAGTCTCAATGCAATTACAGGGAGTAGGAAAGATTGCTCACATCATTGCAAATGAAACAAACATTTCATTCGGAAAATCGCCAATAGAGGCTCCTTCAAAAAGAGTTATTAGCCTCAAAAACACATCATTAGTTCCTGCATCGTTTTCTATTAAGAAAGTTGAAAATGATTATGTAGAGGATGTATTTTCTTTTGAACCTAAAAGCCAAATTTTACCTCCCGGTGCCACAACAAACATTACTGTCACATATCTTCCCTCGACGATTGATTGTTTTGATTGTAACAACTACACCATATCAACTCCTGGAGGAAATCCTATTCGATTGACTTGCTCAGGTTATGGAGTTGGCCCAGAATTAATTATTTCACCAATGTCTATCAATTTTGGAGACGTTCTCGAGGGAAAAGAGGTAAAGCGATTAATTACTCTGGAAAACAAGTCGAATATGGCAGCAGAATATAACTTTAAAGTGGATACAGAAGGTACCTTTAAATTTGAGAGAAACTGTGGAGTCGTACCTGCATATCAGACCAGACAAATAACTGTGACGTTCATTCCGAACTTACCAATTAATTACTACAGAAGGATTTTTATTGTTGTTAAGAATCAGGGGGTGACAGTAAGTAACTAAACTTTCTAAGGCCTTAATTACTAATTTTGTTAGTTTATTGATTTGCTTGGAACAGGCTATAACGATTCAAGAAGACCTCCACCATTTTCGATTAAAGAGGTCTATTTATTTAAAGAAAGAGTTTACAAAGGATTGCCAGCATACTCACCCAGCGAAATTGAAAATTATTTAGAATTGTCAGAAAGTGGAAGACTTGATACCTTGTCTGCAGAAGAGCGAGAGAATGTATCTAATTTAACTCAAGTGTTAAGCAATACAACATCTACTACCGACCTCATTAGAGACAATATTGAAAACACTCTCAACGAGTTCTTTAATTTAGTTACAGACTATGACAATCCTATTTCAATTAACTACAGTAGCATTTCTTTTGGAAGCTGTTCTCGGTTTAAACTTGCAGAATATAAGACAGTAACAATTTCCAACAGAACAAATGGCAAAATTACCTGTGATGTACAAATTCCGAGTTATGAAGGAGCTCCTTCCCCGTTTGTTGTATTCCCAGAAAGTGTTGACATTAAGCCAATGAGCACTTTTTCATTCAAAATTGGATTCAGGCCAAGCTATGACAACCAATTTTTCAGCAACGAAATTGAATTCATATGCTATTTCAAATCAAACAGAAGTTTTAGACTGGTAAATTCACAAACATTTGTTCCTCCATGGGTCCTACCTCTCAAAGTATTTGGTAACACCTTCAACAACACAGCAGCCTTCATTCCAAGATTTACTCTACAACCTTCACATGTTACCTCATTTCCTCCTTGCCTTACAAATGACTCCACCTATAGATCCTATACTATTTATAACGAAAACGACATTCCTATGCCATTTGAGTTCCTGGTCACCACGGAACAGAGAAGATATTTCACATGTTATCCTGAAAATGGATTGGTTCCACGAAACTCCTTCCAAATCATTGTTTTTAAATTTTCTCCTTCCGAGCCAGGATCATACCAAGATACAATCAAATGCATTTTCAATGACTCTCCAAATCACACAGTGACAATACCAATATTTGGAATGAGCTTCTTGCCAACTATTAGCTTTGGAAAGGATGGAAAATTGTTTTTCAAACCAACGCTTATTGGTGCTTCATCGGTTAAAGAATTGACTCTCCACAATCCTTCAAGAATTCCAATTACCTATGAATGGGATATTCCAAAAGACTTTTCATCTGTATTTAGCGTCTCAAGGAAAACAGGAGTGTTGAACGGCAACGAAACTCAGAAAATTGTTTGGACATTTGCTCCTAACCTTAAAAAAGTCTATTCCATCAAGATTCCTTGTATTGTTTCTAGCGTGGCAGAAATTAACAGAGAAAGCATCAAGTCCAGATCTTATCTCATACTTTTGGGAGAAGGAAACAATGCCGGAATAACAGTAGAACCTTCCAACATAGATTTTGGAAATGTTTTGGTCAATGAAAAAGCAGCCAAGACATTGACACTTCTCAACTCTAGTGATTGTGATTTACCTTTTGAATTAATCATACGAGAAAATGTCAATGGAGACTTTGTACCAAGCGATTCTGGAGTGCTTGAGTGTGAAACGATGAAAGGAACAGTGCCTTCTAGATCTCACAGGCACGTTCAAGTGTTTTATAGACCCAATCAAAGAAAGCTGGACAAGTTCACAATATTCTGCTCTTTGAACCTAATCAGAGAAGTTAGTACCATGACAGAGGACCAAATTTTATCTCTTCAAAGATGTGAAGTTGTTGGAATTGGATCATTCCCCCAACTTGGAATTACAGACATTCAATCAGCATCTACATCAAAAGTTGATCTTTGGAGCCAATTTTCTGTCAATTCTATTAACAAGGAGCTCAGACAAAACACTAACTCTTATCAAATTGAATCAAGTATTACAAACTTTAACTCTTCCATCCAATATTTAGAAAAATATTACTGTGATTTTGGAGCTAAACCTGTAGACTCTGAAGACACGATTATCTACGTTACAATTGAAAATATTGGGAAAATTAGGGCACAATTCTCGATTACAACTCCATTCGACTCGATTGTTGATGTTGATAAATGGGCACATGATCAAGTCGCAAAGGATGAGGACGAATTACGAGCGTTGAGCATTTTTGTAAATAAGCTTTTTGAAATTTATCCAAACCAAGCAACTCTTGAACCTGGAGAAAGTGTTATGATAGCCTTAATATATAGACACAAAGTTGTTGATACTCATGAAATACCAATATTATTTCAGATACGAAATGGAAGATGCTTTACAGTATATCTAACTGGAAGAACTCTTTCATATCAACAAAAACATTTGCAGTTCGGAAGCATGGAACATACACTTGAAGATCAAGAAATTGGCTCACAAAATCACCCAATACAGTATTTAAAGGTAATCAATCCAACAAATCAAGACATTGAAATTTGTGTGGATGAACAGCCATTTAAACAGCTAGCTCTTGAAAATTATGATTTTGAAATTATATCCTTGGAGAATAAGAAGAGTATTGTTCCTGCTAATCACTTCATTTATCTTAGACTCGTGTTCCGACCAATCGAGCTTAAAACATATGAAATATGCCTTCCTATTCAGATGATGAATTCTGATCTTGTTTACAACCTCACTTTGAGAGGGAAAGGAGTCGAAAGAATATGCAAACAATTAGAATCTGATGAAGACACGCAGATTGTAAAGCATGTACCAACTGAGGTTCAGAAAATTCAACAACAAAGATATCCAATGCAAACTGTTGCATTCTCGATGGAGATATTTGATTTTGACTCTATTCCTTTCCTCTCAGTTCACACCAGAATTGTCAGCATTTCCAACCTTTCATCAGATACTCTTTCTTTTTCTTGGAACACAATTCTACCTCTTGATGATAATAATCTTTCTTCCACTATTAAGATTGAACCTTTAACCTCCGTACTTCAACCACAGGAAACGAAATATTGTAAAATCACTCTCTATGCAGGCTCCATTTCACAACTTGTTAATTGCGACATTTACTGTGAGGTGAATAATATCAGCAAAAAAGAAAGAAAAGAGCAGAGAAAAAAGAAGTACGAAGAAACTCTTGTTCATTATGCAAAGGATGATGATATTTCTGATCAAGTTAGTGAAAAAAGTATTTTGTCCATTAAGGAGCATTTTGCAAATCCAAAAAATAGACTCAACAAAGGCAGAATTATTCCAAAACCAGTTACAAAGAATACTACGAAGAGAGAATCAGTTATTAGCAAGAGTACAATCGCTAGAGATAATGCTTTAACATTGTCAGCATATACAACCTCAATTCCAAGATATCTACCAGTCTCTAAAACCATTACCAAACAACCTGTACTTGAACGACCTTCTTCCGCAACAACAGACAAGTTTGGACTTCAACCTGTGATACCAACAAAGCATTATTTAACGATCAAATGTAAGGTCATACCACTTGAAGAGTTCAAATATGGTCCAACAACAAGAGAGAAATGGGAAGAAGAGTTTATTCCTCCACTTTATGATAATGAATTCAAGATTGATCATAGACCAACATCCTCATTGTCAGTAACCTCTAGTATGGATAGAAACATGTTCTCGGATATACTTTCAGGAATGCTTCAGGATATTATGCATGATAATGATCTCGAACAATCTCTTGCTGAAGTCAATAAGTGGGATGCAACAGCTTCAAGCTTGTTTTATTGTGAATTTGCAGAAACGCCGAGATCTAGCAGACCATCATCGGCCTTGCCAAAGACAGACTCTACATCAAAAATTACAAATCAACCTCTTAATATCTCATCCTTTACAGAAGCAACAAATGATCTTATTCCTTCTACTGTGGAGAGTTCCATTCCTGGCAGTAAACTTGAAACTCGCGAAGAAGAGAGATCATCATTCCAAGAGCACTTCATTCAAGACCCTAAATTTCAAAAAGTTCTGGAGTGGATATTGGATGAGACTTTGTTTAAGATTGTTGGAGAAATTTCAAGTGATGTTGCAGTAGTGATGTAAACAAAATTGAACGTCACTTGATTGAACCCATCACCACAGGTCATTTGCCACAACAAAATGTTTATTTCAAAATGCCATTCTATCAATAAATTGAAATCAACGAAACGATTTTGAGCTGATGTATTCAATGTTCAAACAACCTTTGCGAAAAGATTCTCTTGAGCCTCTTCAACTTGTTGGTGCACCGATTGTAAACAATTCAAAACCAATCACGCTCACTCGAATATTTTATTTTCGTTTTCAAAAAAACTACATTACACTCATACCCACGTATTCGCAATCTTTAATTCAATATGGTTAATAACGATATCACTGTTACTGTCGATGATGACTACAAGCAAAAGCACGGAAAGGCAAGATATGAACAAAAGGAAGTCAAAGAATTTGATGATATGAATCTCAAGGAAGACTTGTTGAGAGGAATTTACTCTTACGGTTTTGAAAAGCCTTCTATCATCCAACAACGTGCTATTTTGCCCATCACTACCTCTGAACCACCAGCAGATGTTATCGGTCAAGCCCAATCTGGTACCGGTAAGACTGCTACCTTCACTATTTCCATGCTTCAAAGATTGAATATTTCTCCTGAAGTAACACAACCACAAGGACTCGTGTTGGCTCCAACCCGTGAGTTGGCACAACAAATCCACAAGGTAATCATGTCCTTGGGTGAATACATGAAAGTTAAGGTTCACGCTTGTGTCGGTGGTACTAAAGTACAACACGATATTGCTATTCTTGAAGAAGGAGTGCATATTATTGTTGGTACTCCTGGACGTGTCTTCCACATGATTCAAAGTGGACACTTGGATGTTAGCGGTATTAAAATGTTGGTCATTGATGAAGCTGACGAAATGTTGAGTCGTGGTTTCAAGGACCAAATCTATGCTATTTTCAAGAACCTTCCTCAAGATATGCAAGTCTGTTTGTTCAGCGCTACTATGCCTGCTGATGTTTTGGAAATTACTGACAAGTTTATGAGAGATCCAATTAGAATCTTGGTCAAGAAGGAAGAATTGACTTTGGAAGGTATCAAGCAATTCTATATTATGTGTGAAAAGGAAGATTACAAGTTGGACACATTGTGTGACTTGTACAAGATTTTGACCATTTCACAATGTGTCATTTTCTGTAACTCTCGTAAGAAGGTTGAATATTTGGCTGAACAGCTTAATAAGAGAGACTTTACTGTCTCATCCATGCACGGCGACATGGAACCTAAGGATCGTGAATTGATTATGCACGAATTCAGAACTAGTGCCTCTCGTGTTCTCATTACCACTGACTTGTTGGCTCGTGGTATTGACGTCCACCATGTTTCCCTTGTCATCAACTATGATTTGCCACGTCACAAAGAAAACTATCTCCACAGAATTGGTAGATCTGGAAGATATGGTCGTAAAGGAGTTGCCATCAACTTCATCACTAAGGATGACATTCGTAGTATGAGAGAAATTGAAAAGTTTTACAGTACCTCTATCGAAGAATGTCCTCAAAATATTCATGAACTTATCTAATCGGTTCCGACCACTTTGACTTTTAATTATTTTAATGACAATGAGGTGACATTGTTAAGTCCAAATTTTGTTCACCACCCTTCATTATTTCTCCTCTCATCATCATTATTTCCCCCTTCCCTAACAAGAACAGTAAGAAAATAAAAAACACCCTTTGAACCATCACGATCTTAAGAGTATAATTATATTGGTTTTATTAACAAGTCACAACAATGACATTGCTCTCCACAAGGTTGAGAACAACACTATTCAAAGTGACAGTTCTCTTTTCTCCATTGCTAGAGATTTGAGTATTTTGTCCGTTCACTGTGGCCTTGCATTGTCCGCTTTGCATTGGGAAACCGTAGAATGTGACACCAGTAAGTTTGGATTGAGCAGCTTGAGCATAGTTGTGTTGGAGAACCTTAGTAGTGAGTACAATGGTATTCTGAGAGAGTGGACTTGCTTGTAATTCCACTAAAGAATAAATTCCATTCTCAATAGAATTGGCACTTTCTCCATCATCCAAGAAAATCATACCACCAGCCTTAAACTCGTGTTGACAAAGAGCCACCAAAAGTTGGAAAGGATTCTTTCTAGTCTCAAAAGTGGTGAGACCTGGAGTTTGGCGTTGAATAATTGAGCCACCAACCATCAAAGCATTTGAATATCCATAAAGAGGAGCATCAAATCTTTGGAATTCACCTCCCTTCAATGAGACGAGAGATCCTGAATAGTAATCAAACCATCCTGATCTATGTTGAGGGATGTACGCTCTTACACTCAATGCTCCTTCATCCAACACTGGTACAACCATCAAATGTTCACCAACCATGAATTGAGTGTCAATAGAGGCCAACAATGGATTCGAATCGGATGAACCAAAAACATAGAACAATGGTTTAACAACACCACCACCATTGGAATGAACACGATAGAATTGAGTATAGTAATAGTTCAAGAGTGAATAACGATTGGAAAGAACTCTCTTGGTCATGTCAATGAATTCTTGTCCAAAGACATAGGGTTCTTGTGGAATGGCCTTAATATCATTGTGATCTGTGGGCATTCATCATCATAGATTCCAAAAATAATGCAAGCGAGGAATGGTTCAAGTGAGGAGCAAAAGGTCAACACAGAGCAAGGTCCGTATATAGATGTGATCAATGAACCAAGTTTGTCATTGGATTTTTGCGAAAAAGAACCAGGATATGAGAAATGATCAACACAATCACAATACTTACTTCTAGAGAATGGATAATAAGCCCCCAATTGAGTCCATCGAGCACACAATTCCTTTGTCGTATTACCAATAAATCCACAAATATCAGCTCCAATCAATGCAACACCATACATTTGCATGGCCAACATTCCACTAATGGATGATTTCATAGATTGCCATGTTGCTTCATTATCTCCCAACCATTTAGCAGAAATTGCTCCTAATCCTGGATAGGAACTTCTTGTTAAAATAAATGGTCTCTTATTACCAGTGACTTTTTGAAGAATGGCTGTCGTTGCATTGACTTCATAAAGACCATAGAGAGAGTGTGTGTTGTAATTAATGCTAATGTGTTGAATTGCATCCATAGAGAGTGTTTTCATGTCGAGTTGTCTTCCTCCTGGAACATAGGGTGGATTGTTTGGATTAAATTGAGCAAGTTGACCTCTCATGTGGAATGGTTGATTGAGTCTTGATGAATCACAAGTACCATTACAGAAACAGCTCACTTCATTCATGTCCAACCTGTGATGGATTATGTATGAATGGAATGAGTCAATTGGGAAATGTATCGACAAGAATGAGCCAATCGTGAAAGGAATGGAAAATGTTGAATAGACAAATATGATTGATTCAATGGTATATACAATTGTACACACACAAGTAGTATACAATTGAACAAGTAGTGCACCACTTACCATAAACCAGAAACTGGAATTTCAGAATGGAATTTTTCTACCAAGCTTTCCCAATATGGAAGAGTCTTTGGATTGGTAAAATCAGGGAATACACACAATCCTGGCCACACAGTGTTAATAATATCATTGACACCATCACTCTTCTTCATGAAGATATTGAGTTGTTTTCCAATATCATATGGTGCATAACCACTTTCATATTTGATACCTGGATCAACAATGACAACATAATGTTGATTATTAGCTTTCAATTGCTCTACAAATTTTCTAACTTGATTCTTTGGATATCTTTGTGGATCAGTTGTGAAATCTCTATAACCATGCATATAGTCAATATCATTCCACATCGTGTCCAATGGAATTCCATATTGAGTATATTTATCATAAACAGTTTTCACTTCATCAATATTCTTGTATCCATAACGACATTGATGCCAACCCAATGCCCAAAATGGTGGCATGTATGGTCGTCCAATTAATTCATGATACTGTTTGGTGACATCTTCTGGAGTTGGTCCTGTGAAAATATACAAATCAATCACACCACCAATGGTTTTCCAAATTAAATTGTCATTGGTAATAGTAACATCTTGTGCATTCGAATTGAACAAAAATACACCATGAGCACGACCACTATTGGAAAAGTATTGCATATAGAATGGATGAGTGCCATAAAGATTTTCATTTGGAGTATTTAAATTATCTAAATTCCACATGGTGTATGTACCAGGAGTGTATCTGAGAGGACGAGCTCGTTCACCAAATCCATAAATGTTCACTTGAGAATCTTTGGCTTTTTGAATGACATCAAAAACAGTACCAAATGAAATGAATTGATCTTCAAACTGTTCATGCATGAAAATGTATATATATTTTGTATATATATATTTTTATAGGTGTGAATGAATCATTAGTAGTAGTTGTACACGAGTGTGAATGTGACAAGAGTTGCACATCAAGAAAGGTTGTAAAGAAAGTGTGTGTGCATACAAGAGAGTGAATAGGTGTGTGTGAAAATGGTGAGAAGAGTAGAAAAATACAAATAAACAAACACTTACCACTAATGGAATATTACTGGTGTTGAACAAGGTTTCCATGGTTGCTGTTCTCATCACTTCAAATCCGAAAGGATAAGTCTTTAAATTCACAGTATAATCCTTTTGAGATGGCTCAACATTTGGTGTTTTTGATTTAATGATCCAACTTGGAACTTGCCATCTTTGTTGTTGAAGGTCAGTGACTTTAATGTGAATTCTTGAAGATGTCTCAAAGTAGAGATCAAATTTTAGATCAGAATAATCAGATCCATAAGGACCACTGTAAGTGTGTGTGAGGATGATGAAAATGACATTTTTGAGAAACAATTTGGAAGTGTTAATGATGATGAATAACAACACATCGAGAAGAGTTGTGCAAGTGAGTGAATGAGGAATGTAATATTCATTGTGTATGAGTGAAGTAATATTGATTGTGTGTGTCAGAGTTCGGAGTTTAAAAGAATGATTAACGAGTTGTTGATACATACTATCCCTGTACTAAATGTAAATAACCACTGTATCCGTTACTAGTTCTAACCAGATTGTTGAGTTGATATTTTGGAGCCGATGATTGAGCATTAACCATCATCATCATCACTCCAACAAGTGTCAGCAACAGAAGCACGACCGGACCGATCGATCCAAAGGAACGTTGTGTCTTCATTTTTTGAAAAGTTTGCAGTGAGTGCCATAAATGATGTGAAGAAGTCTCAATTAACAACATGATGATGACAGATGTCCGAGTTGTAGTGCATGTGATGTCCGAAAGTGTTGGAATGAACAACTTTTGGGAGATACGGAGTTTGAAAGATTGGGAAATTTGTACAAATAATGTTATATTGAAGAGTGACATTCTACGAGTACTAGATACGAAGTCCGACTTGAATTTGTCGTCGAGCAATATAACTATCATCACAAATATATTGCTTGTTAAACATCGTGACTTTACATCTCTTCTTCCTCTTCGTCTTCTTCCTTCATGATAAAACCTGCACCTGATGAGGTTTTCTTGATGCTAGGGAATACACCACAATCCTTGAGAGATTGATAGAACTTGTCAAAAGTGACTCTTCTTTGTGATTCATCACCAGAGTCATTTTCATCCATATCTGTTCTGGTGTATGCCATTTCAGTGACCAACAAGAGCTTTTTGATTGGAATGTTCTTTGGAACGAGTTCAATAATTGTCTTCATGGTTTCCTTGTCAACTGCAGAGTCAATACTAAAGCATCCGGATGAGAGGAATACGTTCATAATATCTGATTTTGCTGATAGAGATGGAACCTCTAATGTCACATTGAATATTTTAGTAATTTCTAAATTTTCTAAAATATCAGCCATGCTTGTGGTACCAATGACAAGCAATTTTCTGCCTGATGGTGGAGGTTTCTTAATCAAAACAAGCAATGCCTGTAGAATTAGGTTAGAGAATCTAGGTCCAATGTGAACTAATTGAATGAGTCTTTCAATGCTGTCAAGTACAATAATGCTGAATGGTGATTTGTAGGCATCATGGAAAATCTTGTTGATTTGTGTACAAATGGTTTGTTCCGAATAACCAACCATTCGATCGGCAGAAATAATTTTAACGTATGGGAATCCACTTTCAACGGCCAAATGTGCAGCAATTGTTGTCTGTTTAAATAATAAATATTATTGTGAGTAAATACGTATCATTTGAATAATCAAGTTGTAGTCTGTTTTGAATAAAAGACCTACCTTTCCACTTCCTGTTGCACCGCTTAACAACATGCTCAACAAGTTGGTTCTGCTACTAGTTTCAACTTGCTTAATAAAAGATTTACAAGTGTTCATCAACTTGCTGAAAGGTTCTCCATAATTAATAATACCCTGATTCAAATAAGCTTCGAGTTCATCAGTTGAAACACCAAATGCTGGTTTCACTTCTGTCAAAGCCATTTCAAAATCTCCTGCAGTAACTTTGATATTCTTTTCATCAAACTTTTTCTTTCCATTGATATCAATTTGTCTATTTAGTGCAAATGAAGCAGCGGACTTGACTAAACCTTCAATTTCAGCTCCAGAAAAGTTCTTGGTTGTTTTTGCCAAATACTCAAAATTAATATCTTCAGAGAGGTATTGATTTTTGGCCATTTCACGAGTGTGAATCTTTAAAATTTGCAAACGTCCATTTTCATCAGGTAAACCAATCTCCATTTGTACCTCAAATCTTCCAGGACGTAACAATGCTTCGTCTAACATGTCCAATCTGTTAGTCATACCGATAATTAAAATATTGTTCAAAGAATTAACACCGTCAATCTTGCTCAACAATTGATTGACAATGGAGTCTTGTACACCTGTACCATCTCTTACAGTACCACGTTGTTTGCAAATTGCATCCAATTCGTCAAAAATAAGTAAGTGGAGTTGGCTGTCATCTCCCTTTTCGTTGTATTCACTTTCTGCATCAGAGAAAAGCTTTCTGATGTTTTCTTCTGATTGACCAACATATTTGTTTAGAATCTCAGGTCCATTGATAATTTTTGGTTCTTTACAATTCAAAATTTTACCAATTTGTCTTGCAACTAAGGTCTAATTTGAAAAAATTGTTAGTAACCAATAATTTGTAAAATTAGAATTGCATATCTCGACATACCTTTCCTGTACCTGGTGGTCCATAAAGAATTATACCTTTGACGTGTTTTACACCAAGTTTTTTGATAACATCTGGAGGATAAATTCGAGAAGCAAAAGCTCTTCTGAAAATATTGTTGAGTTGCTTATCCAAACCACCAATACCTAATTTTTCAAATGTGACAGTAGTGTTGAAAATATCTGTGGTTGTGGTAGATTCTGATGGTAAATTTGTTAATCTTACACTCGATGATTTTGTCTTCATAATACGGATTGTTGTGTTCTTGGTCAGCATTCCGATATTGGCCATTTCCTTCAATTCACCAGAGTTTGTCTCTAGTGTTTTGGTGTCAAAAACTTCCAAATCTTTGACTACAACAAGGATCATATTTCCTTCAAAATCAATCACAAACTTTTGTCTATCAACAAATATGTGTCTGTTGTAGCACTCTTTCAGAGTATGAATCAGTCTTTTTCCGTCGACTTCTGGATCAGTTACAGTATTTGGGCTGATGAAATCAATTTCTTACGTATAAAATTTAATATCAGTACGTAAGGAAGAAAAAAACATGTTTCAAAAACATACCCATAGTAACAAGTGAGAGTTCAAAACTTTGTTTTGGGACACGAAATATTTCGCAATCAGCATCGGCATTGTTTGGTAAATGAGCGCTTTGTCTTTGAATCTTGTTCAAAGCAATTGATCCGAGCTCGATGGCTGAGTGTGATTGTGCGATCAACACAATATCTCTCACTTTAATATAAATTGGAAACTCTGGAAATTCCTTTTCATTGACGTAGGCATAGTTTGTAGTAACGAGGTTCTTGCCTGGAGTATTGGTTACTTTGAGGCTTTTAGGTCCGAAGTTAACTTGCGTTACAGGAGGATTTGAGAGAGGCTCGCTTTGAGTTGGTTTGTTGTTGTTACCGTTGTTGGATGCAGTCGGTTGAGAAACAGGCATGATGATGAATTTTTTTTGAAAAAAAGGGTGCGATGATAACGCGAATGATGACGTGACGACGAGGAAGAGTATCCACAAAAAGCTATTCAATTAAAAATATAATAATATGGAATCCACATGTTTGAAATGATTTGAGTTGCAAACAAGAAAGCATTACACATGTATGATGCATAAGAAGTTATAATTGTTGACTCTCTTTCTTTATTGCATGCGGCACAGACAAATAATGAAAAGTTCCAAAAAACAAAGGAAAAAATGCCTGAATACATCATTAGAGGTAAGTCATGTCGTTATTACTTCCATCACCGGAGCCATAATATTAATAATAATTCTCTTCATCAATAGGCGTTACAGTAAACTTTCCGTATCAAGCCTATCCATGCCAAGAATTATATATGGAACGAGTAATTCAATGTCTACAAGAATCTATTCAAGAAAAACAAGAAAATCCGATTGCAATTTGTGTAAGTATTCCATTAGTGATGATGATTCGTGATATCATCTTTATATTTTTCAGTCTCGGAATGCACTCTTGGAATCTCCGACGGGTACAGGTAAAACAAGTAAGTTAAATTACGAGATGTATTTCATAAAATTCATAATTGTGCACACATCATGATTGATATAGTGTGTTTACTTTGTTCCGCTTACGCCTGGCTCATTGATTATAAGAAGAGTAAGTATGCTGCTCTAATGATGATGATCGTAATGAAGACTGATTTAAAACCACTGTAAATATATATCATATACACAGAATCATATGGAACAGGAACAATGCCTAAAATCATTTTCACATCCAGAACTCACTCTCAATTGACTCATGCAATTCAAGAATTAAAAAGATCAGCCTACGTTCCTGAAATTGTTGTAATGGGTTCAAGAGAACAAATGTGCGTCAACCCAGATGTTGTTTCTCTCAAAGGTTTTCAACAAGTTTCAAAATGTTCTTCTCTAGTGAGATCTGGTGGTTGCAAATATCATGCAAAATTTACAGAGATGAAAAAATCGGGAGACTTATTTCATCACGAAACTGAAGATGAAATTGAGGACATTGAGGATTTATTGACAAAAGGATTGAAGAACAATTTTTGCCCATTTTTCTATGCTCGTGAAAAACAAAAATGTGCAGAAATTATATTTATGCCTTACAATTATTTAATTGACCCACTTTTACGAAAAAAAGTGAATGTAGACATTACGAATTCTATTATAATATTTGATGAAGCTCACAATATACAAAAACTATGTGCTGAGGCTTCATCTTTTGATTTTTCAGCTATTAATATTTGTAAAGCAATTGCTGAAATTGAAAAATGCAGATCAGAGCTTGACAAAATCAGTACAGATCCATTAGAAAATGCAAGATCTCTAGAATTGAAAACTGATTGCTTGGACATTTCTTCAGCATTGTTAGATTTAGATATTCATTTGGATGATATGGAAATATCTGACGATGGCTATACCGCAACCGGTGACACTATTTTTGATATTTTTTCTTATGCATCTGTTCATCCTTCAACATGGGAGTCATTCAATGAAAAGATCAAGAGTATTTGCAATTTTCTTCAAAGCAAGAAACAAAATTGTTCTGGACTTGAAAGAGTGAAAGAAGCTATTGAAAGAATATTCTCAGATTTTAATTCATCTTCAGAAGTATTTAAAAACTATTTCAAAGTATTTATTTATTACTCAAAGAGGCAACCAGGAGTTATGAATACTAACCTCTCCTCTGAGCATTTACAACTCTATTCAGATGTTTTAAGCACAAGAGATCGAAAGAAAGATTTTAGAAAAACAAAAACACTTTCATTTTGGTGTTTCAATCCAGGCATTTCCATGCAAAAACTTGCAAGTGAAAATCCATTAGCATTTATTCTCACATCAGGAACATTATCACCAATGGAATCATTTGCATACGAACTTGGACTTAACTTTCCAATTCGATTAGAAAATCCACATGTGGTATCTAAGGATCAAATTTGTGTGATGGTCGCTCAGACAGGACCAACTGGAACCAAACTCAACTCGAGTTACACGAACCGAGCATCTGAATCTTATTTGAGGGAAATTGGAGGAACATTGTTGAATTTATCTAAAATTGTTCCTGATGGTCTATTGGTATTCTTTCCTTCGTATACATTGATGGATCAGTGTGTGGAATTGTGGAAAAAATCGATGGGTGGATCAAAATCAATTTGGGAGAGTGTCAGTCAAAACAAAATCATTATTGTAAGTAACAGTAGTAATGGTAGTAGAACGATGATTATTCATTGTCATGGTGGAATGTGTATCCAAATAATTATTTTTGTTCAACTGATTATTTCAATCAAAAAAGGTGGAACCCAAAGAATCGACCAAACTCAATCAATCGATCAGAGACTATGAAGATTCTATTACGAATAGAAAAGAAAAAACAACAGGTGCATGTTTCTTTGCAGTTTGTAGAGGAAGAGTAAGCGAAGGTTTAGACTTTAAAAATCGAAATGGTCGTTGCTGTATGATTGTTGGATTACCATTTCCTCCACTTCATGATCTGAAAGTGAAACTTAAAAGAGATTATCTTGATGAAACAGCTCAAATAATGATCAAGGAAAATCCAAATGCAAAACCAATGACAGGATCTGATTGGTATGCTCAAGAATCATCTCGAGCTGTGAATCAAGCTATTGGTAGAATTATTAGACATCGTTACGATTATGGTGCTGTAGTGTTGTGTGATGAAAGATTTGTTTATCAAAATCAGAGAAAACAACTCTCCAAATGGCTTCAACCTCATGTGAAAGTTGCTAACCAATTTGGTGAAATTTCTAATGGAATATCCATGTTCTTTAAGAATGCATTTCAGAAATTTGGACTTGAAAGCGAAAAAGTGAAACCACCCAATGCACCTGTCATTAAGAAACTTCCAAGATTTTCCTTAAATTTAACAGAATTGTACAACAAATCAAAAAGTACTTCAGAGTTGTTACCTCAACGAAACATTTATCATGAAGATTATGAAGAGTATCGAAATGAAATTGGAAATATTCAGGATGTTCCACTCACTGAGGAAGGAATTACACCACAAGGAATATCTTCTTCATCAAATTCATTACAACATTACAAGAATTCACTCGATGTATCTTTATCAGTGAATGATCCAAAGAGAAGTATTACCAAACAACAACAACAACCAAATATTGCAGGACAGAGATCTTCTGTGATACCATCCATTTCCTCAACAGCAACAACAACATCAAACAGTAACAACAGCAACAACAACAACACGAATCATCATTCTGTAACATCCTCCTTCTCGTCATTATCTCCAAAAGATCATCCTCCTCTCAAGAGAAACGTTGTTCTCAACAGTTTTGTGAATCCCAACTCAGAATTTTTAAATCCACAATTAAGGAGCTCACCATCGAGTGGTCACAGTACTCCTGTGAGTTCAAAGACTTCAAGCACCTCTACATTGAAAGAATCCCAATCATCATCTTCTTCTTCGTCTAAAAATTCTGCTGAATATTTACAACAAGTGAAATCAACACTCACTGCTGATCAGTACAAAGAATTTAAAAATCTTCTCATTCAATTCAGAGAACATAACTCTAAGGACTCAAAGAATACTTCTAATACCTTCCTTCACTTGGTAAAGAAGTTAATTGGACTTTTTGGAGCCTCAAACATTGAAATTATTGAAAAGTTCAAAAATTTCATTTCACCAAAATTACACAATTCCTTCGATGAAATTGTCAAAAAGCAAATATTACTTCATGGTGATGAGGACTCAAAGAAGAGAAAACAAGAGCATGTACAATTTGATTTAGTGAGTGGAACATTGACCAAGAAAACAAAAACACTACCATTGAGTAACACGAGTTCAAAACCAATTGTGATCGAAGATGACGACAAAGTGAATATACCATTGAAAGAAGATATTCCACTCACACTTGAATCTTGCTCGGATCTTACAACAACTGACACTATTAATGTGAATTTCAACATCAACACTTCATCATCTATTCATCAACAACCAATACAAACTGATCAAGAAGAGCCAAAACCAACATCTGGTACTGTGTGTAGCATTTGCAAAGAACCCTGCAAAGAACCGACAGCAGCCAAATGTGGACATGTGAATTGCTACAGTTGTTGGCAGCAATGGTTAAACTACAAACTTGAATGTCCTACCTGTAAGTCAAAAGTTAGGCCCAAACTTCTGACTCGACTATTCTTTTGAATCCGCGAGAGAATAATAGAACCATTTAAATTATTATTTTATATTCCATCTGTCCGTTGATTGGAATGTCATTAAGGATTGTGATTCACTTATTCAGACTCTTGACCGGTTTCTGATTAATGGAACCGTTAAGAGCCTCTTGATGTTGCCCATGTTCCACGTTGGTATCACCCGCATTCGTGAGCTACCAGATTTTAGTAGTAATGGAGAGGTCTTAATAATACCTGACCATTAATTATATCAAGCTGATCTTTCAGGATGGTGGTGGTGATTCATTCTTGTTGTGGAAGGATGGTGGTTTGTGGTGGTGGTGGTAGTCTGTGCATGATGACTTGATGCTTGAATAGGTCGATTCATAGTTGAAGAAGCAGCACCAGCACTCTTTGGCAACACGGTATACAAATAATCCAATCTCATATTCAGAGAACGAGCAATGAGTAGTCTCGTCTTGTGCCAACTCCAACTGTAATGACCAATGGTGATACCTTTTTCATATTCCAATTCTGATGATTCTAGAGGATAAATAATATTCTGATAGTGCATGTAGGAATGAAAGAGTGTGTGATCTGTAATTCTGTTTCGAATTTTGTTTGGTGGAAATCCATCAGGGAATGTAAACAATACAGCACCACTTGAAAGAAATACAGATTCATAACTTGCAGATCCAAAAGGAGCAATAAAAACATCCGTATCTTGCATGTATTGAACCTTATCTTCGATGGTCATGTTATCAAACACAAACGATTGGAAATCCACACGAAAGATGGTATTCGATTTTTTGTGATAAAACGTTTTAAAATCTCGTTTTGCCAATTCGACCAATTTGTCTGCATTCAAAATATTTCTCAAATAGGTTCTCATACCAGTCTTGACATTAATTCTAACATTCAATACCTTCTCTTTGAGGAGAATTGTTTTGGGTGTTCGCATCACTGTTCCAAATCTGGCATATGTGAAATCTCTAAATTCTTTAACCATTCCACCAACATTATTCCATCCATGATCATTGAATAGTCCATACGAAGAACCTCCCATGAGAACACTCTCCCAACAGACCATTTCATGACCTTTTGTAAATTCTCGAATTAATTGATTGGGATGTTTTGAAATAATCTTTCCGTATTGAGTGACAAATTTTTTGCATAATTTTTGTTTCTTTTTTGAATCTCCTTCTTCAGTGCCACAAGTGAGCATGTCTTTTTCACAGTCACACTCTTCATCCTCTTGTTCAGCAAAAATTAAATAATTATCCACAAATTCCTTCACATTCATTAAGGGATGAAGATCAAAAAATTCTTTCAGCAAGGCAAACGTTGGATAAATCGTTTCCAAGAGACAATGAGCTGCATTGGAACATCGATGTCTTTTCAATAGGACAGATCTCTTGTGAATCCAATGAATATCCGATATGGAATGTTCTTGTTGATATTCTTGAATGGATTGAGAGAATGCTTGAACGAGTAATTTACCTCGATTTGGATCCTCTGATTTTGTTCTTCCTTCCAATGAGGACAATTCAAATGATCCATAAATTCTCTTACTTTCGAGTCCTTGCAAATCAAATTCAACTGGATAATGAGTGGTCACATCTCTACTATTGAAATATAAATAAGAACCATTTCGATAACACAAATTATAGACCAAACAAGAACGAAAATGAGAAGATGCAACATGATGGGTACAAAATAATCCACTATGAGAATGTAAGGTAGAAATTTCATGTTCCATTCCATCATCTTGCAAATAGTATTGATCGTAATTGGTGAAGGGTTGTTTTTGAATAGGTGGTTGTTTCAAAGTAGTAGTAGGAGTAGTACTAGTGGTAGTAGTACTAGTAGTAGGAGTTCCAGTTCCAGTTGTTGTTGTTGTTGTTGGTTGTTGTTGAGTACGAGCTGTCCTCATGGAAGGAATTTGATCATTGATTTTGAGTAACCAAATACTCCAACCAATGACAAGAAGGAAAGAGCACACAATACAGAAGGCAAGTGTTTTGTCTTTCCAAAAGGAAGAATGAAAGATGGTGGTGGTGGTCAGAGTATTTGAAAATTTCGTCACAATGAATGAATAGAGTGAATATAAATAAGAGAGTAGAGTCGTGGTGGTGGTGGTGGTCAGAGTATTGATGCTGGTATTGCTCAAAGATGTTGGGCAAAAGAGCAGAGCAGTTGTTGGAGTCTGATCAGTAGTAGTAGTAGTACTCCTACAACCACTACTACTACTCCTACTAGAATCACAACAACCATATGGATGGAGTAAAGTATCCAGAGCCAAATCGACTCCTTCCGAGAGAGATGAATGTGAAGAAGAAGTAGGAGAGTGGACTTCCATGTCGATAAGAGTGGAAGAGGTGGTGTTTGTGATGCTATTCATGTGGTTGTTGTTGTTGTTGTTGTTGTTGCAACTACTACTCTCTTCAAAATGAATATGAATAGCATGAGAAGGATGAGAAGGATGAGAAGGATGACTGTTCATTCCTGCATGAAAGGACATTGTGAAGATATCATCACGATGATGTGAGGAAGATGATGTGGATGGAATGTATTGATGATGGTTATTGATGAGAGTGGTGGTGATGGAATTGGTTGAAGGAGAGTGATGGTGGAATGATTCATCACTCTCATTGGCCATTGTTGTGTCATCCTCATTGTTGTCGTCATGTCGACATGAATGCATCAACAATGGTTGATGGGGATGCGACTGGAGGTGACACGAGTCATCATCCTTGTCGTCTTTCCATCCAGTTCGGAAGAGGTTGTTGTTGTGAGAACCACTCGATGAGTTGTTGTGGAGTGTTGTTGTTGTTGTTCGTTGTTTCATATTTTTTTTCCCAAATTCATTCCATGCAACGGTAAAAAGCTTTATTATCTGAGAATAGACAAGTGAAGGGTCGAGTTCTCTCTCGGTTTAGCCACATTCCAAAATCGAATTTACTTTAAGAGCTACTGTAACCGAATATTACATACAACTCATTATTGTATTAATTGACCCATCACTTTAGAGAATTCACATCAAACCTTGTTGTGGACGTGTTCAGAATTCTGATCTCCAATCAAAACACTTGTTAAATTGTAACCATGATTGTACAGTCAAAAAATTCAGGCTCTGTCTTTAAATGTCACTCAAAGGATGACAGTTCGTCCATTCCACATGATGCAGACAACGAGTGTCGTGGAAGACACCAAAATATTAAATGGCTTCTCTCTGCAGAGTCCACACGATTAGCCAATTCAGAAATGTATGATAATCATCACGTTAGAGAATTTATTGTTGGGTTGCTCTCAAAATGGACACACAATGTGCAAAGAGCTTCACAGAAAGGTCATAAGCACAAAAGTGCCTCCAAGCAAGGGATATAATGCCGCAAGTTGTCATCAAAGATGGAAAAGTTCTTCACCATTCCATCTTCTCTCAAAATTGGAAAATTAGAATGTGTCTGTCCTATTGTGTGATTCAGATAAATGCTGTGAAATCTTCACTCATTGAGGGAGCAAAATAATCCAAATCAAAGGATGAACTATTGTTGTTGTTGAAATTACTATTCACTTCATGACTCGTCACTGGAATATCTGTGTGTGAATGAGTATTGTTATTCTCAGAGAACAATGCTGAAGAGTTAAATAAATCATCCGCAGATCCACATTGTAATGTTGTAGATTCGGTTGAATTCTCTTCTTCCTCAGAGGGTATTATGGATTGCATCGGAATCATTGAGGTTGCCAAAAAGTCTGCTGTTGGAATTGGTCCATAAAAGTGGAGATACATCTTTTGTTGAATTAATCCAAATCCAGTAACCTTATCTTCATCATCCATTTCAGAGTGATATTTGAGCAACAAGTCAAGAGTCTTTTTAAAGTTTTCCATAAGCTTGACTTTCTTGAGTGTTGAACAACAAGAAGACTCTTCAGCAGCACTTGTTGACTCTTCAGTAGGAGGTTCAAATTCCTCACTCGTAGTTTCTACTACGAGTTCTTCCTCTTTCGAATGCTTGTTGTTCGTCATCGTCACGGAGGAAGTTCTCTTTCGCTTGTTCTTTTGAGGTTCAGTCTTTTTCTTTCTCTTATCTTCTGTCGTGTGAGTAGTAGTGTTAGTCGTTGTTGTTGTCGTTGTCGTCGTGGTGGTGGCAGTTGTACTACTACTGATCGTTGCTTCACTTCCAGAAGAGAGTAAACCATTCGAACCATCCCTCTCAGAAACCTTTGGTCTTCTTGCATAGACTTGGAAGGGTCCACTCTTCATGACAAACACTGGTGTATTAATACTATGATTACTATCACTGAAGAGTTGCAATAAGAGTCTCCATTTGCTCTTGTTATGATGAAAACTCACACTCTTGAATTTGATTTTATGGTTGGCTTCATAGACTCCAAGTGTTCCACTCGAAGTGTTCTTGAGAGAGATGAGAGAGTCATCGACAATGGGCTTATTGTCCTTCTTAATTTCCTTTCCACTTTCATCATCGATCACTGTAATTCGACACATGAGTAATTTGGGGAATGGAGAAACTTTCTCAGCATCGACCGTACACTTGTAATGAAGCTTATATCTCAAGCTGCTATACATCTTGGATGGAGTATCATAGACTGGCAGTGATTCATCTCGAGTGGTGATTCCGACACAAATGGAGTAACCTGGGACAAGTTCTTGTGCCAATGATGAAGACGAGTCCTTTTGCCATTGTCTGGAAGCACTACCACCAGTTGTTGTTGAGTTTGGATTCTGTTGAGATTCAGAGGCTAGAGAATCATCCAGTAGTAGTGACGATGATGATGAGGACGACTCCATCATCACCTCATCCTCCTCTTGATCCACTCCAACAACACGTGTTGTTGCTTCTTTTGAGTCTTTTCTCACCATTGGTAGTGCTTTTGGACGGTTGTGATGATAATTTTTTCGAGAAACGGGAGAAAAAGGTACTGCAGGAACCGAGAGGGTAAATTTATTCATCCAGTCGTTACTTCAAAAATGTTTTTGAAGTAAATTACAGGATGGTCGCATTTTTGAGAAAGAATCTTTTTGTAAACGAAAGAATAGACCATTGTCTGAATCCAAATTCTCACATTAAATCCGAGACACCATCATCTCCTCCTTTTCTTAATACAAACAAGAACAAGTTGAAGACAGTAATTGTTTGAACACTGACTGTTCGCGAGGACGTGAGTATTCACAGGGATGAAGAGACTCTTTGGATATCCATCCACCCAGTGAATCACACCAGCTCACAAAAGAAGAACATTAACGGCATGCTCAAAGAGACACACCACTGATATGTTGATTATTGTTGTGTTTCAATTCACATTGAAAAAGTCATAATTTCAGCCATTCCTTCATCAACACCCGATAAATTATAGATTCATCGTTTCGTGTGCATACACTCTCCATAAGTGGTGTGTTGTATGCACCAGTTGTATGGTGCAACCAGGAGGAGATTGTAATACAAAGGTTCAACAATTCTTTCGATCAAAATCCAAAAGGCACTTTGAGCCTCTCTCAACGAGGAGCAACAGGCAGAAGCATCATTTGGGGATATTTTTTTGATATCTGTTTTGGCGCTTGCATGAACCATCAAAGTTTTTTTTGAGAGGGTCACCACTGACTGCAGTCTCAAGCTTTTGCTGGTAATCACATGAACGAATACATATTGCTCAGAGGGACAACATACATGTTAATAAGATATTTGCAATATTCATCTCGTTGATTGAAAAAGAAAGCTGAACCATAAAAAACTGGCTTGATCTCTCTCACCCATTGTTGCTTGAATTATCTGTTTCAGAAAATGGAGACAAGACATCACGCCACACACAAAACTCGCAATTTCGGAACAACGTCAGTCAATTAAATTCTTTTAAAAAATTTTATTTCTCCTTGCGAGAGTCGCGTTCTTTGCGTGAGCCGAATTCTGAAGCCCTCACAACATTCACGTCGAGTGATCTTGTCGTCGACGACCTTCATCATCAACACTTCTTCTTATTTATTTAAAAATTGAATATCGTTTGAAACAATGAAACCTCGTAAATCAGTACTTGGTTATTTTGGAAGTGTGTTTGGTTTGAAAACCAGTGATACCAACACAACACCTCCAAAAGTTGAAGAAAAACCAATCAGCAGAGAGGATTTCCATAGCGATGAGCAATATCAATTGTTTTTGCAGTTGAAAGAACAGTGGGAAACTTTTTTAAAAGAGGCTTCGTTATATTCCGAAACTGATACTGCCATCTATTCCATCATCACCCTATTCCATAAAGTATTCTATAATCAAAACATGTTTCAACATCATTTCCATCAAATGTAAGTATTCAATTTATAGAATAGTCGATCGTATTTTGATCAAGTTGTATATATGTGTGTACACATTCCATCCTTACACAACTCCATTGTGGTGAATATTCACTCGTAATGATGGTGTGCTCATGTCGTTGCAATTTCTTTTCATCACACAATCACCACTTCCCATGAACAGCTTTAAAAACACACAAACATTTACATCAACAGTCACATATCGATTGAAAAAAGATATCGAGAATGCTTTAAAGGAAACTCCTTCAATTCCTCCACCATCTCCCTTTAATGTATCACAACAAGATTTTGATCGAAATAACGTTCAAGACATTGGAAATCACAATGTCAAACTCTCTCTCATGCATTACTTGATTTCACGAGAAAAACACTCATCAGATATTGTCAACACTTTAATCATGTTGATATCAAACCACGAAGAGGTTGTGGCACCCTTCGTTATTGATTTCAAAATAATTTCTCTTGTTATCAACATTTTAGAAATTGTTGCTCAGATCAACTCTAAAGATATCGAAGACTATGACATTAAGTTTTCTCATGATTTTGACTCTCACCAAAATTTGCTACTTGACTCTTCTTCTGACAATAACCAAACCAATGACAAGAAACAATTAACTACCAAAGAGTGTCTCGAAGTTTCATGTCAACAACTTGTTTCATTTGTTCATCATTGTCTCAACAATAGAGAGTTATTTGACACATTAAAACTCAGTGATGACGTTTTGACATTGATAAGAATATTAACAAGTTGCAGAGGTGAAGAAGGTTTTAACTTTGCACAAAAGTTAGCACTTGATCTTTTATTTGCTCTTCTCATCAAAGCTGATGTGGCAATGGCTGACAGCTTTCATAAGAAGAAGATCATTTATCTTCTCTTAGATTCATTAAGTATGATCAAGTCCAAAAATTATCTCAATATTTGCTCAATTATTGAAACATTGGTGTCACTTTTAAAACAAACAATTTCAGTCTCTCCATTATTATACAGAGATTTTAATGATGCCAATGGTCATTTAATCATGCAGGAAGCTCTTATTGAATGTGAATCAAAATTTGAACAAGACACTTCAACTATGAAAGTGGCTCTTCACAACTTTAGCGATTTACTGTGCATTGGTGAAAGAGCAATAGAACCACCTCTAGATTATTTGCAACAATTGAATATTACTACTAGTATTAATGCCAACAATGAAAGAAGAATTAAGAACATCACCATCTATCAGTCCATGATCAATATTTTCCTGAAATGTAACACTGATAGTTTGAAACAAGAAATTGTTGAAATATTACTTGTTACCTTTGCTGATAATAGTATGAATTATCCATCTGTGCATCATTTACACAATGTGGCCTTACTCACTCGAAGTTTACCTGATTTCTCTGAAAAGATTCAACAAGCTGTATTGAAGTTGATTGAGTTTATATTCGCAGGACTAAATTTTGCTCCATTGGAAGAATTAAAAATGCTTGGTGAATTAATGAGCAGTAGAGAAGCAGCTCCTAAATTGGTATTGAACGTACTTGTGTTGATCAACAAGTTACTCAATTTTGATTCTAGATTCAGTACAAGATTTAAAGAAGCTCTCCTCTTTGAAAAGATCATTTTCTTATTGGGTGATGAGTTTGAAGGAGTTTTGAACTTGGGAGAATATAAGGACCAAGAGGAGAGAACCAATGTTCTTTTAAAACTCTTAGATTTAACCATTCAAGTATTGATTTCCATGCTTCAAAAATCGAATGATAACATTAGAGCCTTTAGAGAGGCAGGAGGTGTCTCTGTATTACAAAAGATGTTATTGAATGATGTCATTCGAAGTGCTGCTTTGAAGGTCTTTCACACCATTATTGTTCAAGACACTTCCCAACAGAGTATTGATGTTTCAGTGTTGGTTGAAATTTTACAGACATCCAAACGATCGAATATTCCTCTCAAAATTGCAATTTTTAATGCTCTTACAAAAATGTTCAAGAGTAATGAGAGAGCAAAGGATTCCTTTAGAGATGCTGGTTTTGTAGCAAGTGTATCCATTCTCATCAATACTCCATGTCCAACTCTTTCAGTACTCTCAAAACAATTGAACAAGTTGTTAGAGGATGGCTCTTCACACTCTTCATCATCAGAGGTAGATAAAAGTCCAATGGACGATGAAGAAATGTATGAACAATCGGATATTGTGAAATTGATGCAAGCCATGTTCACAGCTCTTGCCACTTCATTGCAAAATCATCCAAGAAACAAGTTATCATTTTTACCAACAGTCGGAGAGAATGGTATGATTGATGCTCTCAATGTGAATGGAATTATGAATACTGATCATCGAAAGGAAGTATTTCAATGTTTAATTGATTTTGCTACTGAGAGATGCATTGAAGAATTTGATGCAGCCAATCAAACCTCAACCATTGTTTCTTCTTTCAACAGTGTTTCTTCAGGAAGTTTAAGTTCTTCCAGCAGCAATACGCCTTCGACTCCTCTACAATCATCTTCTTTACAATCATCTTCAAAATCTGTGAATACCAACGAGCTCTATATGAACATTGGTGGATTGCTCGTTACGAGATGCCCTGTCCTGCACAACCCATTTGGTTTAATATTTTGTTTAAAACTTCTTCATCATGCCAATGAAGATCTTCAACTTGCAGTGTTGAAGGTGATTGAACTCATGTTAAAGATTGGACCACTCAATCTCGAAGGTTTATCTAACATTAAGATTGTTGATTTTATTTTAGATCATTTATATTCACAAATGGTAGATACCAATCACAAATTTAGTGCGACTCTTCTCAACATTTGTGAAAAAGTTGCATGTTACCGATTATCACAATTGGAATGGAGAAAATTACTTTCTATTTTTGCTGATAAGGATCATCCACCCTGCATGTTGAAACTTGTCATGAACGCTGCAAAGAAGGGCGTGAGTACACCATTTATTGAACTTCGACCAGGATCAGAATGTCCAATATTACAACTCACAGACAAGACATGGAACAGTTCAATGACTGCTGGCTACACATTCTCATGTTGGTTCTATCGATCCAATGATATTGCATCGACTCCAAAGAAGAGACTCTTACACTCTCATCAGAGAACCTCTTCCAATGCCAACTCTAAGAGACTCTCTTCCACCAATTTTTCCGATGTGAATGTATTCATTTTATTGAATCTACACTCAGACGATGGAAAATCATTTTTACAATTTCACCTAAGACCCGATGGATATCTTGAATTCCAAAATGGACCAAAATCCAAACGTATTCTCTTTTCCAAGTATAAATTTGAAGCAGATCGATGGTTTCACTTGGTCATTACTCATCAAAGAAATCGATTGTCGAGTAGTGTCATGACTGTCTATGTTGATGGTAAAATGGAAGAATCTCAAAAAGTTGGATTTATTAATCCATATGCTGCTGGTTCAAAAGTGACTGGACTTCTCGGAAAGAACTTTACAGATAGTATTGATAATTGGAGAATTGGACCTTCATTCCTCTATGAAGATGTTTTATATCCTGAAGCAGTGGCTTCCATCTATGTTGCAAATAATACCTATACAGGTTATTTCCAAGGAAATTACACTCCTCATATGGATCTACTCACTTACCATCTTTATCCAAATTACATTCGTCTGTTACAGAGAGTGGAAACGAAACGAAATATTTCCACAGAAAGTGAAGCCAAAGAGAATAGTATTACTGTTTCATCCTTTAAATTATCTCCAGATAAGATTGTCTTTGCATTCAATGCTCTCAATCACTCTTTACGATCACTTGAACCTCAAGACAATAGAAATAACACTTTGGTGTTGGAAAGTATACACAATGAAAAGAAAACACCAAAAGTTCTTCTCTCCAATTTATCACGTGCCTATGTGTGTTGTCCAACCTCACTCTCTGATAACATTCTCAACTCAGATGGCATTGTTGTTATTTTGGCATTGATTGAACGAGCTGAAACTTGTCAATCTCTCTACGATTCATTACTTTTATTGTATAATATAATGATGGACTCACCATTGCAAATCGATGAAGTGGAAAGAATTTCAGGATATGATATCATTGCTGGTTTTATTAGAAAAAAGACAACACTTCTTGATGCTAAAATTTTACAATTACTTTTTGATTTTGTGTTGATGGGAAGTGGAGATCAGAAGGAAATTGTGACCAATTTAAAGGCATTTATTTGTTTAATTATTGATTATGATATTTGGAGAAAGACAGATCTTGCAATTCAAATTGAACTCTTCAAGAAAATTAAGGGTTTAATTGCGGATAGTTATTATTCTCATTGGAATGTCATTAGACTCAAAACCACGGGTATTGTAAACAAATTACTTCACATTTTGAATGAGTCTCCTTCTGTTCAAATTGTAGAGCTCATTGTCGATGCTTTACATTTATTATTCAAACATAGAATGTCCGACAATGATATGATCTCTGTTTCGAACTTTATTATGAACTCTTTGGATGACTCGGTATTAATTTCTCAGAAACAACGAAGTTCAAGTTGGGTCATGATTAGTCCAAGAAATTCATCCAACACTTGTCTCACACAAGTTTCATCACTCAGCGATATGACTAGTGGAATTTCAAATACCACCTCTACCACTACCTCTACTACTACCTCTACTTCTACCTCTACTACTAATTCAAGAAAGTTAAAACGTCAAAGTATTACCACCATGACTTTAACCAATGTTGCCTCTAGAAATTTACTATTGAGAGTCATTTATGATTTGGCAAGTAGAGATGAAAAGTATCTCGAGTTATTTTCCAAACATGTGGATGATGTATGGTTTTATCAATTTGTGAATGAAAAGACTCATCCAATATCATTGATCTTATCCTTACAACTTTTATCATTACTTTTATTGCAAGGAAAGATCAAACCAGATAATATTTTACCAAGTTTGAAAAGAGGATTAATTCCCTATTGCAATCAACCCGATGTTTACTATACATTGTTACTACTCATGACACGAACTATTTTCACATATCCAGAAGGAACATTCTCATCGGAACAAGATTTGAGAGATTCTCTCGATCAAATTTCAAAAATGTTCCTTGAAAAGAGTGCTGCTGTGACAGACATTATTTTCTATAAGGAAGTCATTCCCATTCTCTTAGAATTATTGAATCATAATTATTCTCCAACAATAGAGAGTGCTCTCTATGGAGAAGTTTCTGCTGTTCATTATTTTGCCAAATTCAAGAATGAAGAAAAGACTTTGGAAGCCTCTCGTCGATGGACTCTGTTGAGAAATGTGGTCATGTATAATAAGAATTTCCCCTCGACAATAGGAGGTAATGAGAGTAATTGCAGTATTAGTAGTAGCATCAGCAATAACCCTTCACAACAACCTTCACAACAACCTTCACAACAACCCTCCTCAAGTTCTAATGATGAAAATTCATCTCCTCCAATTCTAATGATGGAATCATTACTTTCAATGAAATTAGAAGAGAGACCACGTGAGAATAAGATTACAGAAGAGATACTTTCTTTATTGAAGAGAATATGGAGTGCTTCAAATGATCTTAAAACTCATTTCAGAAAATATGAAAGTATTCAAGCATTGAGTCAAATCATTTTTGCGTTGGAAATGAATCGAAAACCTAAAACAGATGTTGACAATTTCCTCAATCATCCCATTGCACTCTCTGTATTATCCATGATTAGAGCGATTGCAAGATTTGAATTTTCAACTGCTTCCAAAGCAGTTCAAGTGGTTGAAGATATTTTGAGAGCTGTTCCAATGACTCTTGTGAGTGAATCATCCATCACATTGTATCGACGTTGTATTTTGTCTTCTCTCATCAAAGTCTATTCCAGTGAAAAGGTCATGTCTTGGGCTCAAGCAAAAGATAGCAAACTTGCAGGAAATTTATCACTGTTGGCATCTTTTGTGGTTGATATGCATTATGCTTCAGTACTTCCATTGACAAGTTATGTGGAAACTTTGAATTTCATTGTTCAAGTCGTGTCCATTGTCAAAGTCATTGAAGAGCCATCCAAGAGTCTTTCCTTGTCAAGTCTTTTCAGTGCCAATGCTGCCATGAAGAAGGAAGGAACATTGCCATTCTCTTTGAGATCATTGAATCGAATGATTTTATATACCTTCTTACAAGTCTCATCGGAAGAGTTTACTGAGAAGGTTTTGTCCACCATGTTAGAAACCAAAGCATTTATTACCACATTGGATACTTCAAATTTAGATTATGAATATTTTTCATCTATTTTTGCAGTGTTATTCAATTTAATGAATGATGGATCTCCTAAAGTCAAAGATACGACAGTCAAGTTATGGAAATTAATTGTTGCAGCACAACATGATACCAATTTACTTCCAACTATATTCATGTTACCAAAAGATAAGAATAATCAAACCATCTTGTTGGATCAACAACAATTTTCCAATGAATTTGTGGAAGGTTTTAGAAAATTATTGGACTCGGATGTGAATAACTTTTTGAAATGGTTTACAGAGAATTTTGATATTATCTCTGAATTCTTTAATAACAATCTTGCCAATACTCTCACTTTGTATATTGAGAATGAGAATAAGCATACTCAATCCGTTTTAACACTCTTGCAAAATGATTTGAGACTTCGATCCTCTTCAAAGAGTGAAAGAAAACTTGGAGAAGGTGCAACCTATTTGATTGGAGCTGCAAAATCACAACTTCGAACTGTGATTGAAATGGAAGAAGAACGAAATCAAATGCTCATTGAAGAGAGTATTATTAGAATCAAATTTGCCATGGATACTTGGCACAATTTATACGATTTGTTATTTATGGAACGTGGAACATGGTCTCATCGGGCAAATCGTCAACTCGATCAATCACTTCTCGCTTGGAGATTGGATTCTACGGAAGGACCCAAACGAATGAGAATTAAGCTTGAACAATTCCACTTGGAAAGGGCCTATGAAGTTGCTATTCAATCCAATCCTTTGAGAGAACAATATAGTATTACTGGAAAGAAGTCATCATCTTTGAGAACAAGTCCTTCCTCCCATATGGGAACTGGAGGTTCTTCTTCTTCTTCAACAACAACAACCAATGCAGTCTTGATTGATATGAATGATCACATGACTACTAACACTTCTACTACAAATGATAACATTCCTACCACCACTACCACTACCACAAATAATACTAGTTCTGTTACAAGCACGGTGAGTGAAGAAAAGAAAATGGATGTCTTGAAGGATCAATTTGAAAAATTCCAAGAATGGAGTTATCTCTCTCCTGCTAAACCTCTTCCTATTACTGCTGACTCTAAGAGAGTGTCAGGTCATGAAGATGATTCTATGAAGTTCAGTTCTTCTGAACAATTAGGACTCGAAATGACACTATCAAACATGATCACATTGGATGCCAATGATGTATCTTTAGAACTCACTCCAACACCTCTTGGAATTAATCGAAACAAACCATTGAGTCAAGATCAAGACAATACTGCAACATTGGATGAAACTTTGAGTGATACGACACATGAAGGAACAGCTGATACGAATCTTGATGCTGCCACAGCCGATGATATTGATGATGATTTATTATATGAAGATGAAATGGGAGAAGATTTCAAGATTAGAAAATTAATTGAACCAGGTGATTCGATTTTATTTATTTATAACTCATTGAGAATTAATGGATTGGATGGACAAAAATCATTATTTGTGATTTGTAAAAACAATGCCTATATTATTGATAATTATGTCATGACCGATGATGACAAGTTAATTGAAGTGAAAGGAGATCATTCAACACTGATTGAAACTACAGTACCACCTTCCTCGAATAGTAATTCCAATAACAATACTAATACTACCAATAACAATACTACTAATTCCAATAACAATACCAACAACAACAATACTAACAACAACACTCAAGAGAACTCAACGGACATTTCACATGAAACAATCAAAATTCCACTCTCTGAAATTAATGATGTCTTAAAGAGAAGATACTTGTTGAGAGAGACTGCTGTTGAGATTTTCTGTAGTGATGGTCGTAATTTCTTTCTCGTCTTTGAAAAGTCAGACATGTTAAAAGTTCATGAAAAATTGAAACTTTCCGATCACATCAAACAACACCACAATAAGAAATCCTTCCCATCACTCAAAGTCATGCAAATGAAATGGCAAAAAGGAGAAGTAGATAACTTTGAATATCTCATGTATTTGAATACATTGGCAGGAAGATCTTTCAATGATCTCACTCAATATCCCATCTTCCCATGGGTACTCTCAGACTACAGCAGTGAAGAACTCAATTTCAATGATCCAAAAATTTATCGAGATTTATCCAAACCGATGGGTGCCATTGATGAGACTCGTGCGAAAATGTTCCGTGAGAGATATCAGAGTTGGTGTGATCCCTATATTCCTAAATTCCATTATGGTTCACATTACAGTAGTGCTGGTATTGTCTTGTATTACATGTTGAGAATTGAACCCTATACTTCACAATGTGTGGAATTGCAGGGTGGAAAATTTGATATTGCCGATCGAATGTTTCATTCCATTAAAGAGACATGGGAATCTGCCTCTACAGATTTCTCACTCTCAGATGTGAAAGAACTCATTCCTGAATTCTACTTTTTACCAGAATTTTTAATTAATAAGAACAATGTTCAATTTGGACTCAAACAAAATGGTCATCCAGTGAATGAGGTTGAATTACCACCATGGGCACACAATAATCCACAATATTTTGTAAGAATGATGAGAAAGGCATTAGAAAGTGATTATGTTTCAGAACATTTGAATGAATGGATTGATTTAATTTTTGGACACAAACAAAGAGGTCCTGAAGCTGAGAAGGCACTCAATGTATTCTTTTATTTAACATATGAAGGATCTGTAGATATTGATAGCATTTCAAATGAAGTAGAAAAGAGAGCCATCATTGCTCAAATTAGTAACTTTGGTAATACTCCACAACAACTCTTTACAAAACCTCATCCTCGAAGAAATACCAATCAATTATTGGAGAAACAATTGACTTTATCACCAACAACAACTAGTATTACCGATCAAGAATTTAATGTTGAAATAATGAGCGCTTCTACTACGAGTGCTATGAATACAACTGCCATGAATACCACCACATTGCCAATAGGAAATTCTGAAACAATTTCCAATGAATTCAGTGGTGGAACGACAATGATTGATCCAACAACAAATTCAAGTAACATGGTTCTCATGTCTGGAGCGAGTGTCATTAGTAATTTGGTATTGAATCCATTGGGATCAACAAATACTCCACAACAACTTCTTCCAAGTTACAAGAAACCTTTAGATCCAAATCTGGTGACAATTTCATTCATCAGATTGAAGGGTAGTGTGGCAGATGATGTGACCTATGTCAATGATTATGGAAGTAGTAGTATTGTATCAGAATTACAAACTGGTATTGTTACACCTTCATTGACAGCTACTATTGGAAAATTAACAGGAAGATTTAATAAGGCATTAACATTGAAAGAATCACAATCTTTGAACATTTCAGAAATGAGTGTCATTAATAACTCCTTATCCATGATTAATCCATTCTCAGGACAATCGACATTGGAATTGGCAACTCCACAGTCATGGGGAAGTTTAGCCATTGGACAAATTTCACTCACTCAAAAGCAATTAGTGAATGGCATTGTGGCTGTCAATAAGAATTGTTTCTTTGCAGATTCAAAGAGTTCCAAATACTATTCATATGGTCATTCTGATTTTTCATTACGATTATTTAAAGATAGTAACAGTGAAACACCCATTGCAGTCCATGAACGATTACACACTTCACAAATCAGTTTTGCAACCATTACCAAAGACTATCAAGTACTTGTGAGTGGAGGTGAAGATAGTGTTGTGAGTGTTTTCAAGATTAAGAAACACAAGAAATCAGAAACATTAGAAATTCAAAAGAGATTGTGTGGTCATACCGATAAGATTTCATATATTGCAGCAAGTGTAGAGTTTAACATTATTGTGAGTGGAAGTTATGATTCGACATGTATTGTTTGGGATTTGAGTCGACTCAAATATGTTCGAGAATTGGAAATGCCATATGATGATGTTGACAATAAGCCAATTTCATGTATTTCTGTATGTCCAACAACAGGTCAAATTATTGTTTGTCAATGGACAAGAATTACAGTCTATGCCATTAATGGTGATATTTTAGCAAGTAAGAATCTTGGAAGAGCTCCAATTACCACTGTGACTAAAGCAACCAATCCCTATGATGGTCGAGAGTTATTGTTTGTTGGTCATAGTAATGGAGAGATTAATATTTTGGATATGGAATATGTCTTGTCCTCAGAAACTCAGAGAAGAGAACTCACGTTGACCAAAGTGCATTCCTTGAAGGATCACAAATCCTCTGTGACTTGTCTCTATCTCACTCCAGATATGAAGAAACTCTACAGTGGTGGTGAAGATGGAGTTGTTTGGAAATACACGGTGAACAATAATTAATTTATAAATTCTCATGCTTCCATGTCATTCAGAGTTGATTAAATTCTGAACTTGTTCGTTTACAACGAGTCATGATGATGTTAAGTCCATAAATATATATCATTCATTTACAATGAGTTGATTAAATTCTGAACTTGTTCAGCTCTGAAAGCCCAATACTTTCTTCGAATTCCATCCACTTTCTGTAAAGTGTGACAAGCAGATAGAGCCTCTTGCAAACGACCCAATCTTAATAAACAGCAGAACAATAAATAATTGGCATGAGGATTGACAGATACCTTATTCAAAACTGAACGAGTCTTTTCTTCCACATATTGCAACAGTTCTTTGTATTCCTCAGATTTTTCATCTAATTTAAAAGTTGTCATACCCTTTGCATAATTCCATGGACTTTCATTGTTTGGAGCCATTAAAATGTATTTAAATGCAAAATCAATTTCATCTCTTCTAACTTGAATATTCTTTTCGAAATCATCTGTTGTATTTTGAATAACAAAGAAACGATAATTCCATGCACTATTGTTTCTCAAATCCTTTGCCAATAATCTTTCAACAAAATCCAATTCACCCTCCCACAATGAAAACTCCTTTACCAACCATTGTCTATAGGTCCAAACATGATAATTCTTGGAATCATCATCAAACATTTTCTCAACAAATTCCTTCTCACCTTCTGTCACTCTCAATTTTTCAATCAAGGCTTGACGATGATACCAAATTTGATAATTTTTTGGATTATCTTCGGAAACTCTATTCAAATATTCAATTTCTTTTGAGAGATCATAATTCAAAGCATCAAGAACAAGTCTTCTAAAGTGCCAAGCAGTATAATTAGCAGGATTTAATTCAATTGCTTCTTCAGTGATCAACAAGGCTCTTTCGCTCATTTCATTTCGTTGGACAATGGCCCGAAAATAATTCATCGTTTCTTTAAATTCATCCGTGTAAGCAATTTGTACCACTGGATTTGGTCCTTCATCTTGTGGGATGGGAGTGAGATCAGCGAATTCGGGTCTTTGAGAATGAGGTTTGTAGGACTTCATATGAAAGGAGAGGATGTATGTCGTGCAAGGGATGATTGTGTTGATGGAGAGAGAGGAACAATATTTTTTTTCTGGGACTTTTCAAAAAAATATGATCAGTGATTCTTCTTCACCACCACCATCGGGGTCATCCAACAACAACAACAACACCACCACCTTCACCACGGGATCCAATCCTTCCTTTCTTGATCGCCGCCACCATGATCGATCATTCTTGAATTACTTCTGTGGTTTTCCATTCACTAACAGTGGTAGTCGCAGTCGACGACAAAAACTCCTCTCTTCTCACTATGAATATTCTCCACTCTTACACACGAATGGTTTGAGTGGTCGAATTAAATTTGCACCATCACTCTCATCACTCTCATCATCGAATTCATTATTACTTGCATTGGCAAGTTCCTATTCAAATTCTCTTCATATTCTTCAATTCAAACCCTTATCATTCATTCAACACAATGAGTATAACAACAACAACAGACATTCTTCTATTCAATCTTCATGTCAATTAATTTCATCCTATTTTGAATATCACACTCATGACATTCAATCCTTAGAATGGTATCATGAGAATTTTATATTTTCATCTTCTTTGGATTGTACTTTATGTCAATACGATGTTCCAAGTTCCAAATTAGTGAAACGATTATGTGTGGCAAGTCACTCCATTTTAAATGGAATTACTTTGAGTCAAGAATCTCCACCTGTTCTCTATATATGTTGTAATAATAGTATTCTCATGTGGGATACAAGAGAAAAGAAACATTCCATTCTTGTCAAATCAAATCGAAATGTGAATCCTAATGGTTCATTGAAAAATAATGATTACATTCATGTGAAATTAAAGAATATAGATTCACCTTATCAATTAGTAGCAAGCCGAGGTGGTGGTGTGTTGGAATTTAGAGATTTGAGATTTAATTCTGATTTTAAATATTCCTTGTATCATGATGATGGATGTGAATTTACAAGTTTAGAAATTCATCCCTATGATGATTATGTGTTAACTTATTGTGAAGATGGAATTGTTTATGAATTGTTTGAAAATTATAACTTGTGGAGTGGTGGTGGTAATAGTTTAAGTAGTAGTAGTATGAATAGTAGTGGTAGTATGAGCAGTATGAATAATAGTATGAATAGTAGTATGAATAGTAGTATGAATAATAATAGTAATAGTACTCCATTTAAAAAGAGTATTTACAAATGGTATTCTTCTCCTCTCATGAAAAACAAAAATCAAATTGGATTCAAGAATGCCTCTTATTCTAGAAATGGAAATTATATCATTTGTGGAAATGATGATGGTCATTGTTTTATATTCGATGCATCTCTACCATTGAATTCCATAGATCATCATCATCCTGATAGGTCATTACATTCAACCACCACCACCATAGAAACAACAACCACCACTCCTCCTCCTCACATGAATCCTCACATGAATCCTCAATCCTCTTCATTCATATCTCCTCCACTCATTCCTCCCATGAAAATAATTCCTCCACCAACAAGAACAATCTCCTCTTCCTCCTCAAATCATTACTCACCTGTGATTCTAAATTCTCTTTTTGTACCCAACCTCTATGATCAAAGTGAAATTCATAATCTATTAATTACCTATGAAGAAGAAGAACCATCCATGTATTTATTTGGAATGACAGAATCTACTCACCAACAACAAAACATCATTGAAAAATTTGACTCAAGTATTGATGAAGCTGAAATGGTTCAAGACATTCCAATGGAAGAATGGCAACACAATTCCATACAAAGTGAAACCAAAGTGTGTTCCTATTCACTTGGATATGCGACTCAAATTGTATATATTTGTTTAACTTGTTATAGAAATAGAAATAGATACAATTACAGTAATAATGAGATTTATCATGGAGTATGTGAAGAATGTTCAAAACATTGTCATAGAGGACATGAATTGTATAATATTGGAGAAAAGAGAAATTTCAAATGTGATTGTGGAAATTCACAATGTGGAAATGTAGAATGTTTGTGTTCAACGAGTCAGAAATCACCAATCAATGAACTCAATCAATATAATCATAATTTTAAGAATGAATGGTGTTATTGTGGAAGAGAAGAAGCAAATCCCATGTATCAATGTTACAATTGTTATGATTGGTTTCATGGAAATTGTATATTCACTCGAGAATACGACAGTGAAAATAATTTAATTGAAGATTATTCGTATGTGTGTGAAAATTGTTGGAATTTAGCAACCTCTCGTGAAATTGGTAATCATCAATCTATTGGTAGTAGTGAAAGTAGTTGTAGTGTAGGTAATGACTCCAATCGATCCAATACGTATGTCACACTCATTCGTGATTCGATAGTGACGAACGAATATCCATCCAATGACACAATTGTAAGGAGAGGAAAGTTTGTCAAGTTATCACATCCCTCCTCATCGAATAATAATAACCTCACAACCTCTCTGTCCGACCAGAAACAACAACACATCAACGACATGGAAGAAGGAGAAGATCTTTTGAGTCAGTCGAGTGGTCATGATGATGAAGAAGAGGATAATGAGTTTGGAGCACAACAAGGAGCAAATTTGGATGATTTTATTGTTGAAGATGACGACGACGTGGATTAATCATCTATTCTTTGATATACACAGGTTTAACTATATAATAAAAGCATGATGAATCCTCTTCCTTTTAAAAAATCAAGTAACACTTTCACTTGTTCAGGATCGTGATAGACAATCTCTTTTGGATTTTCATACAAATTCTTTTCATCCATGATGGCATTATATAATTGCTTGTATCCATTGCAGACATCCAATGCAATTCTACTCTTTGTGTAAGTCTTTAATCTTGAACTCAATAATCTCTCACACGATTGTTTCTGAGTCAATGCCAAACTACCTAAAGAAAATAATTGAGTGTAGAAATTTTGGAAGAATGCTTTGAGAGATTGTTCATCCATATCTTTGCATTGAGAGAGAGGAATGTGTTGTTTTAAATGTTCATCACTGTGAAGAATATTCAATTTGTGTTCAAGTCCACTATTTTCAAGAATTAATTTTGATTGATAGTGAGTAAATATTTCTAATTGCTTCTCCATTTCTGTTGAGACTAATTCAGTTGTTGAACGAGTGAGAGTTCCACTTCTTTTAGGAAGATTGTTATGAACAATATTTTGTTGTTGACTTTCCAATGCTTGTAAGATACAATAAAATCCATTAATAATAAACACATAGTAATCTGATTTCAACATTGGGTCATTCTCACACTCTTTCAATTTTACATTCACATAATAATTATTATATAATTCTACGAGTGGATCAATAAATGCAGAGATGACACTTTGGAAATCTTCTTCACGTCGATTCTCTGGAATCATGACAGACTCTGAATAGGTGTTCATAATTTCAGTCTATTTGAATCAATAGATAATAGATATATCAATAGATATATCAATAGATATATAAATAGATATATAAATAGATATATCAATGATGATGACACATATTCAACATTCTTACACTTACCAAATTATTTAAAACTTCTTTCACCTCTTCAGGTGGAGTTAAATTCAATGTAATTTCAGGAGGTTTTTCAATCAATCGATTTAAATCTTTCTTAATATTAATAAAGAACTTGTCCATACACTTTTCTTTCAAATCATTCAAACAAACAGATAGTTTACAATGATCACCCATTACTTTAACGAATAGACATGAATATAATTCTAATATATGAGCTAATTTGAAATAGACTATTGTATATTCTTCTTCAATATCTTGTTTTAAAGATGTATTTGATGAAGTGAGTATGAGAGAATCTGTTTGATTTGTTATCTTGTTAATAATTTGTTCCACTCTCATTTGTAATTGTCCTTTCAAATCATCAAAAATATCATTCAATATTTTGAATAAGAGTGGTTCACGTGGATATTGACAAGTTGTTCCTTGTGAGAGTGAGGAGGGAGAGGAAGAAGAAGAGGTAGATTGAGGGTTATTGATCAGAGAAGAGGTGGTAGTGTTGTTGTTGTTGTTGTTGTTTGTAGTGGTAGTAGTCGTAGTAGTCGTAGTAGTGGTAGTAGTGGTAGTAGTGGTAGTGTTATTGATAGGATGATCATAAACAGATAATAAATTTTGAATCAATTCCTTTTCCATGACTGCTGATTTGTGAATCCATGCTAAAATATCAGCAATATATCGGAGTGGATCATGAGCTAACATTTCAATTGGATTGGAGAGAGATGATGGAGTGGATGTGAATGAGGTTGTTGTTGTTGTGATGGTCAATGTGGTGGTGGACATGAGAGGAATACCACCAATACCACCACTACTACTAGTACTCACACCACGACTCTTCTTTTGACCTTTCATCGTCAATGCACTAAAAAATTGATTCTTTACAAATTCACTTCTCGATACAATTAATTGTTTCAAACATAAGGGTAAGAATATTGTCTTATCAAATAAAATATTAATTGCTTGTTTCAATTCATATTCAGAATCAATTTCAGAATCACTGGACAATGCTTTACATTCATCTTCAATCCATCTTGTAATTCTCTCCAATGCACTTGTTCGAATCATTTGTAATTCTTCCATAATTTCAAAAATGATTCGTTGATAATTTGATGATTTCACAAAATGGTTTGAACATGTGGTATGCATGTCATCTAATTTCTTGAGAGTCGTAAAATATTCTTGTCCTCTAATTTTACCATGTAATAATAATTGTTTTTCTTCTTCTGGAAATATAAATTTAGAAATAAATACATTTAATTGATATTGTCTATAGAGATTGGAAATGTATTCATTATAGAAGGAATTCATTTGTTTGGTATAATCAGAAATTTGTAAAGTATTTGAAGAGGAGGGTGTATTAGTAATAGTAGTAGTAGTAGTTTGAGGAGTAGTTTGAGAAGTAGTAGTTTGAAGAGTCATTTGACCAATAGTACTTTGAGTAGTGAAAGTAGTAATTGGAGTAGTAGTAGTTGTATTCATGTGGTGGTGACCAGTAGATAAATGAATATAATTCTCAATATTCTTTGTATGAGTATTAATGACTTGTATTTGTGAATTAATTTCATTTAATTGATTTTGAATTTTTTCAAAAGATTCTAAAATATACTTTTTATGAGAATGTAAATTCTGAAGTAATAAGAAACTCTTGAGTGATTGCTGTGTTTGAGATGAATGTTGAGTGTTACTCATAGTAGTAGTAGATAATATAGATGTAAATGGTTGAGTATTCGAATCATTCAAGTTTGATTGTTGTTGTTGTTGTTTAAATAATTGATCTAAATATTGAAGAGATGTTGAAAGTGATTCATCATCAACTTGTTGATGAGACAATTGAATGAATTGATTCACTCTTTTACTAATAGTAGAAGCACTCGAAATATGTTGAGAAAATACAGATGATGATGATGAGGAGGAGGAGGAGAGTGGAGTACTCGGAGATGATGAATCTCTTCCTTTGAAAGATGATGGTGTGAGGGAAAGATCCATGATGGCAGTATTGGTGGTGGTGCCATGATGATGATTCTGAGTGGAGATTTCCGAGTTGGCAAGACTTGGGGAATTAGTTTGCATTTTTTTTTGATGATCATCATCATCGAGGAGAAGAATAATCCGCTAGCAACCACCATCCTTCCACTTGTTCTGAATGAATGAATATATATTAAGATATAAGTGTTTATAATAGTATTATTATTCCATCTTTTCATGAGAATGATCATCATCACCATGAACACTATGACTCATATCACCACCACCACCACCAATACTGCCATCACGACTATGACCATTCACTCCTTCCTTGTTCACAATTCCATGCTCTTGTTCATTCTTCTTCTTTGATCGATCATGATGTCCTACCACCACCACCACCAACAACAACAACTTGTCCACCAAAATGGGTAACAGAGTGAACAATGAAATGAGAAAGAGTGTCATCAATGTTTGAGGTTTCATCACTAGTTGAGAAATGGACATGTTGAATTTGCCATTCGAATCATCATTATCATTACCACCACTCTCACTACTCCATTCATTGATCATTTTTCGAATCAACATTCCACTCTGAACGGAAATGTATGTTTGTGGTGCAATTCCAATCAATGTGGTAATGAAGAATAATGGAAATGATATTCCAACCAATGGTGATAATAAATTAACACTCCAATTTGGTAAAAGAGGTGATATTCTTAGAAAGAGTAATAAAAAGAATAATTTGTTTTCATAGTTCAATAATAAATTTTGAAATTTTCTAAAAATGGAATGAATGGATGGTATTTGAATGACAAGTCGTCCAAAATAAAGATGACTATACAAATAAGCTAAACTAGCACCAATAGTACCACATAATAAAGAAACTATAAAAGGAAATGAAATTCCACCCAATGACATGAAATAGTTAGTACTATCATATTCACCAATATTATTATTATTTACAATATTATTATTAAAATTAACAATATTATTAAGATCACCACGACCATCACCACCACCACCACCACTATCACTTGAATGAAAAGTCAAAGAAGAAGAATTGGAACTATACAAAGCTCCAAATAAAACATTTAACATCAATGTACCAGGTATCGATAAACTCAATATCAATAAATATAATATACAAATACAATACAACACTTGATAATAATAATGATTGATATATTTGGATAGAACATGTATAAATACTTTGATTTGATTCAATTGTTTGGGTGGAATGTTATTGATCAATAATTCATATTCAGAGTGAGAGAGTGGAGGTAAAATATGACTCAATAACAAGTAACAAATAAAGAAGGAGAGAAGAACAATGAGAGAGAAGGAGAGAATGAGTTTGGAAATGGTCATTGTGGTGAGTGGTGTGGTGAGTGGTGTGGTGAGTGGTGTTGTTGTTGTTGTGGTCATTGATGTGATTGTAGGATCGAGGTAATATTCATCATTACCTTTCATCAATGGATCCAAGGTGAGAGATTGTTTGGTGGTGGTGGTGGGAATGGTGGTGGTGGTGGTGCAACAAACGCATGGTGTCGAACAATAATCCGAGTCATGTGGGTGATGGTCAGAGTGGTGGTGGTGTTCTTCAAGTTGCTGATCATCATTCCGACGAGAAGGATGGTGGTCCTGAACAGGTGATGAATCATTGCAGTGAGGTTGTTGAGGAGGATGATGGATCGAGGTGGACATTTTTTGAATGTGAATGATGATCGACGTGAGAGAGGTGAAGATCTCATCGATGGCAACCAAATTGAGAGTGTCTTGAAGAAGATGTTTCAAATACTTAATTGTGAGTCATAAATTGTTTGTTTGTATTAGAGTATGAGACATCTTTTGGATGGTTTCTTGACCACCTGTTGTTGTTGTTGATCATTAATTTTAACAGTGGAATTGGTCTTGTTGGTGGTGAGTGAATTCTCAAAGGAATGTTCAAAAATATGATCCACCATCTTTGTGATCACAAATGTTCATCATTACATTCATTATATTATGGAAATCATCAGATTCACATTGGAAATATTATGAAATCAGATTCACATTGGAAAGATTTACATATGAATCACCCAATATATATATATATATATATATCCACACACACACACACACTCCACACAAAACATACCTTTTCAAAAGCTTGATCCACATTCACAGAATCTTTTGCACTTGTTTGTAGACATGTTTGAATTCCAACTCGTTTTGCCCATTCATTGGCTTCACTTTCTGTCACTTGTCTTTGATCTTCTAAATCAACCTTATTTCCAACAAGAATTAATGATACATTTGGATCTGCATATTGTTTCACATCATTTAACCACAAATTTAAATTTTCAAATGACTTTCGTTGTGTAATATCATAAACCATAATTACACCTTGTGCACCTTTGTAATAGGAAGTAGTGATGGTTCTAAATCGTTCCTGTCCTGCTGTATCCCATATTTGTAATTTCACTTTTTTACCTTTTTTTTCCATATTTTTAATTTTGAAATCAACGCCAATGGTACTGACATGACTCACATTGAATTGATTCTCAGAGAAACGAAGTAGAATACAACTCTTGAATATGTGTGAATTATAAATGTGTGTGAATGAATATTAGGTGTGAATGAATATTAGGTGTGAATTATAAATGTGGAAGAAGCGAAATGTGGAAGGAGTGAAATGTGTGTGAAGAATGTGAATGAAAAGGAATTGATAATGTGAATTTGTGAAATGTGAAAGAAAAGGAATTGATTGTGTTGAACACACATCATGATGAATTTGAATATTGTCATCATTGTACAACATTTTCATGAGAAGGTATAATGATGATTGCAGAAGTGTGAATCAAATGTTGGAAAACAAGACAATGACAACAATGACGTACTTTACCAACACCCATATCACCTGTTTTTCGATGAGGAAGATGTAATCCAATGATGTAATTGAAATGTCATAGATGGTTATTATTGTTGGAAGGAGAGAGATGGAAATATTGGCATATGATTAACACATAAAGCACACACAGAGACACACAATATTGTTGGTGGATCATTTGAGGACATTTGACATCAAACAGTTGAATAGCGAATGTACGGAATGTGGTGTTGATGGTGGTGTTGATGGTAATAGTAGGAATGATTGTGCCAGTAGTAGTAGTTGAAGTAGTAGTTGAAGTAGTAGTTGAAGTAGTAGTTGAAGTAGTGGTGGTATTGGAGGTGGTGGTGATGATGACAAGAAGAAGTGTGTGTGTGTCAAATTTAGACAATGACAAACCACACGTCATCGCAATGACACATCACAAAACGAAAATCACACAAATCATTAAATTGTATTGTCATCATCAAAACCACTCACAAATGGATCGGATAGGATATAATTGACATATCCACTTACCAATAATTAATATTTTAAAGAGAGCATCATGGTCAGCCATTTTTTATCGAGTGTTTGGAAAGGAGGATGACAGGTCAATGAGACTGTCAAAGCAATGATGATGATTGGGAGATGAGGTGAATGAACATTAGACGGGAGTGAGTCGACTCACTCCACACACACACGCACACACACACGCACACACACGTCTGGATGCTATTGACGAATCACTTTTCCAAATACTGCAAGGCCTTGTCGGAGAGTATTTTCAATTGAAAATGACAATAGACACAAATTTCTAACCACCAACCATTACAAACGATCATGGTCGCGACAGGGGTGGTGGTGGTGGATCTTGAGATGATTATCAATCCTAATAATAATAATAGTGAAGTTTAATATAATATTGGAAGAGACTCCAAAGTCTCGTAAAGGGACCATCAGTACTGCTCTTAGAGACAACAACAACTCTGTGTTGGAATGAGTGTGACCTTTAGAAGTTGACTATCGATCCATGAAACAAAAGACTCTCCATGTTGTTTTAAACAACAACACACAACAGACTCTGATAAAAATCAAGGAAGACATCCCTCTCTTTTCTCAACAAAGTGGTCCATGATGATCAAGATCAAACAACACTCGATCATCTACGTCATTCGAGAATAAGGGACCTCTCTCGACCTGTTGTACCTATAGGTCCGACGCACCAAAAAAAATGTCTTTTTTACAAGTACCACCACCACCACCATTACCATTACCAACAACAACAACACTACCATTACCAACAACAACAACAACACTACCATCCTCCTCCTCCTCGTCATCTTCGACTCTCCTCCTCTCTTCTTCTTCTCAAAAAGAAATCTACACTTATCATGCAGATTGGATGATTTACTCGACGAGTTGGTCTGTCCGAAGAGATTATCCATTTCGTCTTGCCATCGGATCCTTCATTGAAGAATATAGAAACAAAGTGGATATTATTCAATTAAATACAGATCGATTAGTATTGGAAAGAGTCGCACAATTTGAACATCCCTATCCAGCTACAAAGATACAATTTCATCCCTCCTCGAGTACCAGTAATTTGGATTTAATTGCAACAAGTGGAGATTATTTAAGATTATGGCAATTGAAGGATCATTCAACCATCAATAATAATACTACTAATGGTACTACTATTGGTACTACTACTAGTAATCACATGACAAGTGTGATGGTTGGTCGTGACGAGATGAATCAACAACCACCAATTTCAACAACAACAACCTCCTTCACTGCTGTTTCAGATAAAAGCACTACCATGAAGAGTAACACCAATAACACCAACACTACCAATAACAATAACACCAACACTACTACTAATTCTTTGATTCAATCCCAAACACAACACTCTCAACAATTCTCCGTCTCTAAATATTTTACATTCAACAATGATAGCTCAAGTGAATATTGTGCTCCATTGACTAGTTTTGATTGGTGTGAATACAATCCAAATATAATTGGTACTTGTAGTATTGATACCACATGTACTATTTGGGACATTCCAAGTGGTAAATCAGTCACACAACTCATTGCACATGACAAGGAAGTCTATGACATTGCATTTAGAAATCAAGATGTCTTTTGTACTGTTGGTGCAGATGGTTCATTAAGAATGTTTGATTTGAGATCATTGGAACATTGTAGTATTCTTTATGAAACACCACAATTAACACCTTTATTGAGATTGGCATGGAACAAACAAGATTTAAATTATGTGGCATGTATTGGAATGGATAGTAATAGAATTGTAGTATTGGATGTTAGATATCCAGGAATGCCACTTATGGAATTGTGTGGACACAAAATGCCAGTGAATGGAATTGCATGGGCACCACATAGTCCTCGTCATTTGTGTAGTGTTGGAGATGATGGACAAGCATTAATATGGGATATTAATAATGGGGGTATGAGTAGTGTTGGTATTGAAACTAGTGGAACAACCATTGAACCAATTTTAGAATATAAGGCAGAATGTGAAGTGAATCAATTGGGATGGAGTTCCTTACAAATGGATTGGATTTCAATTGTATTTGGACAAAAGTTGCAAATATTAAAAGTTTAACAAGGATATTCCTAAAGATATCTATTCTTGTGATATCCATGGAGAAATTCTTTCACTAACGTCTGATAAGCATTCAATAACTTCGTTATATTGCCTTTGTCTCTATTTTTTAAAATCCCATTAGAGGCAATATCAAAAATATTGATCAGTTCCACAAGATTGGGAAACACCAACTTCGAACAAAGCTCACAATTCCATTCTTCTATGATCATCGTTAGATCAGTAAACAAGAGATACCTTTCATAAAATCTAAGCAGTTTTATGAACAAACATTATTGCACGCTTGTCATTGGAATGTATACAAATCTACATCATTTACCTTGTTCTTATATCAAAAATCATTTCATCCAGAACAATTTCCTTCCAATTAATTTCTCCACGGATATCACAAGAATAGAAGTATGTTATTTTGATCTAATCGAAATTTCTTTTGTAACATATCAATATCATAATATATGAAGTATTTGATGTCAACCAACATTTTTATGGATTGAATTCAACTATATATGATTTTGTAAACTTATAATTATACTACACACTATTCCTAACTATTATATCCCCTAATTTTTTTGATATTTGAGGCTTCTTCAAATGAAAATGATCATGAATTTAATTGGAGAAGAGTTGATCATATGAATTTGAATACGGTTTTGAATATTTCCAAATGTTAACACCTACGCTTATTATATAAATGTGTCTATATTCAAAATACCTTGTATATACTCAAATGTAATTGTTACGTCAACAATAATTAGTTAATATAGATAGATCGTTTTCTGTCTCCTCCCCAAACTACCACTAGTGATGTGTCAACCAACAAGCATTATTTGTTGTGCGGTTGTCTCTAGAATTGATGGATAGTTTGTGACGAAACTCAATAAGCTCATTGAGAAACCACATTCGAGATTAATTCGGGAGTAATAATATATCAATAACTTGGTTAAGAAAGAATCGAAATATGTTTAAAAACAACGCCTACTTTTGCATTGATGTAATATTCAATAAGATTAGTTCGGTAAAATTAAAAGAAATAAATTAAATGACCATGTGATTAATAAACATCGCAAAGAGACGAAAACATCATTGAACAATTTATTAAAAATTAAAAGGCCAATGATAAAAAATCGAGTTATCAAATCAATAATGGCCAAAATAACAACAAGTGTTTGAAAAAATTCTCTCTTAATAATGGTGGGTGTCAAAGCATATTGCTGTGAAGTTGCAACTGGGTTGCTTTGTTCTTTAGAGAGCTTTTTTGCTAGCGATGAAAAAGTCAACCTCCAATTATTGTTTTCGTTACAAAACACTTTTGGAAAGAAAGAACTATCAAGTTAAAGCAATTCCTACTTCTGTATTCGTGCGAAATTAAATTAGTGGTTGATATTTTTTAGCAATGAAAAAGGTCAACATTGTATTCCCTTGTTGTCAATTGATAGATTCCATGTTTGAACTGCCAATGGATCCTTACATTATTCATTAGTCCTTTAATAAACCAACTTCCTTAATATGACCTCCATCACCATCATCATTGATGTGTTTATCCACTTGAGTTGTGCGACAAGAAACGCAGAGCACCTGTCATCCATCAAACATCCACAAAAAAAATTTCAACATCCTCATCGTGTGTGGTTGTCATTCCCGCTCTGACATCCTCAACGTCGTTTGTTTCATATTTTATCCTCATCATCACAATTTGTAACAGCAAACAGCAAACAACAACTAGAATCATTGCTGTGTGTTTTCTTTCAAATTTGAATTCTATAAAAAATCTAATCTCTTGAACAACCACCACCATCCTATACCAATCATCCTATACCAATCATCATCATCACCCAACCACCCTATACCAACCACCCTATACCAATCCTCATCAGATGCAAGATTCAACCATTAAATGTGTCAACATTGGAGACACTGGTGTCGGTAAAACCTGTGTTCTCGTTTCATACACTGAAAATGAATTCCCTGAAGAACATGTTCCAACTGCCTTTGACAATTTTACTTCCATTGTGGAATATAAAAACAATCGATACAATGTACAATTATGGGATACTAGTGGACAAGACAATGACTCCATGAGACCCATCTCTTACAATGGTGCTCACATCTTTCTCATCTTCTTTTCATTGGTGGATCGAAAGAGTTTTGAGAGAGTGAAAGAGAAATGGGTGAAAGAATTAGAAGAAACAAATCACATTGATTTACCATATATTATTGTTGGTAATAAGGTGGATTTGAGAGATGATTCACAACTATTGAAACAATTAGGAGTGACCAATCCTGTCACTAAAAAGGAAGGTGAAGAATTAGCAAAGAAAGTTGGTGCATTGCAATACATGGAATGTTCAGCTAAAACACAAACAGGATTAGGTGAAGTGTTTGAGGCAGCAGTTAAAGCAGTTGTTGATGAAGAATGGAAGAAACAAAATGAAGCCATCAAGAAGAAGAAGGATAAAGGTGGAAAGTGTAATAAACAATAAAAAAGTACAAGTGTGTTCAATTCAATTGATTGATTCAATGAATGTACTTCAATAAGTGCAAGTGTTGAATTAATTGATTCAATGAATGTACTTCAATACTCTTGCAAACAATGAATGTACTTCAGAGCTCTCTCTTGCAAACACTCTCATCTATCTTCAACAATTAAATTGCAACGAGAGGCTGCCCTCTCTATACTGTATGCAGTCGAATCATGAAGTCCAATTCGAACCCTCTTTGAGAAGTAGTGAAGGATTCCAATTGTTAGAAGGAGAACTGTCCTCTCATTCAAAAAAAAATTATAATTTCAAAAAATATTATCATATTATCATCATCATCGACATTGCAGCTGTGTGATGACTCCCTCTCGACGACCATGTCGACCTCAACCTCAACAACAACCACCCACATTTAAGAATGATCCCATATCCATGATAGAGAATGAAAATGGCAAGAAGAAGAACGACCATGTGATGACAACAAGGTTCCGATCGAATCATCATGGTGGTGGTGGTCAATGTGGTGGTGGTCATCATGGTGACCCTAGTCGTACGAGTAGTAGTAGTAGTGATCAGCTCTCTCTACCATCACCATCACCATCAACACGATCACCATCAACAACAACACGATCAACATTACAACCTCATCCATCTCATCTTGTTGATCCACAACAAGCACTCAACACTCATGAGACACACAAACTGCTTGTGAATCACAACAAGAAGGATCCAAAAACCAACAACAACACTCTCTCCATTCTTTATCAATCTCTCAAATCATTCATGAATCGTTATGTCATTGTACCAACACTTTGTCTTAATCAATTTATTGTCAATAATATTTATCATCCTATGAGTAGTAGTAGTAGTATGAATGGTGATATGAATGGTGATATGAATGGTGGTGATCAGAAGAATGTTGTTTCTGGTGTTGTGAAATACATTCAATCCTTGAATCGAATCATTCAATTAATGAAATTAATTTATGAAAATTATTATCATACCTCATGTTATTTAGGGGAAAGTCATGGTGAAATATTACTTGATTCTCATTTCATTGAGAGTATTGTCCTTTTAAATTTTATATTTGGAAATGTAAAATATTTACAAATATTATATTTTAATGGAAAAAGAAATGCACAAATTGAAAATCAAATGGAATTATTAAATGTATTATTAAATACTCTAATTGTAGAACCTATGAATACTACACCTCATGTTGATATGAAACCATCATCATTTGATGACAGTGATCCTATTTATAGAAATATGAATAATACTATTTATAGAAATAATACAACCACAACTAGTGTCAATGATCCTATCATACATCAATCCTCTGAGACAAATCCTCTCACTACTCTCTATCATCAACTTTTACAAATTGTTATTGAAATGAATTGGAAAGAAATTTATCAAGAACAATATTTAACACTATTCTTTGCATTCAAACAAACAAATCTTCAACAATCTCTCAAACAAGAATTCGATGAAAATATTCTCTCTCACTTTTTAGAAACAACTTCTCAACATTTATCTCAATTACGACAACAATTCAAGTCTGAATGTTCCAGTAATTACTTGAAGAAGAAACATCATCGAAATTATCATCAAACAAGATCTTGTTGCATTACAACTGCTGAACATTCTCAACAATCAACCAATGTCTTGTTTCAATCCTTTCAACAGGAATACAATACTCTAATGAAAGTGTGTCAATTAATTGAACATGCTCAACAGATTGCTTATTTAATAGATTTATTATTGAATTTAACATGTTTAATTATTAAAACATCCAATCATGAATACAGACAAGTGAGTGACATTTTGCAAGATAAATGTAATGAACTATTGGCCATAGGTGCTAAAATTAGATTATATTGTGAAAGTAATATTCGAAATAGTAGTCGAAATAGTAATAGTAGTCAAAGTAATATTCGAAATAGTAATACTAGTCAAAGTAATATTCGAAATAGTAATAGTAGTCAAAGTACTAGTAGTCAAAGTAATATTCGAAATAGTAATAGTAGTAACAATCAAATCAACGACAAGAACATGTATAATCATAATAATACTCAGCTTTATCAATTACAATTTCGATGGAACAAATTAATGAAATTGAACAACAAGAATCATGACTCATCCATATTGGGAGTAACAACATCATCATCACCACCACAAGCATCCATGATGAGTGATCTCAATACTACTACTTCTTCTTCTTCTGAATTGTTGCATTCAACTCTTCCCAAATATCAATCGTTTCATCTTTTAGAACAATTAGAACAAGAATTGAATCAACTTGAAGATTTCTTAACAAATTCTATTGCTAGACAAGAATTGTGTTGTGTGGAATATTTAAAATCGAATCGATATGCTCCTCTTACAAAGATGGATCCAAAGAATGGAAATATCCTTTGGAATTCTCAAGTGATTAATAGTGGTGTGAATATTCATCCAACCACAACAACCACATACTTTCATTGGAACAGCAGTGGTGGTGGAGGTGGTGATGGTGGAGATAGTTTGGATGAACTCTTCGCTGTCATTCCATCTTACTTGGTGTTGAACGCCCGCCAAATTTTATAAAATGAATTCGCGCCAATTATTTTCGTTACAAGTTTCAAATATTTCAAAAAAAAAATGTCCTTCTCGAAACGAAGTGCTCTTCGTGATATTACCAACACCTCAGGGACAGGCTCGATCCATACGGGTATGCATCATCATGGTGGATCTGCTCCTCTTAAATCCAACTTGTCAATAATGAATAACACAACAACAATGAACAACTCTCATTCCATACTCAACTCTTCTCATTCATTAGGAAATCACCTCTCTACTACTGCCACTTCTACTGCCACTTCTACTACTACTACCAATAACAACAATTTACTCTCCACCTCGAAACCTCCCCGAGAATCCATGATTATGAAACAAACTCAAACTCTCAAGAATTCCAAAACTTCTTCTTCCTCTCTGAATACGACTTCCTCTACAACTCCCAATTCGAATAACATTCAATACATGTTGAATGCTCTCTATGAATTCTTCTCTCAAGAAAATATTTCCATTGAAATGACTCCAAAAACCTTCCGTGAAGGAGACTCTTCCAAACTTCGATATTTTTTGAATTATTTATTCACTCATTTGGATCGAAATATTTGTGTGATTGTTCCAACACCAAGTGAAGTGAGAGAAATGGAAAAGAAGAATAATTCATCTGGAAATACAATGGATGCAAGAAGAAGGACAATGAATCACCTCAATTCTCTATCCATGAATGCATCCATGATGAATGGAATGAACCATCCAAGTGTTCAATCTAGTAGTTCTACGATTACTACGATGACTACTATTAACAACAAACCTCCTTCCATTTCTGGTCTTGATGAAGATTTAATTATTGAACTTGTCGATTTCTTTAAACTTCCAATCTCATTGAATAAGAGACATTTTACAATTACACCTCAATCGAGTAGAAATTGGCAAACCATGATTCAAGTACTTTATTATTTGACTGGACTTGTCAAGTATAGTAGAGAACGAGATTTCATTGAAAGAGATTTAGAATTACAAGAAGTTTCCATCTTCTTCTCCTTTTTGAGTGATCTCTATGCTCCATTTCTTGAGAATAATCAAAGAGAAATGGACAGACTTGTCAATGATTGGAGAAACAAATTTAATATGGATTGTACAAGATCAAGAGAGAATTTAACACAATTAAAGAATCTTCATGAGAGTATCAAGAATCGATTGAATTATTTCAATACAAGACAAGATCCATTTCATGAATTAGAAGAAAAGAGAATTGTTTTAGAATCTCAATTTTTAAATTTAAATGAATCAAGTCGAAGCAATGAAGAGAAATTGAATTCACTTTTACATTTCAGAGAAATTACAAAAGCTAAAATTGTATCCACCAATCAACAAATTGACTCTAAAAAGAGAGATAATGAAGTTTGTGCAAGACAACTCGAACATCAAGAAATTACTCCACTCGAAGCACAAGCACTCTACAGAGAGAAGAGTCTCTATGAAGAGGAAGAAGAGAGAATTCTCAAACGAACTGATTACACAAGAAATCAAGTAGAGAATGCACAACGACATTTATCACAATGCAATGAACAGATCACTACACTCACTTCTCAATACAATTCCATTGTACTCAAAATTGATCCTAATTTGAGACTTTTATCATTGGCATCGAATAATGCAAAATGGAGAATTGATGATTCAAAACAAAAGAAGACCATTCTGAAACAACAATTCACTACTCTTCAATCTCAAATTCAACAATTGAATGAAACATTGGCACAAAAAGATGAAATGATTCAAGTACTGAATGAACATTTGCAGGATGTGAAAGAAAGTTTAACACAAGAGACGAATTCATTTAATAATTTAGAGTCGCTCCTCGTTCAAATCAAACAACAACATCAAGAAGAATTATTTGAATATGATCGAAGGATTAAGACTATTGAAGATCAATCTGTACAAATACATTCTGAGAAGAATCGATGGAAACAAGAGTTTGAAAATACTGAATTATTAATTGCCCAATTAGAAGAAGAAATGCAACGAGAAGAACAAGAGCAAATTGAACAACGAAACACTCTTTTCAATTTATCTGTCTTTACCTTGCAGAAAGCAGCAGAGCACAAAGAGAATGCCAAGAAGATTATCAATGCTACTGAAAAATCAGGCAGTGAAAGTTTTGCTGCAATCAAACAACTACAAATTGTGTAACCAAGTTCATCTGAGCTCTTTAATCACTCTAAGAAATAAAATTCAATTCTTGACAACAACTATAAAACACACACACATGATACACAACATTTAACATTTAATATTGAGTATAATCAATGAATGAAGATTTTGCTGAGCTGACTTTTTTCGTTGATGCTTTCTTGGTATGCTCCTCAAAGCCCCAAATCTCCAAAGCATAAATTTCAAACTCAACTTCCGTACTAAAGGTTGTGATGGATTGAGAGCGAACCATTCCTGGTTTTGATTCCGAGTTGTTGGATTCCTTGTTCACTTTTTCCAATAATGGACCATCTTCCATGTTATCAAAAGTCAAACATATATTTGTGCTTCCAGTCGTCAAGTCTTCGTGAATCATGAGAGCAGATCTTCCAACCTCATCACCTCCATAACATATCATGAAATCATTCGATCTCATAAAGAATTCGTTCAATTTAGACCATCGAAACACTCTCAGAGTAGTATTATTTTTGAAAGAATAGAGAAAAATCTCACCACTGTCAATAATCATAGACAACCATTATTGCACAGTGAATTTTCAATTGAAACACTCACCTTCCATAATACTTATTTCCAAATTCATTCAATGGTACTGGATTGAATGCACCCAATACTTGTCCATCCATGGTCTTGATGATTAAAATAGATTGATCAACATTTTGAGTATTTCTATATAAAGTTCTTAATGAAATTCCATGTTCCAAAGTGCTATACAACAACACCCAATTACTTAAATGAAATCGAGCAGGTAATATCGATACAATCTTTTTCCTTTGAAATTCAGTTGTAATTGGATGTGTTCTATTGGTCTTTAACAATAAAGGTGAAAATGAAGAGTGAGAACAAATATTCAATTTTCCTCCAACACTTGTTCCATACAGTGGATGTGAATCTGGTAATTCTTTTAACAAATCCTTATATCTTGTATATTCTGTGAATGTAGTCATGAAACAATGATTACATTGTGCAATTCTTTCAATCAATGTTTCATTGGTAATCACTTCACTGGATAAAAGAGATAATTTCTTTTTGATTTCAATCACTTCTCTAATTTTCTCTTCAATTTTTTGATGATTTGTTTTTTGTTCGGTGGAAGGTGAGGATGGTGATTGTGTGGAATTGGTATTGTTTTCATTCAAAATAGTTGTCGTATTTGTAGTATTCATAGAACTCTCTTCACTTGTCTTCATCTCAGCAATGAGTGGAGTATCACCTTTAGGTTGATCACTAGTTGCTGATGCTTCTTTGTTTGTATGTTCGTCCTGAGTGCATTCCACTCTCTCATGAGTATTCGTGTCATGATCACTAGTAACACCACCATTATTGACATCAACACCACTCATCTCAGATCTGATCGAATGAGAGGATGGATCACTCGTTGTTTCATTCATGATGGTGGTAGATCTTCCTTCTTGTCGATCGATTTCTTCAATGACTCGATTTGCTAATTCTTGTTCCTTTTTCAAAATTCTATGTACATTTTCATTTTCAATTTCAATTAAAGTTAAAATATATTTACAATCACTTTCAATGGCATTACAATATTCTTGTAATTCAAGTTCTCTCTCCATTTGTTGTCTTCTTCTCTTGTTATATAACTCACAAATCTCTTCGTCTAATTCTTCAATACAATCTGTATATAGAATTCGATGAATACAATAAAAGTAACTCTTCCAAAAGGTAATATCATCTACATATTTGGGAACAAGAATAGAATACATGGAATTGAGATTAATATCATACATTCTCAATGTATTCACTTGTGATAATGAATAATATTGATCAAAGTGATAGGGATGTTGTGGATGAATGAGTCCACTTCGTTCATGTCGTTGCATTTCCATTTCTTGAATGAAATGATCATCCATTCGGAAAGAGAGTGGATTATGAGAGAGTTTGAAAATGTATTGAGAGAGTTCTACTTCTCGACCAATCCATTGTTTATTTGAGAGTGGTGGAGAAAAGGTGAGAATGAGAGGAGGAGTGGTGGCATTGGGTGTGGTTGGTGTTGATGAGGAGGAGGAGGAGGAGGCCATGTTGTTGTTGTTATTGGAGGAGTTGGAGGAGGGATTACTGGTCGTAGTGTTGCTGGTGGCGGTTGTTGTTGTTGTTGGAGGGAAAACTCCGTGAGATTTAAATGGTGGTGGTGGTGATGAGGCTAGCAAGATGGTGGTGAAAGGGAGTGTAGGTGCAGTAGAAGAGGAATGGAGTGATGATGTGTGTGGTGGTGTTGATGATGTTAATAATAATGAGGAGGAGGAGGATGGAGAGCCACCACCACTAGCACCACTTTGACTTCGGTTACGAGAAGGAATGTTTTGTGGTTGTGATTGTGATCCAAAGAGGAGAGTTGAGAGAAAGGATGCTATTTAATGATGATCCGTATGAATAAGAATGATGATGGGATCCATGGAATCCATGAATAGGAAATAATGGTGATGAGTGTTGTGTATTGTTTGTTGGATCAATATGATGATTGAGAGATCCAATGGTGTGTATGTACCAAAACGAAGGATAGAAATCATCAAATGTTTGGCAGTGATGAGAAGATTAAAAGAGTGCGAAGGAGGTTGGACCGGACAACAATTACGTCAAGCCCACACCGAGATAGAGAGATGACACGTTCACTGAGCCACTAGACATCATGATTGATACTTACACATTTTTTTCTAATGGTCTTTATTTGGAAATTCTCGATCAAAACTTTGTGAGTAAGGCTCAACTCGGTTGGTTTTGGTTTTTTTTTGGAGAATGCACGAAAGCAACCTTTAGAGTTTTTGGCCAAACAAACCTCTCAATCACGTCCTTCCAATGTCCTTATTCACCTTATTCATCTCTGATGCATCTCTCAGCGAGTAGTGTCATGAATATGAGTGTTTTTGTTGTTAGTCGTGTGTCAATCCAAATCCCTTCGTCACTCTCTTAAAGAAAGTTTGCACTCGATCATGCCAATCATAGGATTTGATGTACTTTTGAATATTCATTGGTTTGAAATGAGTGTACTTGTATCTGTAACAATGTGTGATCACTGGTAATGATGGAGTGGTCGTAGTATTACTGTTAGTGGTGATAGCAGCAGTATTTGAAATAGGTAAAGCATTGGATGAGAGGTGTTGATGATTCTGAGAGTTCACCATTGTTCCATCTCCATTGACAACAAGAACGACATGATGATTATTAGTACCATCATTATGATCATTTTTTGTATCAGTCGTAGTAGTAGTAGTAGTAGTAATGGCAGTAAGAGTATCAGAGGTGGTCGTGGTCGTAGTATCAGAGAGAGTAGTACTACTACTGCTATTGTTGTTTTTGTTCAAACCATTCGAATGAGTATTATTGTGAGTACTAGTATCATCCTGATTCAAAGTTTTAATAAATCTCTCAAATCCTCGATGTCTCCTTAATACAGATAACACTTGTTCAATCACAAATTTCTTTCTCAAGTTTGTCTTTGCATCAACAGATACACCCATTCGATAAATGGATTGAATATGATCTGTAATGTATGAAATCATTTCATGTTCGCAACATACAGAGGAGACAGTACTGCAAGACATTAATATTTCCTGTTGTAAATCTTGTATGAGAACTGTATTCGTATTAAATTCTTCTCTTTGATCATAATAAGAATGTTCCAAAGTTTCAAAAGTGAAAAATAATAAACTACTAATCATGACCACACATGTAAATGTAAATAAAAACAAATAAACAATTGAAAGAGAGGAATAATGTTCGTACACATGTTCCAAATACATGGATTTTAGTTTTCTGTAAATTTCATATAACAAAATGGGAAGAGTGAGTGTCAAAATAGGTAATAGAATATAAATAATATCTAACCGATAATAAGATGGAATATAAATGATCATGAATAAGAGTAATACACTTGCAATGAGACATGAAATATATTTAAGAGATTGATCCTCTAATTCTTGTTGTTGATGAGAGGACATTAAGTTCGGTGATGATGAATGCTCGGTACGATTGTTGTTGGCATGAGTTGTGTCGACCCTAGAGGTATCAGCTGGAATAACAGTGTTGTTGTTGTTGTTGGTGGTGGTGGTTTGAAGATTGGAATTGATCGGATCGGAAAAGATAGAGGTGGTATTGATGTTGGTATTATAATGGATTCCACTTTGATTGGATGTAACATGATTGGTTAATGACGTCGTTGAGGTAGAGGACAATGAAGAATTGAGATTGGGTGAAGTCGTGGTGAGATGTTCTTTCGCCATTTTTTTTCTCTTCTTGAGGAGAAGAAGGCAATTCAATTGAATTTCAACGTTGCATTTATCAGTTCAAGAAGCTCACCCACTGTTGAATTTCAAATGTTTGATATTTGTCTGCGTGCAAACACAGATTCAGTTCATGAAGCTCACGTATTTTGAAATGGAAAAAATTGGTGCGTTGTAAATTTCATTCCTTTTGATCAACACAATTTTTTAAAAAGAAAAAAATCGCCAAAAGGCACATTCGTGGTGAATTTGGAAGCACATTAACCGCAACAAACTCCGAGAGAGATTGATCAAGAGTATTTCATCCAACCAACAACCAACCAACCAACCAACCAACCAACCACTTAATCATCATTAATAGTTGTAGCATCAGGCTGAGAACAACAACAGCCTTTTATACTCCTCAACATAGACACACGATGAGCAGCAACAACCAACCAACAACATCCTCTTCACCTTCCGAGGTTGATGTTTTGAAACAAAGAGTGAAAGATTTAGAAAATGAAAATATAAAGCTTAAAGCAAAAATTGAGAAGTTACAGAATGCCAATGCGAACATTGTACGTACAATACTGTTGTTGAATTCAACATTTCATCATAAAATGATTTATAAAAAATTATAATGATGATGATGATCCACACATGATTGTGAACATTATCTCCTTTGTTTAAAATATCTTTTTAAAGCAATTGCAAGTGGAAGAAGAGGAAGAATTGATAACAAACAAATTAATGAAAAAATTGAATCGCTTGAAAAAGGAAAAGGAAACTTTGGCACAACAAGTTGAAGAGGAAGAAGAGTTACTCACAAACACTCTCCAAAAGCAGTTAGAGAAACTCCAGCAAGAAAAAACATTTATCGAAAATCAATTGAAACAAGATAAGGAATATATTGTAACAAAATTAAGAAAGCAATTAGAAGATGTATTAGCCGAGAAATAGTAAGTAGTATTATAGTAGTACCAGTAGCATCGCTCATAATTCTTTTTCACATACATTTGATGTTCACCTTTGAATTTCACACATAAGTCAAATTGAAAAACAAATTGAAAAGGAAAGAAGTGAAGTTTTGAGTGGTGTTCAAACTATTTTACAAAATATCAAAACAGATCAATCCAACAAGGATGTTGTTCAGAAACTAATAGAACAAGTAGAGATATTGAATAGAGAACAACGAAGATTGGCTCATGACTCTGAAAAGTATAGACAAAAGAATCTTGCCTTGTTAAAGGAATATTCGAGATTAGAAAGTGAAAACTTTATTCTAGAACAAAAGATTCTTAGAGAAAAGGAGAAGAGAAAAGAAATTGAATCTCAAAAGTTAAAAGATGAATTTGATTTGGAAATTTCATCAGAAAGAGAATTCAACCAAACCATCAAAAACAAATCATTACCATTAGTGAATGATGTTGAGAGAAGTAGAAGATCGCATTCTCTTCCACCTTCCAGTCAACCTCCAGAAATTGTTTCACAACTTAATCTCAGTCAACCTCCTGTGACAAGTCCATTGAGAGGGTCAGGTCTTACTCCAAGGGGAAACAGTGTCGGCAATATTGAGCCATACATTTCACCAAGAAAACCAAGTTTTTCTCCTTCAAAAGCTATTCCACATTCCTATGGAATACCAATTCCAGGAGCTTCTGATCATTCTCAATTGAGCGGACTTTCTTCATCACTGCCAACAAACAATCACTTGATGGGATCAAGCTTTGCTGAGAGATTGAGCCAAATTGATCCTTATCAAACGAACAGAGGTCTGTATAGTACTTCCCCACGACTTGGATCGACATCACCTGGTCAAAGTCGAAACATTGAGTTTGTAAGACAATCACCTAGACGTTAATACTTGTAATGGGAGTTCAACACAGTTGTATTTGTATATAAAAACCATTACCACCTTAAATGCATTGTTTTTATCAAGCCTTACTTTGCCAAGATTCAGCTGCCATCCTTGAATGAGCATTGTCATTCGTTGTGGCCTCAAGATTCAGCTGCCATCCTTGATTGGGGTATCTTCTATCTGGCTGTGTGTATTTTAAAAACATTCCAAATGATGATTTATTAATCTTGTAGAATAAGGGCAGTTCCTCTCTTGGTGAAATGATCTGACAAAGTCAACAAATTGCCCAATGGATTAGACTTGTCGTACTGCTTTTCATCTGCCAGTTGAGCATTAATAAATACTGGAGAAGTGAGTGGTACACATTGCTGTTTGATCTTTAAATCAATATAGGTAATTGGACCACCACCACCACCTCTCACTGGACAATAGTAGAGTGGAGCCTTATAATAGGCATTAGGATTCGAATACTTTTTAAGTTCATCCTGAGGGACAGCCCTTAATTGCAACACTGGTAGTTCACAACGTAGTTGATGAGGTTTTTGTTCGACCAGACTGTTCGATGTGAATTCCCATCCCGCACCTTCTAACCAAAGTCCATACACATAAACACCTTCCTTTGCACTCTCGTTATGAACCACAACATCTTTAGAAATAAATTGATATTCAAAGTCCAGTTTGTCAATTGATTTGTCCACGTCATTGTATCGTCGAGCAGCAATTTGTTTCACAGCTGTCAAGAAACCAACTGGATGAGTGAATGCAGAGAGCCAAAAGATATTTGGTTCTTGATTGGAGATTGCCCAATTAGTAAAGAACTCGACTCTCTTGCATAAATCATAAATCCATGAGGAGAGAGGTTTAGTGGATGGATACACTGAGAGCCATTGAATTGGAACCTTTCCTTTCTTGATCCATGAGAATAAATCTTCTAATTCTTGATCCATGATTGAACTTCCTTTGAGTGCAATCCATAAACGTGATAAATGACTTTTCACACGGTAAAGTAATGAATTGTATCTTTCACATTCTTGTAACAGAACAATTACTAATGGTTGATCTGTATGAATCACCTTTGAAGTATCAATATTTTCAGGAATTTGACATAAAAGATCATGAATTCCTTGAATCACTTGTTGTTCCTTCTCTGGTTGTGAAGAGAGTGATGTTGTTGTAATAGTATTCATCTTATGATTAACATGGATAATATTCAAAGAAGACGTACCACCACCACCAATACCACCTCCAACACTACTACCAACACCACCACCACCACCACCACTACTTGAAAGATGACTTGTTGTTGTTGTTGTTGACATGATCAATAGTCCATCGAGTAGAGATTTTGCTCTTTCAATTTGACTGGTAATGATTGCATTGGAATTCTGTCCAAATGCTCCAGGAGAATCATTTTGTGGTAAACCTTCACGAATGTATTTCACATAGGCAGAATGATCAAGAGTTGGATCTAGAGTATTATTCATGTTGTTGTTGTTACCAATATTGTTCTTGTTCTTTGTATTTCCTGAAAATGTAATAGAATTTGAGAGAGCACTACCAACAGCAGATTGACCTCCTGAATTCATCATGATGGAATATTTTGAGAGAATACTCTTTCCAGGGACTAGATATCGATCATCAGTGATGGATAATGGATAATCATTCATATCCATCAGTAATTCATTGAAACATTGTCGTGTGTAGACATCTAACAATTTTCGATCCACTTCATCGGTGACATGTCCACCATAACAAACATTCACAATCATGTAACGGAATGCTTCAAAAGAAAAGTTGGATTTGTTGAGTGTTGTAGTGGTAGTGGCAATATTGGTAGTCGTAGTAGTGGCAATATTCACAGCTGAACCACCACCTTGTTGACCACCACCACCTTGTTGACCACCACTCATGATGGAATGACTTAACATATTCTTCAATACCTTGACAGCAGATTCAAAATCAGAATCATTAAAATCATAGGATCGAGTCCAACCCAAATTTCCAAACTTTTCTCTCTCGACTAGAATGCTATGGAAATAAGTGAGTGCAAAGAATACTCTTCGATACTCTGGACTCAACATGAATGCATCTTGTGCAAATTGTTGAGGTGAAATTAATTTAAATAATCGTGTCATATTGCCAATAATTCCACTTGGAGATTCACTCACCACTTTGGTAGATCGATGGAGAAGACTAATTGGGAATTGAGGATGTGGCTTACTTGATAACCAAAGTCTAAAGTTGGAATGTACATGAATTCTATTATTATTATTATTATTAGAACTACTACTACCAGCAGTACCACTACCACCAGCACTACTACTACTATGACTTGTTGTCATAATAGTACCATTATTATCATTAGTTTCTTGTTGTTGAACATCTCTCTTGAGAAGACTCTCTAAACGTTCATCAAGTTTTGAAAGCCAATTCACAATCAAATGACCATTTGCCAAAAAGACCCATTCTCCATTCCTCACTGCTTTTGAAATGGCATCTTCGACACAATGTTCTTGACCTCTTCCCAATGAAAAGACATTCAATTTGATGGATTTTTCATGAGCTAATTTTGTAATTTGTTCTTGAGGATTCACATTCGATGCAAGGATGAAAATAATAGGAGTGTAAGGATCTGAATCATGTTCATAGATGGATGAAATATCGAGAGAAGGTGGTTTGATGTACTTGTCTGAACCCATTCTCAATACAATAAAGGATTTGATCATGTGAATGAGACGATCAGGTCTCACACATCGAACAATGAGCATTTTGGTCCAATCATCAATTTTGGTTTGCCATTCCGATGGTAAATGTTCATTCTCTGGATGATCAGAGAGATACCACACTCTCCATTCTTCACTTTCTTCTTCAAAGGATCTTGCAATGCCATGGAAGAATGGAACTAATTTGTCAAGATTGGAAATGGCTTCCCAAGCATGTGAAGGTAACCAATGTTTACATGGATTGGTCAGAGTGGTGGTGGTGGTGGTGGTGGTGTTCAAGTTGTTCAAGTTGTTGTTGGTATTCAAGGAAGAGCTGTTGTTGTTAGCCATTGTTGTTGTTGTTGTTGTTGTACTTATAGTAGTAGAATTCATGATCATTGTGGTGGATTCAATGGAATGTCCTTTCAAGAAAAAAGTCATATTCTTCTGAATTCAACTTTCCTTCACTTTGCAATAACTTGATACATAAATGGAAAATAAAAAGTAATTTGTGTTTCTCAAAGAGTCCTTGACATGTCTTTTTGTAAAATTCATACGTATGGAATTCATTCAACATTTCAATACGTTGTTGAATTTGTTGATCTGATCTTCCTTTTGGTTTTGGACTATTTTCAATACTCTTTTTAAATAACTCAATATAGGATTCTAAGGAATGTTGATACATGACATTAATAGCACCCAAATCCATAAGAGCAAAATACAAAATGGATGCTCTTGTTGCTGCTTCTCTGTATTGATTACGTGCATGATCAATTTTCTTTTCATTTTCTTGTGAAATTTCAAGTCGATTCGACACTTCTTCACTTGTCTTTTTCGATTGTTGAAGATTGGAAATTAAAGTTTCATTTTCTAAAAGTTCTTCACTTTGATCACTTGTCAATGCTTGTAGAATTTCATTTTGTAACATTTCAAGTTGCTTATTGGCACTAGCTACAGAGATCATGGTACTCGTTTTTTGTTCTTCTAATTCTGGTTTTTCTTTTCTCACTAAAATGGCAAGTAATTGTTCTTCTAATCCATGATTGGTCACTGAAAAGTTAATAATAGATAAAGAAGAAGCAATTTCAGGAGAATATTTTGGATTGGATAATTTGGTGGTTAAGAATAATTTAAAGTTTGGATGATAATCCACCAATTTCTCACCAAGTCTAATAAATGTTCTTCCAGATCTCGTTTCAATGGATTGATTAATAATACAATTCAGAGAAGGATCAATATCTTCTAAAATATCTTCAATTAACATGGGTGTACCAGTTTTCAATGCAATTTCAAGTAATTTCATCATTTTAGGATCTTTAAAAGTTGTACTCACAAACAGTTTTGCATTTTCTATTTTCATCTTGTCATATTCATACAACTTTTTAATCCAATTCTTTGCTTGTCCTTGAGGATCAATCATTAAGGAATGTTTTCTTCCAGTCATGACAAGAACACCATTTTGAATGGAGAATTGATCTACAGGTAATCCATGTGTATTCCAATCACGAACTGTGGTGGATTTGGAAAGTACTTTTTCAATCGCAAAATCTGCACTCACAGAGAAACTATGATCCACAATTTCTTTGGTCCAAAAAGAGACAAGTTCATTTCTGTAAGAAGGTGTGAATGGACCAGCATAGCTTGTAAATGCACAAGTCAATAACACATCTCCAATTAAATTTTTAAGAGCATTCTTATATCTTTGAATGGTCATGAGCCATCTTCCCTTTTCTCTTTCCTAAAGCACTTGTCATTTCTTTAGCACGTGTTAATTTGCGCTCCGTTTCATAGAGTTGTTTTTCAATCAATTTCTTTTCAGTGTTTGTCACTTCGTATTGTTTACCTAATTCTGAAAGTTCTTTTTCAAATTCTTTCAAAGCAAGTGTTGTCTTTTCTAATTTCAATTGATATTCTTGTGCTGCTTTTTCTGCTTTTTCAAGAGCTTCTCGTTTTGGTTTTACATTCAAATAGACACGGCCATATCTTTCAATAGCAATTGCCCATTTTGCAAGTCCTACAACAGCTCCTGAGACTGCTTCAATCTTTTCAAGATTATTCAATTCATACTTTTCAATGGCATTATGAATACTGTTCAATAATCGTTCAGTCATTTCAGTCTTTGGATATTCCACAAGAGAATTTAAAAATTTGAGTGGATTTGTCATTTGATTTTTGATGGCTTCCCAATTCGATTCTGATTTCTTTAAAATGACCATAATGACATTGAAGACATTCAACACTTCAGGTGGAGGATTTGTGTACTTCTTAATTTCATAAATGTCATTGGCTTGAATGGATTTGAGAGCTTCTTCTGCACTTTCAAGAAGAGGTTCAACTTCACTCAATTGTTTTCGACTTTGTTCAGAGAGTTTGTTTGCTTTTTCTGTTTCACTTTCAATTTGAGATTTTTCAACACTAATTTGACCTCTAATATTGTTGCATTCCGTTTGTCTTCCTACAATATGATCCATCAAGTTATCACACTTCTTTTTCTTTTCATCTACTTCTTTGTGTTGTTTATCAAGTTGAATGGTCATCTTTTTGATCGCTTGATTGGTATTTTCAAGTGTTCGAACTCCTCTCTCATTGTCTTCAACAGCTTTTGTAAATTCTCTTCTCTTTTCTTCTAAGAGATTACAAAAATCAGTGACAAAACTCAAGTAATGAGAAGGAGTCACATAAAATTGACGTTGTGTTTCAATTTTCATCTTTTCTGAAGTGGACTTGGCATGGAAATGAACTTTGAATAACACTTCAGAAATTGCGTCTAATAGAGCTTTTTGTTGTTCCAGTTGTGGTTTGTTCAACGATGGAGAGGATGGTCTTTTTCCGTCTAAAGATTCTTCCTTGTTTTGAATGACCAATTGGTCGAGTGAAGGAATTTCTGCAAGGAATGAATTTGCAACTTGTCGGAGAGCAGATTCTGGCCAATCACTGTACCAATCCAATGTAGAGTATTTGATAAATGCTGGATACATTCGAATTCTTTGCTTGAATAATTTACCAATAGGACTCATACATGAAACGACATGAAGAAGAGTTCTCACTTTTTCAATAAAATATTGATAGACTTCTTCAATGAGATCATTACATCCTCCATGAATCATTGCTTCCTTTTTACAAGTTTCATAAATATTTTGAATTTCTTCTCCAGAGAATAGATTTGGAACTTCTCCAGTGCTTAAAATACTATTCATGTTCTCAAGAATGGCATGATCAGTGGATTCAGAGTCTGAGAATAACAAGACCATTTCTTTACCCTTGAAACCAGCTTCCCAATAAATGTCTTTCAAACTTTCTTGGAATTCTTTTAGAGAAGACATGTTAACAAATTCCACAAGTTTGTAACCCAACATGTAGGAAACCAATTTGGTAAGACTTTGTCTTCCACTTCCACCAATTCCAATCAATAAAGCATTTCCTCGTTGTTGCTTTAAAATTCTATGAAGTCGACACAAGTGTTCAATCGCATCATTAAATAACACCATCTTCATTGGTACTTGATTGGGCTTTTCATTGTATTCAGCAAGATTTGTACTAATTTGTTTTCTCAAAGCATCCATGGAAGTCATTTCAACATAACTTGTCTTTTCTCTAAATGTTAAAATCTCTCCAAACAAGGTTGGTTTGAAAATACCCTCACTGTCTTGAAAGTCTTGAGCAGAAATGAGAGAGGATGAAAGTGATGATGATGATGGTGTTGTGGTGGTTGCGGTTGTGGTGGTTGCGGTTGAATATTCAACGGCTCCATGATTCGATACAAATGAAACACTAGTGTTGGGAAGAGAATTTAAAATTTCATCATAGACTCCACTAAACAAACGCTTCCATTTGTAACCAAACACATCTGAGAGTTGTTCTCCAACCTTATCTCTGAACCATTTTCGATCTTCTTCTTCACAAAGTCGATCATGGAACACTCGGTAACATTCATGAACCCAAAGTCTTAAAGTTTGTTCTTTGCTATCCAAGGATTCATGATCAGCAAGAATGAGACCTTGGAATACTTTTGATAAATCTCGAAGATTGAATGAATAATGAATTTTCTTTGGAGTGGGTAATAAATAGGTTGAAACTGACTTGAAGAGTCCAATCGTAGCATGAGTCAATTCTTCACTCAATGTTTTCACTTCTTCCAATTTTTCTAATCTTTGACTCAAGAGAGTGCTATAAATTCGATTCAATTGAGAATCACTTGGAGCTGTAATATTGAGTACATTAAATCTTGATAAGAGTCGATTGGAAATTTGTGTTCGTCCTCCACCCACAGGTCCCATGGCAGCCAACACTTGAACTTTTTTCAACTTTTTAACGGTATTCCTTGTACGGTCATACCAAAAACCATGATCCAGATATTGACGAATCAGTTCTAATGGTGGTTGAGAACCATAGTCATCTTTTTCAGGTGTATTAAAATCATCTGCAAAGAGAATCATAGTCTTTCCTGCATAGGGTGTAAAAGTATCCAATGATTTTTCAACTTTGGATTCGACCAGTTGTTGGAGTGTGGATGATCGAGTTCGAGCACAAAAAGCAATTTGACAAGTGGTAAATTGTCGTTCATCAAATTGTGAGAGTGTGTTTTGAATTTGAAGAGTTTTTCCAACACCTGGCATTCCAGTGATCAACACTTGTTGATTGGCTTTCAATAAGGAATGAATCATGAATGAGTTTCTGACTGTATCGATGGTTGGAACAATTAATTTGTGGAAAGGAGTATTCGGATGCATTTTCCATGATGTATTCACACGTTCATTCCATGGTTTCCATAATTTGGTCTTTGTATCAATAAAGTATTCATAGACAGTGTCAGAACTTGGAAATTGAGGATCAAATTCTCTGAAAATAATATCCATCCTCTTTCTTCCTTCATCATCCACAGAAGCTCCAATCGTCCAAATTAAACAAAATACAAGATACTTCTTAATAAGATCTAAATACAATTCGTGATCATTTGGATCAAGACCATTTTCAACAGTTGCAAGAGCATCAAACATGGAACAAAAAGACTTGACGGCATGAATGTCCGACAAATGAATGAATTCCGTTTGACGATTTTTCTCATCCAATGTTCTTTGAATGTAATTCTTTTCAAATAAAAGTCCATTCAAAAATTCTGTGATGGTATCTGGAGAAGGATAACCAATTTTTTCTTCATATCTTCTTCGTTGATATAACCAACTCTTGACAATGGATTGCCAACCCAATTCATTGGCATTAAAGAAGACCATTCCACATCGACTAATCGTTGCTGGTGAAGCATAACTCACATCTGAAACCTCAAAAATCAGACGAACATTTGGAGAAAGAGCAATTCGATCACCACTAATTAAAGTTAACATTTTAGAGTTATCAAGTAGAGTGTTCATCGATTCAACCCAAAGAGTATCCACAGGACCATCAAAAACAATCCAATGATGTTTGTTTTCTTTGGTATCTTTAACAACTTCTCTCAGAATGGTTGAGAATACTCCATCTCTCCAATCTCTGAAATTGTCATAATTTCCATAAAGTTCATCATGGCTAAGAGACTTGGGATTGATGACATATTCTTTAATTTCATTACCCTTAAATGCCTTTGGAATGGATGTTTGTAAAGTCTTCCAAGTGGTTGTCTTTCCTGAACATGTATCACCAATGAGCATGACACCATGTCTTTCTGCTAGTGTTTCCTCTAATTGAATACACTTGTTCATGATATAGTTTGAAACTTGATAATTTTGCTCTACTAAAGATTGAGTAATCGCATCAGAGAGTGGATTGGATGATTCCAAATATTCCTTATTTGAGAATAAATCTCTTAAAATTGAATCAAAGATTGGAATGTCATTGGATAATAATTTTGGTAGATTCATGCTCTTACATGCCATCATGACAATCATTTCTTCATCATCACTTATTTGATTTCTTTTGAGTTCTCCTGCTGCATTTAATAAGGATGAAATACTTCTCAAACCAAAGTCATAATGTGGCTGTTTTGATAATTGTTCATCGAGAAGATTGTAAGCAGTGATAATCTTTTTGGCAAGTGATTGAGTTTCTTTAAAACCATGTGAATAGAGTTTGATTTCACAAATTTGTAAGGCATCAGGTACCATCATGGATACTGGTCTGAGGAGTACCTTCAAATTATCAGGAAGTTGAGATCGACCCAAATAGTTTGGATTCATCGTTACAAAAATACCACACGTTGGATTCATTCGAATATCATTTCCTTCAAAAATGAAACTATCCACTCCCATCGATACGGCATTCAAAATTTGAAGAATTTGTTGAGCAACAATACTCAATACATGCAATTCCAATCGATTGAATTCATCAAAACAAGACCATGAACCACTTTGAACAATTCCTGAAAAAGTTTTTCCAATCGATTGATAATCAAAACGATCGGAACAGTTGAGAATGAGAGTGTGTTTTCCAACGGATTTTGCCAAATCCTTAATGGTCTCACTTTTACCTGTTCCTGCAGGACCAGAGGCACATCCACCCTTCTTGAGTTGAAGTGCAGTGGTGAGAGCTAGGAAACATCTCTCCGTCAAAGGTGTAATGACCAATCGACTGCAATTTCCAATGTATTCATAACCATAGTCAATGTTCGTGGTGTTTTGTGAAATGATGCATCCATCTTTTTCTTCATCCCATTCATAACGAATTTGTTTCAGCCATTCAAAATCATCTGTACATGTTACTTTTGCTCGAATCAATCGATCAATCACATCTCGTGAATGAATTTCAAGAGTCATTAATGAGACAATTTTGATTCGATCGAGACCTTTCATATCCCTACTCAGAGAGCTGTAACTATTGAGGTATTCTAACCATTCGGCTCGAATTCTTACTTTCATTTCTTTTAGAATCTTGGCTGGTTCTTTTTGTTTGGAAAGTACATTGTAAATCTTTTTGGTCCAAAATAATTGAGAGGCAACATGAGTCAATTGTCCAGGCCATTCCTTAATCCAAGATTCTCTCGAAGATTCTTGTGAATAATTTTTCAAAGCAGAGTAACATTTCAAAATTCCTCTCTTAATGGTTGATTTCATGGAAGACTCGATTTGAGAAAGCCACTTTTCTACATTGCCTTCTAATGGAACTGGATGATTAAACTCAATGTGTTCTCCTTCCTTGCTGATAAAGCTTTTAGCAAAAAATCCAAATTGTCTAGAATCGCTTGATTTTTCAATTTTGAGAGATTTGATGCCTTCAAAAAGGTTGGATAAATGTCTTTGCATGGCATTTGGATCTTTGCTTTGACCCAAAATTTGAAGGAGATCATCATCCGACAAGAAATAGAATCTTGGGAACTCTTGACGTTTCAATTCCAAGTATCCATCGAGTTGTTTTTGTATTTGTTCTAATTTTGCATTCATTTCTGTGAGTAATATATTAATACCATCTCTCTTGGCAATTGCAACAATTCCCTTATTATCACTGAGAGACTTCATTAAATTCTTCCAACTTGAATTGACAGACTTGAATACTCCAAACTCATTGTGTAATTGCTTTTGAATGTCTTCAACATCAAAAATGTTTAGCAAATAAATCCATTGTCTTTGCACCAATATGAGTAGATCAATGACTTCATTAATTTTAGCGAGTGTTTCTTCCCAGAATTTTACATCGCTTTGGAATGAAGTAATGAATGGATTTAGTTTCATACTTCCTAGAGATGCAACGTTATCATCTAAATTCATATAAATATTCTCCACAGATTGAAGTTTGAAATAAATTTCCTTATATGGTACAATATCGAGAGTGGTGTTGGACCAAATATCACTAATCTTCTTAATTTCCTTCTCAATTAGTAATTCTTGGCTGGCTCTATGAGAAATGGTTGAAATATCATCCACATAATTCTCCAAGCTCAACTTGAAAATTTTCTCAAAGTTAAAATCTTTGGAGTTTTCTTCAAAATCTTGTTTGATGATATCTTTCAGTTCATTCCAATGACGTCTTCGCATGGCTGGATTCTTTAGTTCTTGTACCAATGGCAATACTTTAGAGATCAACTTTAACTTGTCCACAAGGGTGTTATACACTCCCCAGTCTTTAACTTCTCGTCCCATGGCTGTTAATTTTGAAGTTAAAGCAGAGGCAGCATTTTCCATTTCTTCAATGTTCAATTTTGTGAAAGGCATCACTTTCCATTCCTCATAAGTTTTGTCCCATTCGTTTTTAATGATCCATACTTTTTCAAGAGATTCAATGTTCTTGGAAACATCCTTAATTTCCTTGTACTGTTGTGGCTGCATGTTAAATATTCTTAATCCATTCTTGAGTTTCTCTTCTTCTTTCTTTTTCATTTCCACTTTATCTCTAAATGCATCGAGAACTGCCTTTGCATCTTTGAAAGTGTATTGAGATGAAAAAGGAGCTGAGTTTTCAAATTCGGCCTTAAGTTGTAAGAGAGTGTTTGCAAATATATCAACATTTGCTCTCAATTTCATGCGGAATGTTTCTTTTTGATTTTCAAGCTCTCCTTTAGCTTTTTCAATCAATTCTTCAAATCGATTACTATTTTCTGTGAGCATGTCTAAATTCTCTTGTTCACTTTCATCAATTTTAACATCATAATTTCGAAGTAATTCATATTGATCGTACAATGGAGCAAAACCAGCCTTCTTCTTTGGATATTCCGTTTCCATTCTTGAAACAAGTTCCATTTTCTTTTCCAAAGTTTCTAAATTTCTTGGTTCTTCTCTTAACAACTTTCCATTCTTTTCGAAAAGTTCATAATTCTTGTCCAACTCCTTCTTCGAGTTGGTATGAAGAAGATCAAGTAACTTGGATTGCCATAAATTACATTCCATGAATAAGGTCTGTTTGAGTGGCATAAAATCAAGTTGTAAATAACCAATGTACATGGTAGGATCTTTGTTTTGAATGTCTTGATGATATTGCTTATACTTTTCAATTTCTTGTTCAAAAGATTTAGCAGTACGATTATGAGGAATACCAAATCTTCGGATAAAGTTGTCCTTATCAACGCTCCAAATAATTTTGAAAGCATCTTTCCATTCGTTGAGATTATCTGTCACTCGAGAGGTAATTGCATCCATTCCTTCCATGATAGAGACAATCGATTTGATGATATCTGGATCAATTTCAATGTTCTTATCATAATAGTTTGTGGATCCTTCTTCAGGAACGAATAAATGTGGGTCAATCTTGTCATCTTCTGGTCTTTCCTTACGAACTTGTTCCAACAACATTCCCTTGAGTACATTCTTCAATCGAGGAACAATGGTAACCACTTTGGTAGTTTCTCCATTGACACCTGTGACCATTGTCATGAGTTCCTTAATATTTGGAGTTAAACCTGGATTCACTTCATCTTCATTTTCCTCTTTCAAATCCACTCTCACCAAGAAGAGAGGATTTCTATTGAGTCCTCCATTTCCTTCGGTTGTTTTATCTGAATCAATGCCATTAATCGAGTTGAGAAGTCTTTGCAAAGATCGTTTCACTGTTAACCGAAGTGATTGATCAATTTTTCTTTCCACATGATCCACAAATGACCACCATTCGTCATAAATATCATTTCCTGAATTACTGAAATAGCTGTACAACTTGACCATTCTAGAAACGATATTTTCATGACATCGAACCAGTTCTTCCTTAACAATTTTTCTATAAGTCTCTTGTTCTCTCTCAAATTCATTTGATTCACCATCGTAGACTTTCTTATTTTCAATCTTGATCAGCAAAGTATCAGCCATTTTCTTACAATTGAGATAAATTTGAGTGACATTGGTTTTAAATTCAGTGACGATATCCTTCACTTCTTTACATTTCTTTCTTGATTCCGAAATGAAATGTTCGTTGTGCATCTTTAGTGTCCATCCTAACGTATGCAATCCAGGAAGTATTTGCTTGTCAATTTCTTTAATATATCTCACAAACAACCTTGCTTCCTGTTGTGATAGACAAGATACAATGCTATTATAATCTCTCGCTACAAGCATAACGTTCTCTCTGTACAGACGCATCTTATCTGCATAGCAGTAGAGCTCCAATGCTTGGGCATTGATATCAAAGTTGGAGAACCTTTGCCAATATTTCACTTCTTCAAAAATGTTTAACAGACTAGGATCAAAATTAACGGATAAAAGTCCATCTTTTTTGGTTAAAAGAGGTATTTCTAATTTTAAATGTAATTCTGAACCTTGAAATGAATGGCTCCATGCTTCAAACATGGAAAGTATGTGTTTTTCTAAGTTTGAATAAACTTGTTGGTATTTCTTGTCCACTTCCGTGTGCTCTTTTGTTCTTGTCAAAAAGTGAGCACGATCCAATAACATCTTGTCTCTCTTAATTCTGTCTTGTAATCTCTTTGCCCAGAGTGCTGACCCTGAGTACGAAGGATAAATAAATGGTATTGGTGGATTTTTTCTATTGAGCTCAAAAATCTTTTGAACATCTTCCAATTCCTTGATGAATTTGAGACAAATCAGTTGAGTTTTGGAATCAATACTTCTTCGAATGGATTCTCTCTTTGCCAAATAAGAAAATGCTTCTAACAATTCAATACCATTTTGTATGTCCGTTACCGTTTCGAATGCATTGGAAATTATGGTGTTCATCATCGTTTCCAAATCCTTGATACCATTCTTAAATTTTTTGTAGTCATCATGCCAATTGGTAGATTTCACATCGAGTATTGGATATTTAAGATTGCTCAGGTCGTTAATTAACTTTTGGAAAGATATTCTAATATCTACGAGACTTTTTGTAATTTCTGGTCCTCTGGTTCCTCCAAAATTAGGGAGCCCATTGGTACTGTTATCTGTCGACACAGAAAAACATCCAAATTGTAATTGAGCTTCACACACTTCTAATAATTCGCCACATCGGACAACAAAAGCGTCAATTTCCGAAAAAACACTACTCTTGTCATAATTAAATCCTTCTACATCACTCTCATCAAGACATAATCTCTTCCAAAACTCTCCAGCTCTGATGCTCTGATGCAATGTTTCCATACACTTCTCCACATTTCCATTAAAAATGTTGGTCAGCGATATTTTGCCTGTACATATGTGAATAATTTCATTGCTAATCTTCTTTAACAACCCAGAAATTCTTTCGGAGGTGTTATAGCTGTTCGAATTTGCATTAATTAATTGTACAGTCCACAAAATTTCGGGAACAATATCTATTATTTGTGATGGCTCACAAGAGGCCAATCTTTCACATGGCTCTTGCAGTGCTCTCAAGAATTTCAAGTTATCCAAAGCTTCATCAGATCCTTTTTGTATTTCTGTTGAAAGTTTTTCGAAGGTGGTGAGATAGGAAGATCCCGAAAGAACGGTTACTATTTTTTGAACGTCTTCTCTTTGGATTTGTTTTTTGATATTTATCAAATCGTCTGCTCTTGAGCGCCAGTATTCAATTTCCGACAATGGCCTTGCATTGTCTCCGTGCTCTCCATAAGAATCTTTTTCGCTGACCACTTCTTTGATTTGAGTGGTCCAATGCATCAGTGCTGCCTCCAATCTTTGAACAAGGTCTTTTTGATTCCTAGCATTTTCAATATCAATTTCTTCGATGGGTACATAGAGAACGGTAGAACCTTTCGACCTATAAAATGTTTCAGTAAGATAGGCCATAAATTTATGAAGTTGAGCGAGAAAATCCTTTTGAAGACCTTCCATCATGTTAAATCTCGATGTATTGTACAACACACTGCGATTACTTACTTTCAGGCCAGTTCGTTTTACATTCAATAAGATCTGGTGCAAAATAATTCTTCATTAACACCAAAAAATCACCCAATAGCTCTTGTGTTAGTATTCCAAAGGACATGACGCTCGCAATATTGTCCAGAGTGATCTTTTCTCCTTCCGAAGAATCTTTCAAAAAGAATATTAGCGATTCCCATGATCCCTTTTTTGCTTGCTCAAAATTCATTGTTGTGATGTACTGATTGTTATTTACAAACGCAAACAAAATTTGATGTTCCTCATGCAACAGAAAGTCTGCTGCTGTTTTTTGATTTTCCGATGTCCATTTCAAAGACATGTCTTTTGATTTTGCCAACTTGTCTTGAATCACACCTTTTATCCATGTGATGCAGTGTGGATCCACTAACAATTCATTTCCGCTTTGCCCAGGTGAATACATTTTTTTGTAGTTAGAATTGGTTGTTGTATTTTATTTTGGCGGTTCTTTTTTCCCGCTTCATTTTGGCTCGCAAAGACAGGTGTTAAAAAAACTGACTGAACAATTGACAACACCAAAGTACAAGCGGAATCTCATGAATAGGACCACTAAGAGAGTGTATGCACCCACCTATGCACAATCAAGGCATATGGCTCTCATTCGATCGGCTCTGAATGATTCGAACAACCCTTACATGATCATGGAGTCAACGACCACTCCGAGTGTCCTTTCCAACTTGGAGCGTTGAAAATCAAAGAAAATATCCTAATTATTCTCTAAACTCATGTCCAACCCTAATTAGGAAGATCGAATGGAAAGAACCTTATCCTTCAAAGAGATTCAATCATAACTTTTGAACAAACACACGTTTGATGGTAGTAAAAAAAAATGGCGCGTTTCGAAAGCACACGCCCGATTATTTTTGTTTTCCGTAAATTATTTTTTCATTTGTTGTGGACCACTTGCATGAGTGTCCCGACGTTACTAGTAGTAGTAGTAGTAGTATTCATACGACCCGACTCTGTGCATTCAAAACAGGTCATATCCATGGGTGATGTTCATGGTGATGATCGAGTATTTTCGCAATTATTGCATCATTTAAATTTAACCTCGGAAATTGGAGGAGAAATTGAATTCAAGCAAAATGATTTGTTATTTATTCAAACAGGAGATGTGTTGGATCGAGGGCCTGATGGATTAAAAATATTAAAATTTCTAATGAAAGCTATAGACAAGTCTAATGATCGAGTGGATTTTCTGTTAGGTTAGTAGTGATGAAGATGAATTTTTATGATAATTTTTCAAAATCATGATCTAAATAATTTCTGAATATCAATTAAACTATGGAATAACTTTATCATGACATTACATAAACTATTGTCTTTGGAATATTTCTAATCATGACATTGTTGCAAAACAGGAAATCATGAACTTATGAATTTATATGGAAATTTTTATTATGTTCATGAGAATGAATATTCTAGTGAATATAAAAATTTATTACTGGATGATCAATCTCCAATTAGAAGATTTTTATTAGAGAGAAATACTGTTCGACTTGTGGATGGAGTTGTTTATACTCATGCTGGACTACTTCCATTCTTTATTGAAAATGATCCAAATCTCATGCAAAATATTCAAAATCCAGACATGGTTGTGAAATTGTTAAATGAAAAAACAGTCCACTTGTTGAAACATGGAACACGTGGTTTTCACACGAGATCACCCAAGTCGTTGGTATGTACACTTGATTCATATTTCTTAAATGTACTCAAATTTGAACATTTATTAAATGTACCTGATTGTCACTATTATTTTTCAATGAATTCCTATGAATGACCTCAAATATATATTCTGAATGAACAGCTAGGACCAAAAGGACCTTTCTGGACTCGAGATTTATCTGATCATGAAGATTGTCAATCTCTTTACAACACTTTGGATCTTTTAAAAGCCAATCACATGGTGGTAGGTCATACCATTAAAGACGAAGTAACGATTCTTTGTCATGACAAACAGAGGAAAAAGAGTTTAATATGCATTGATACAGGAATGAGTAATGAATATGGAGGTCTGCCATACGCTGTTAAAATTGTCGATGGAAAAACTATATATATTTATAATTCAAAAACGAATGACACAACAATGATCGATTTAGAAACAAATGAACGTTTTGAAATCTCACTCTTACCATCAACAAGTGGATTCAATATTCGAATGATATTGACCTGTTTACTTGCAACAGTGTTGTTATTGATGACAAGTTTTCTCTGTTTTTCATCCAAGAAACAACTAGTCAGAGAGACAGACATTTCTACTAGTAGGAAATGTTCCACCTCATCGTCACCAGTCATGATTCCATCTCCTCCAACTATACAATTTAAACTTGACAATGAAAAGAAAATTCAAGGAAGTCGAAAGAGTATTCGATATGATTTTATTAATCCTCAACATTTTGAAAATGGCCATTTGAGAAAAACTTTGTAAGCATTTTCATCATTCAAATCAATGGATGAATACTAGAATATTATTATTAATAGAATATCAAATGATCACTTACAATAGAATATTAAATGACTATTTTACAAAATCATGGCCACAAGGACAAGGACAAGGATCAATACCATGAATGCAACAAATGTTTTCAATCCAAATGTTGTCGTGTTTTTTGCGCAATATTCCACCATTTCAAATGTTTGAATTTTCAAATAGTCTCGATCTCTCGAGTTGTCGATCACAAAATTGGATCTTCTTGCTTTTTCTTCGACTGGTAGTTGAGATGAAATTCGTTGTTGTGCTTCTTCTTCTGTGTAATGATTTCTGGCCATGAGCCATTGTAATTGACGTTCAGGAGTTGTTTTAATACAAACAATAGTAGAGACAATATATTGAAATATTTTAGTTTCAAAGAGAAGTGGAAGTTCTACAAAGCAAATGGTTGTTGTTCGAGGTGTCACGAATAAGGATTTTAAAAATTCAATAAATATTCTCTTCATGATTTCTTTAAATATTTCCAAGTGAGTAGCTTCATTGATCATTTTCCTAACTTTGGGATCTATTCAATGATATTATAATTATTATTAATTGAATATATTATAATAGAATATTAAATTTATATCGATGGAATTAATATTAGCAAAACCATATAATTACCTTTAAATACTGCAGCACTTAATTTTGGTCGATCAATGATCATTCCATCTTCCGAAAATATATTGACATGTTCGCCAGTGTGAAGGTCTTTGTAGGTTTCAAAAAATTTCTTCACCTTGTTGTAACAAGGTGATCCTGGTAAATAAATCGTATGTGCAATTTCATCACTATCAATAATTGCAATATTCAGTTGTGAGCTATGAGTGTTCCCATATTCTTTTAAATAATTGGTAAGAGTTGTCTGTAATGGGTGGTGAACAAGGAATTATATTTTGATCATCATGAAAGGATCATCATGGTGTTTAAATGCTTACCTTTCCTTTTCCAATTGTTATTGTTGTTGATCAAGGTGTTAAATAATAAACTGTTACCTACCACATGCAATACTGTTTCCGATCGGATTGTATCATCTAATCATCTCAACAAATTACCTACCCGCCTGTCACACCCACTAACTTCATTTTTTGCACTCACAATAAAGATGAAAACATAAATCTCCATTTTGTGGTTGGTCAATATAAATGCCAAGAATTATTCCAGAATCTTTATTTGGAGGGTTCTGGCAAGAACGAGCCTCAATTCACTTAGAGTATCTATAGATAACTGTTTTGTCATTTCCTGCAAATCCATAAAATGAAATTCCATTTCCTCAAGATGTGACATTACGGCCACTATTTGAGCATATTTCAAAATGCTCAAGTCAATGCTTGTCAAAAGCTCGAGCTTGAGCTCATCATTTGGAATACATGCCAAAGTAGATGGGAGCAAATGAATATTGGCTTCGTTATTTTCTAAAATCTTAAAGAATGATGAGATCCATTGAATTTCTTGCATGTCTATCAAACATCCATACTCCTCTAATCCATAATAAACAATTCGAAGGTTATCTGTTGTTGATATTTCTCTAATCACTGACTCTAGTTTGTCTCTGTCATTCGATTTGTAAATATGATAAATTCCTGTAGCATAATTCTTTTCTGAAATGCACTTTTCACCTAATTTCAAATGTAAATGGCCTACAACAGCTTTTGTAAACGGTGTATCTTTGATGTATCTATAAATTCTGTCAAGTTGGTATTCATTGGAAACAGAAATGTTTAGAAGGATTCTCTTAATGATGTCGTGAATCTCATCTTGAGGTTCAGAGGCGCAATATGATAAATAATCAATAGCTACTTTCCATAAATCATTTTCCAATGAGCTATATTGGGCAATCTCGTTGTAGTATGGTATAATTTCTTTTGTCACAAGCTTACGTAAATATTGACTGTTTAAGAAAGAAAGATTACGTATGAAACTTTCAGAATTGGTCGTAATGTATAATTTTTGGTAGAGAGTGTTGATGTGGAATAAGAAATTGGTAGCATGAGCAATGAACCAGTAATTTTTGAACAAGGATTTGTCATCATTAATATTTGAGAGACCTTCCTGGATGCTTTTGAGAGTTGTATCTAATTCATTTCCAATGACAAGCAAGCAGATAGCCTCGAGAGTAGAGTGAGTGTCTTGATCGTCTTTCATATCCTTTGCATGAACTGCTAAGTCGATTATTTCGTTAATATCAGAAAATCGTTGATATTTGTGTAATATTAACCCTATCATTACTTCAAGCCAATTGATTGATTGTTCAACAATTTTGTCTTCATCTCCAGTGACAATGTCGAAACACTCGCTTAAAAATTGATATTCCCTAGTGGTATCCTTTAATGTTCTCAGCTCTCGCTTCAACTTCAGAGCTTCGATCTTCCAATGTTGAGTTTCGTCCAAATACTCCTCAAACGTTGCAGAAATGGCCTTAAACTTCAGAATATTTGGTTTCTTACTTAATAGTTTAAAAAAGTCCTCATAATGCCTGTACAAGTCTTTCATATTCACTTTCATGTGGTCAAGATCGTCGCTCTTGTAGTCACGAATTGTGTCAATAATTTTTTCTGGCACTTCACCTAAAATGAGTTGTCGATAAATTGCCCTATCTGAGGTATCTTTGTTTGTGAGATAAATATAGCTCTTCAAATACCACTTCACTAGCTTTTGCAAAAGAGAGCCTCTGCTAAATCTATAGAAATAAAAAATTTCAATTGCATTGAAAATATCGTAATACGCTTCAAAGGAACTTATTTTAGAAAGTCCTTCAAATAGTATGGTTTTGAATTGTGTGATTGATTTTTCTAAAGTATTTTTGTCAAGCTTGTCATCGCTATATCTATCTTGTATGAAGAGAAACATTTCACAAGACTCATGCAAAATCTTCCACCATAACTCCTCCTGCTCATACCTACTTGGTTGTTGTGGTTCATATTCAATCTTGTCTATAATGGACTCATCCTCCATGTCGTCGGTATTTGTGAGTGGTGATTTAAAGCTGTTGGACGAGCCGGAAGAGCGAATACTAGAGTGATCATCAAATATTGATTTTGAATTAGTAGGTTTAGCAGATGAAGAGGACGAAGAGACCGACAAATTATCGCCAAACAACTCTTGTGACTCCTTATTGAAAGTGTTTCCACTCTTGATTCCGAAATTGAATGAAAAATTACTTTGGATTGGAGCTGTTTTGTTTAAATCCACAGTGTTTGATTGTTGGGTTGATGGGAAAAATAGAGGTGGTTTGTTGCCAGTATTCTTATTCTGTTGATTATTATTCGCAGATAAATCATGATCCAATACCCGTAAAGAATTGTTGTCTAAAAGATCCTCTTGGTCTTTTCTTGATGGTAAGTTAAATTGTGAGAGCCCGCTAGGTGCTACAAGAGATGGTTTTGCAAATGAAATTGTGTTTGGAGGTTTTTGGGTTCTAACCATCTTGGGTGTTTGTACTTCAGCTATGGAAGGCTCTGGTTGCTTTTCTTCTGTCAATAATTTTGTTGATAACGATGATGGTGTCGATGTTGTTGAGGTTGTTGTTGAAGATGTAGATGTTGGGGCACCAAATGAAAATGGAATTCTTGTTGATGATGCTCCCAATGATGATGATGGTTGAAAGGATGTCTGAAAAGAGGAGGTCGTATTTGTCGATGATGATGAAGGAGTTGGACCAAAAGAAAAAGCAAAGCCTCCTTTCGTTTCTTTAACATCTCTCATTTCATTATTGCCATTATTCGATGAAGGCTTATTTCCTCCAAAGCTAAATCCTAATCCAAATTTGTTTGCAGATGATGAAGAAGAGGATGATGAAGTCTTTTTTCCACTTTCTTCTACATCTCCTCCTTCCTCGGGAGGAGAAATAAAATCATCGGATTCTTCTTTACGCTTTGCAAGCAAGGCACCAAAATCAATCTTTGGTTGCGGAAGAGCATCACCCAATAACAATACGGGAGCGGAATTTTCTTGAGTGTTTGTTGTTGTAGTGGTACTCGTGTTGGTAGGAGTGAAATTGGAAAGAAAGTTGCTAAACTCATGAGCCGATTGGCTTTAGAAATCTTTTTTCGCCATCACACAAAATTCAAGCAAAAATACCTACCCAAACAAGTTGGACATTTTTTTCGAACTGTCCCAAGTTGTCATGCTCTTCAAGTGCGAGCTTTCGGAATAAATAATAGCGTTCAATGAATGTTCTTTGCACTTCTTTCTCAGTTTACATGTCAGGTCGACCGTTGCCACGAGTGGTTGATTGTCCTTTCTCTTGTCAAACACCATTCCGAAATGAAAAGTGAATGTTGAAAACCAAACAGAACAAAAAATGAAAGAAGAGAATTATGACTTGTTCGTGAAGATTTTGTTGGTGGGTATGTATGGAGCTGTTACTTGCTCTCTCAGATGAATGTGTTGATGATGATGATGGTGATTGGTCCAACACGGAATCCACGATTTGATTGTTTTGAAACAATGTTCGGACTGCTTCTGTCTCTATTAATTTTCAATCGTAACGGTTTTTTATGACGACGACGTGATGAATTTATTCTTCGTCCTTTCAAATTCATCAACGTAATTCATTATTATTATATCATCATAAACAACTACAAATAGGCGATTCCGGTGCTGGTAAAGTATGTAATATTACATTGATGATGAAAATCGGATCAAACATTTTTGTTCTCATATTAGACTTGTTTGATTTTACGATACACCGATGATGAATATAATGACACTTATCAAAGCACAATTGGTGTTGATTTTAAAATCAAAACTAAAGTCATGTCAAATTCTAAAGTAGCCAAAATGCAATTGTGGGATACAGGTAAGTATGAATGTTATTGTCATGGACGATCACTTTATTTCTAATTAATTTCTTCCTATATATGAATAATCAACTTGTGTGTACACAGCTGGTCAGGTGAGTATTCTCAGACTCCATACGGAATTAATTTTGTGATTCATTGTACTTGTATCCCTAATGTGGAACATGTCAATGTCGGAATGTATTTCTCATCATGAACATTCTTTATTGAAATAGGAACGTTTCAACAGCATTGTTGTCTCCTATTACAGAGGAGTGAATGGTATTCTTGTTGTTTTTGATTTGACCAATGAAACCAGTTTCCAAAATACCACCAAATGGATTCAACAAATTAAATCCAATGCTCAAGAGAATACTCTTATTGCATTGGTAGGAAATAAGAGTGACATGGTTCATAGAAGAGTGGTTGACCGTAGTCGAGCAGAAGAGTTTGCTAAAAAGTTAAATATTCCATATTTTGAAGCCTCTGCAAAAGATGGAACTGGTGTAAAAGAACCTTTTGACAATATGTTGGATCGCTTATATCAAGCTGGAAATTATGCAGAGAGTGAGTTTAATAGAAGAAAAAATACAGCAGGTTCTAGCTCTGGAACTGTCAATTTGAATGCACCTGTCAGTCATACTGGTGCTAATTCATCAGGGAAGACATCGAACAGTAGTGGTGGTGGTGGATGTGGATGTTAAACTCTCAAGTTTTTTAAAGAGCCATGATGGCATTTTAGAGTATAGTTTACTGCTATGCCCTCTCTTGTACATATTTATATGATAACATAAATTGGTTGCATGATTCATCATGCACTCGAAACTCATTGTTGTCATTGTACTGTAATCGGTATGACCACAATGATCACTGCACTCATTGTTCTTCCTCCAAAAATTCACACACCATCGAATTACTAGCCACATGTAATTTCACACGAGTATTCAGACTTGGTTTTGGAATTTCAATTCTTCTAAAACCTGCATATCCCAATTTGTAATCCAGTGGTCCTACAATATAAATGTCATCACTCATGGTATGAATGATCGTAGCAGAGTGAATGGCCACAATTTTCTTAACTGGAGGATTTCCTAAATCGTTATATTCTGTCAATAATTGAGGTAAAGGATAAATAAAAGGTTTGTTCTTCACCTGCCATTCCAAATCTCCAAATCTCCAAACTTGATCATTTTCAGTAACAATTACAGAAAAATCTCTCTGAGCTGCAATGAATTTCACACCAAGTCCAAATTTCACGCGTTTCACAGCACCTTCCACATTCTCTTGTTTTCCATTTCCTAATTGACCTTTCTCTCCTTGTCCACAAACATAGAGCTCACCATTATTGGTTAAAAACAACATGTGATGATCACCACATGCAACTTGAGTAATTATTTTGTCTTTTAATAAACTCTTAATGAGAGTGGGAGTATCCAATCTCTGAAAAGGTTGTTCAGATTCGTCCTTAATAGGAAATCTTAATTCTTTACCATATCCACACACAAGAACCTTGCCTTTACATTGTGGTTGAGATGGGAATTGACACCACAGCAACAGGAAGACATTGTTCAATGAGATTGGTGGAATAGTAGTAGTAGTAGTGGTCGTCATCGTTGTGATGGATGGTGATGTCCATATCATATTCATTGAAATAATAAATGATTATCAAATCTCTTACCTTCTTCGGTGAGAAATGCAGTAATATTCTCACTAAATGCAATGGATTTAATTTTAGGAAATTCAATTTCTTCAATGTGTCCTTTTGTGATTTGATGAGCAACTTTCAATTTCATTGGATCCACAGTTGTCGTTTCTCCAAGTCCTAATTTAGCTAATTTGGAGTTACTAAATGCATAGACAGATCTTTCAGTTTTTGTAACAAACAATGCACTCTCTTTGATGCAATGAATTTCATCCACAAAGTCATCCAATGTGTTATGAATGGTTTTAAAATCTCTCCATGTATTATTCATAAAAACAGAGTTGAGTTCACTTGATTTTCCAGCACAATAAATTTTAAATTTCTCTGTGTGACATTCATGTGACACCAATTAATAAATATATATATACAAGATTGGTCAAAGGTTTTAAAAATCATACATTCATTGAGACAGAGACAAAATGTGTGTCATAATCACGTACCATACCTGTAACAATAATCACTAAACTGTCAGAATGACCAAATGCCATTACTTTTTTCGATCCATCTTTTCCTCCAATCATGAATTGAATCGGAATCCAATCATCTCTATATTCCATTTTTCGCATCACATCATTCAACTTGACCGTTGGAATTAAAAAGGTGTGATTTCCAATGAACATGAATTTGCAATCATTTGTATTGACACCAATTGGAATATCAATGTGATTTGGTGATTGACTTGGAGGAAGGACGTTTTGAACTTCAAGGTTCGACAGTTTCGATTTTTTGAGACCCATTTTTTAATGTTGTTAGTTAACAGGAGAAGATCGTCATCATCAAAGAGAGAGAAATTATTGAAAAAATAAATCGCCTTTCAAGACACTTTCAATACAACCCTCACCCCTACCACCACCACTCTCATTCCGATTTTAAAAACTATTCAAGATTGGAATTATTGTAAATAGTGGTCTATGATATTCACCTCAAGATAATTTGTTCATCATCATTCATTTCCAGCAATTATTACTTTCATTGAATTCAAATGATCGGAGCGTTTTTTGTTTATATTTCTAACTTACTTTGTGTTCTTCTGGGACTGGTGTATCCTCTCATTGCATCATACAATACTGCTAGGCAATTCATTCAAAAACAAGAGGAATATGACATTGTAATTAAATTTCAAAAATTGCAAGAAAAGAAGAGGAAAGAAGGCTTGCCTAGTAGCTCATTTGCAGTCGGTTTCAATACCCCAGAAAGACAAGAACAATTATGGAAAGAAGAACAACTCGAAATTCTTGAAGGCCATCATAAGAAATGGCTTGCTTATTGGATGATCTATACAGCAATCTACGTGTTTGAATTTCTGTTTGAAGACTTTTTCTACAACCGTATTCCATTCTATTACATACTCAAATTAGTATTTTTATTCTTTGTGATAACAACCAAGGGACTTTGTGTGTGGTTCTACGATAACTGTGTGTATCGATTAATGAAATGGGAAAACTTGGAGCAAGACATAGATAAGGTTCTGGGATTTGCAAGAACAAAATTGTACAGTCATGTGTTCAAATACTTTGAGGGAGGAAAAGATGTTGGTTTGAGTTTGTGGGCAAGTGCTCAAGCAAATGTTTTACCTTTTGCTCTGTCTTTGGTGTCTGGAGGAGGCTCTTCGACCCAAAACACCAACAATGAAAACGTCACACAATAAAAGTATTGAAAGCTCATTGTTTCCTATTGCAATAATAACCAAATTAATATTTTCTCTTCTTCGTTTTTCTTTCTAGTTCATGTTGTTCTTTGAGAAATTCAAATGCTCTCTTACTGTCTTCTTCATCGGGACGATAAAACGCTGGCAAAGGGAGGCTACTGCAGTTCAGGTTAAACAGACCCTTCTCAACACAAGGTTTGATCAAGGCAGGAAAGTGATCAAGCATGTCTTCCAAAACATCGTTAAAGTCACGAGGGTAACATTTCTTTTCCTTAATTTCTTGCATAAAACCAATCAGATTGTCCATATTCACAGGATAAAAAGTCGACACAGACAAACGAATGATACCTTTCAAGAGAGTGTTGACTTGCTCATGCAAGTGAGGTTGAATGATGAGCTTGTTAAAATCAGGTAATTTTCGAAAGTGATATTTCTCAAATAGATTCCACAACCTCGGCTCGTTTTGATGCAAGAAAATGGCATATTGAAGAAAATCATATCCATCAAATGGGATATCGAATAGATGTAGTCCATTACTCAACATGAATTCCACATTGTTTAACATGGTGTCAATATTGATAGTCTCTAATTGAGGTGGTAGAACAACCTGTTGTGTTGTGGTTGATGGTGCAGTTGTCGTGTGAAAGGGCAAAACGGAATTATTTCTTCTCTTATGAATTTTACCTCCACATAACTGAACACGCAACTCACGATCTGCAAATGAATTACTAAATATTCCAAATAAATTCATATATTCCTGAAGAGCACTCTCATATTTCTGAAATTTTTGTTCAATAAGAGAATATGAACAAGTACAAACGATGGGAATGGCAATCACATGGTCAGGAATTGACTCAACCATATCTTGAATGTCTTGCTTCGATGTTGCCCACCATTTAAGCATGGATGTCTGATTTGCTTTCTTATCAGCGCTAAGGACATGTCCTTTTTTTGTTAATATTTCTAATTCTTCAGTTGTCAACTTTGCTTCGTGAATAATTTCAGGAATAGGAATGAGGTCATGATAGAAAAAACGTAAGGATTTGCACTTTGATTTTTTGTTAAACCAATGATAAACCTCATGATATTGTAATTCATTAGAATTGAATATAAGCAAGCTTTTAAGATTAATTAATTTGCTTGCCAAAAAGGACATGACACTTCTCTCAAATGTGCATCCAACAAATGAAATGTGTTCAATTGTTTCAAACACATTCATTTCAGTAAATTTAAAATTCAATCGATTGTCCTTATTTTTTTCCATCACACTTGGTTTTCTTGTGTCGAACATGAGATCATTCATCAAAGATTTTGTAATCTCCACGTCTGAGAAATAGACACTTTTAGCATGAACGAAAAGATTACTCAGTAGTACTCTCAATTGTTTGTGAATGATCGTCATGCTAGCTCTGTCCGACTGTGAATTGGTAAACTTTGGAATATAATTAGATGTAGAGGATCGTGGACGAATTTCAGGAGGCTGAGCACTGAATTGAAGCAAACTCGCTTCTTTTTTTACTCCTGCGGTTTCAATCAAATAGAAAAAATGTTTGGTGAATCTATGATTGATTGCATCATATATGGTGGTGAGTGGTCGTATGTATGTAGGGGTTTTTCATTAAGTCTGTGATCACAGACTGTCTTTCATTGACATTAGTGAGATAGACTTACCGAAAGTATGGAATTGTAGCACAAAATTGTCGGACTCCTTTCAAGAAGGACGTGTCCACCATTTGCAATGGTAAGTAGTCTTCCATGTTCATGAAAGAACAAATAACTTGAACAATATCTGCTATAATTATTTTCAATATCGACAATAGGAGCATGAGGCGGCGACATGCTGAGCCTAGGATGATGACCTACCATCAAAATAAGCGGAATTAGCAGAAGGAACTGCTTGAGGATTTCTCTTTTTAGTTTTTTTCAATCGAGGCATTTTTTTGGTCGAACTCGACGTTTCGAAATGGACAACCGGAGATGAGTACTAATCGTGATAGCCAATCAACATCAACAACAACTTGTAAGCACGATTTTAATGCAACTCTGAAAAAAATTATTTGTTCTGGTTCATTGAGTGAATAACCTTCTTTAGTGGCATCTCACTCTCTGCTTTTTATACCGTTCTACTTCAATCTCATAGGGTGGATTGTATCAAGCAAGAAAGATTATGAATCAGATTAACAGGCTGTGGCATCGAAAAAATACACCCGTGGCAAATAAATAATTATTATTTCACGGGAGAAAAAACCATTTTGTCCTCCTAATTTATTGTGTTCTCTAGGTCTCATCAATACCATACAACATTAATATCCACAAAGGGATTGCCCAAATTTTGTGTTTGCATAAAGAGTTTTCTTCTCATTGCATCATCCTTTTTGACTGGTTTGATCAACACAAATGAACAAGAACGACAACAAATGATCTGCATTTCCAAAGATTTTCCTCTCAAAAGTCGAAATTGATCGTCTTCTGAAAGCATTTCAGCAATACTTGTTCTATTAAGGTTTGAATGATCAATATGAATGGATACTTGATTAAATATGAGAGCATCACAAGTGTCTGAAAGAATACCAATGGCTCGAGATCCTCTTGCATGAAGAGTTTCAAATGGTCCAGAGTTGTTGTTTTTGCTTTCAGGAGAGAAATTAGGTATTGTCCATTTCACATCTTTGGAAGTGTCAAGCGAAAGGATATTCGAACAATTATAAATATTGTTTTCTTCTGTCATGTACACACAACCTGTTTCTAATTGAAATGCTTTTCTAATAGGAATTGATAATTTGATTTCTTTTCCAAGTACAAATGCTGATAAATCTTCACAAAGTACAATTAATGATCCACTACAAAGAGCCAATGAAATTGCTCCGGGTAATATCGTTTCATTTTTCACAGGTGTATATTTTAAACAACCATATGTTTTTTCGTTTGAATTTGGATTTGGAAATCCTGTAAATACTCCACAACGATAGACTTTCTTCTTGGAAGGATTCGATCGTGAGACAGTGAGTGAAGCCACTGAACATCCAGCACAATGAACACAAAGAACTCGCTCATCATGTGGTGGAAAAAGCATGATTTGATCATGTTCATCAGTACAATAGACCTTTCCGAGTGGTCTTGAACTACCATGACTGTCTACTCCTTGACTGCAACATCGATCATTATTCCATCCTGCTGAGTACATTTGAAAATCTCGAGAATCTTCTGAGAAGTGTTCTTTAACTAATGCATAGGTAAAATTTGCACCACAATAAATGTCTTGAATATGATGTAAAGCACATTTCACTAATGGATCACGATTTCCAATTCCATTTCCAAATCTATTGTTGTGAATCGTAGAGGTCAAACATTGATTGTATTCATCCCAACCATATCCATAAGCATCACCATTATTGAGCAGCAAAAACATGTGATTATCTCCTCCGGCGATCTTGGAAATTCCAATCCGATTAATTTCATCAAATATTTCTTTAGAATAAAATTTAAAGTGTCGGAACTGTGAGTGATCGTCTCGAGTTTTGTTGGGATCTTTGTCGGCTTGGATACTTCCTTCATAACCACTGTAAACCCAAGAGGACCAATTGGATGACATGAGCAAATAAGTGCCATTGCCCGAGAGAGATGTGTCAAAGGAGGAGGAGTGAGAGCTCTTCATCATTTTTTGGCCCATCTTCTCTTGACCAGGCATTGCATATTCAATCCTGATTTTTATCGAAAATCGTATTTTTTTGTTTCCAGGACGAGGTGGTATTTTGCAGTTCAAGCCTTAGACTTCGTCCTCTCTGTGGTGTTGAGTTTTCAAATGATAATGAATAATTTTATAACCTCCTCCTTTATGCCAAGTATTGGATCATAACAGACGTTGCTGTTTTCTTCATTGACATGTTGGGTAAAGTTCATCCTTCTTTTTCTGCAGGTCTTTTAAGTCACATGCTCGACACAATTCAATTTTTCGATAAACATCATCATCATCATTCTGATCTGTTGGAATGCCTACTTTCTGTATTTAGCTTTTTGCATTTGAATAAAATTTTGTTTTTCTTGATCTTGTTGTCTCTTTTTGCATAACTCTTTATAATTATTCAAATCTACCAAATAGTCAACATTACTGATTAGTAATAACATTTTTGAAAGGTTATTACACTTACCCACTGGAGTATATAAATGCTCTGGGGTATTTGTGCCATATTCATCACTCAATGAAAATTCTTTCATAATCTTGTTTAAAATTTCTGGATTGTGAAACTGTCGTTGAGATTTTAAATTCTCTAGTAAATTAACAGTCTTAGCCTTTTCTAAAAAGTTTTTAATTTTAATTTGAAGAGGATCCACAAACAAAGCGTCTTCCGAAGACGAGGATGCTGCCTTCTTTTCACTCATTTTTTGGTGTGGGGTGTTTCTTTTGTTGAATGATTATTGTTTTGCTTGAGCCAACGTTATGGACATAAAGAGATGAAATGATTTTTCAATGATGCGTTAAATTTTGAATGATTGTATTCATGCAACAACAATACCAATTCAACAAGTTTCATTCATCATCATCACGAAGAATAATTCCATCATCATCACAGCTATTGTTCAAAAAAATGACAAACAGACGAGACCTCATCTTTAAATTGGCCAAAGGCTTCTACAATAGAAACAAAAATTGCTTTCGGATTGCAAGAAATAGAGTAGAACATGGCCTTGAACATGCCTATCGTGGAAGAAAGGAAAAGAAGAGAACACTTGGTAGTATTTGGATACAAAATATCAAAGCAGCCACTGAAATTCATGGCGTTAAATATTCTCAGTTTATGTATGGTTTGGCTATGAGCGGAGCACAAATTAATCGTAAAATGCTTGCAGAGTTAGCCCAAACAGAACCTCTCACTTTCCGTTCCATTGTAGCATTGTCAGTACAGGCCCGTAAAGATTTCGCCTCCGAGCTTGGTAAAAAGAAAGCAGAAGAGACTAGACTTCCATTTGAAATTGATTTCCCAGCTGAAGCCGACATTTCGTATCAAGGAAATTCTGAATTAAATCGTTTAACGCAGCACTTGTCTAGAGTCTTCTCAGATCTGTCAGCCAAAGAATATGACGAAGATAGAATTTATCAAGAAAAACTCGAAAAAGAAATTAAGGATAAGAAAATCAAGGTCACAGGAGAGCCAATTATTGTATAGAGCCCTCAATGTCGTCTATCAATGCTCACTTTTTGGATTAAACTTGAAGAAACATTATTTAGTATTTATTGGACCTCAATGTCACTTTTTTTCACAAAGTTTCTGGTGCTAAGAAGCCAAGTCCGAACAAGAACAGCATGTGATTTCTCTTTGGCTTCGCTCTTGGCACCAATATGCAATCATTTTCTCGCAGTGCGATCCGTGCGTTCAGAGCAAAAAATGGCTGAACTCAAAACGCTTCTTTCCATGTCCAGCTCTCTCACGGACAGTTATTGGACCATCATGTTTGCCCTTTTGATTGTTCTAATCACAGCCATTTACTTTAAACTCATGCCGAAGAAACCACCCAAGAGTCCTCCAATGGTTGGCCGATACATTCCATTCATTGGAGTTGCAAAGAGGTTCGGAATTGAGCCTATCAAATTGTTGGAGGAGTGTAAAGAGAAGTATGGAGAGGTGAGTCATCTCGGTCGTGTTATTATCATTATTGGAATGATCATTGACGAATATTTCATTTGCATTTTAAAAACGTATCGCTTGATGATATCATCACTCTAGATCTTTACGCTTAATATTGCTGGAAAATGTTTTACCTTTCTCACCAATCCAGAATTATTTCAATACTTTTTCAACCCAGCAAAAGGAAATTCATGTCGTGTCAAGACAAAAAAGACAGTCACAGAAGAATCAAAACATGCCATTTCCTTTGATCATGCGGTTTTAGAATTTATTAGCCGAGTATTTGGAATTCCAGTGAACGATTTCATGTCTCAACACATCACCATGGTGAATACTATGAGAGCTAAATTAAGCCCAACCACCACTCTTCCTTTCTATACCAAAGAGATTGCAAGCAATTTATTAGATGTGTTTGATAAGGGTACTCTTACCACAAACGATCAAGCAATTTCTAATTCCCAAAATGTCAGAGGTTTTACTTGGAACGAAAATGGTACAGATGACTTGTTTAAGGCAATTGTTGAGACTTTATTTTGGAGTACAGTGAAATCTCTGTATGAGAAAGATGCCTTTCTCACTGATGAATTTGATGCTTGCAAAGCTTTCCAAATATTGGATGAACAATTCGAAATTAGAGCAAGTGGAATGGTACCTGAATCTCTTATGACTACTTTTTCAAAGGCAAAACAATTTCTATTGAGAAATATTTCAGATATTGCATCGAAATTAGATGCAATAAAACCAGAAGATCAAAAACGCATGTTTCAATCATTGAGTGATGCTCTAAAAGACAATGTTGAAGATCAGAAAACAATTTTACACTTTGGTTTGGCCATGTTGTGGGCATCTCAAGCCAATAGTTTACCATCTTCATTATGGACAATTTGCTTTGTTGTGTCTAATCCAGAAATTTATTCAAAGCTCCAACAAGAAGTTGATGATGTCTTTACAAATCACATTAAGAATCCACGTGATTTATCTTTTGAAAATTTACACTTGTTTCCATATGTGAAAGCATGCGTCTATGAAGGTAAGTTTGATGAAGAAATATGTACTTCAATGATCCTATTCAACAAAATGAATTGTTCCAACAAACACAATTCAACCAGCAATTAGAATAATACCTCCTGGAATGCTCATTAGAAAGGTCATGCAACCTATTAAAATCCCTAACTATGATTACATCATTCCAGAGGGACACAATCTCTGTATTTCTCCTTTCATTGCCCACTTTGATGAAAAGTATTACCATGAGCCACAAAAATACAATCCAGAGCGATGGCTTCAAAGTGGTGAAGATAGTCTAAATGACAGAAGCAAGCAATTTATTGCATGGGGAAGAGGTCCACATGGTAAGTGATTTGCGCTTTTGTTGATGAGCAATGATTTGTGGAAATTTTTCATAATTTTTTAAATTCTTTATCCACGAATTTCATACGATTGATTTTTATTTACGTTTGTGAAATGTCATTGGTGATTGAATTTTATATAATTGGTTGATCCATGACTTGATCAGAATGTCCTGGAAAAGCATTTAGTGTTGTGGAATTGATCTCTTTTATTGCTCTCTTTTTCTACAAGTTTAGAAATATTAAACTTAATGGACCCATGCCATCACCTGCTTTGCACCGTCTGATTGGAGTCCCTCATCCAAGTTCCAAAGTGTCCATCTCGTACGAAAAGAGGAAATAAAAGAATTGATAATACCAAAAATAATACTAACTAATGAATAATTGGAAATGAATATTTTTGTGACACCTGTCCTTGTTGAACTATACCACGATGCCATCTCATGTTGTTGAGTATTATGACATCTCTAGTAGAGATGGTGCGCAACAATTAGAGAACAACTCTTGAATAGTATCATCCTTTCGACTTTAAAAGATGACACCAAAGCTGATACCCTTTTTCGTCTTGTCGTT